TTTGTGGTCTAGCCTTTTTTCCTGATGGGGGAATTTTACTAATAAAATGTCTTTCACGAAGCCGGGGGATGGTGTTATCTAAATGGAAAAACCCTCCCACATATAAATTTGTTGCGCATAAGTGTTTATTTCCTGAACGATATTGTTTACAAAATCCTCAGTAAAAAATAATAGAAATGTCTGTACTATGTCGAGCACATTCACAGACTGATTTCTCTGACCCGAATTTTCAGAAAAACGTTCGCGAACGCCATCATAATTATCCATATTTTGCCAAAAATAACTCTTGTCTGAATCCGCCACTGGAACCCTCGCCACTATTTCGTCGTCATCTTCAATACTATGATCTTGGATAGCATCAACTACAGCCTGATCTTCAATTTCATTATCACTGTTTTCACTACTATCCGAATATTCGAACTCACTAATTTCCGAGTCGTGAGCAAGGAGCTCATCTAGTAGTTCATCGTCCTGTAAAACTTTCCTACTTGTAGAGGCCATGGTTATGGCGCGACTGAGAGAAGAAAGTGTTATGACATCATAGATTTCTGTATCATTCGTAAGTTTGTTTTCTTAGGTTGCATTTGTTTCCAAGAAAAAAGGACTCTTGTTTGACTACTTCGTTGTGTCAGCAGACTGTACAGCAACCCACTCAAGGAAAACCTTTGTCTGGGGTTTCAGTGAGTGACTCATATAGACAAGAAAAGACCATAGAGTCGAAAGATATATTGTTTTATACATTTTCCTTACTTAGAATTTGAAACACTTCAATGCAATCTAGGCGCAATGAGACCAAAGTACGAACTATTACACTAACGATATAAAATAAAAATACCGTGCTACAAATTTGTCCAAAATAAATAACTCATATACCAATTGAAAGATGAAACCTTAATCTATGTACTCCTGAATAGAAAATTGGAATATCTTTCCTAGTTTTATCAGCAACGTCCTTCATAGCTAACACTGTGCAGGTCGGTGCACTGCACTGATGTCGGTGGCATACGATTATTTAAAGGGTCGGTGCAGCACACGGATGTCGGTGCGGAAGGGTTAACATTTAATATGACGCATTGCACCGATAAGGATCCATATCGGTATTTCAATAACTATACATATTCCTGCCTGATGATGGTCATGCATGACTGAAACATGTTGCAGTAAATAAAGATCTAAAGGTAATACTGAAATATTTGTTGTGCTGATGGTAGCATAGTGTTCCTACATATTATATATTGTAAGGTAAACTTTGGTGAGGCTAACTAGTTATTAACGGAGATGTAAACCAAAAATCTACAGAGGAAAAAGTAAGTGAGGGCAGAAAAATCACTTATCAGCATAAGAGACACCTTCCCTGTCACAAAGATACACAAAATATTGATCAGTATGATGAAAGATGAAAGTTTTTCAATGCTTATTTTTCTCTTGTGTATAAGCTTAAACCCAAAAATATTCCTTCATGTCTCACAACTTACTTCATCAAGAATTTTTATTTTTGTTGATTTATTTTGTGAAACTGAAATTTCATATTACATAGGATATAAATTAGTTATTTATTATGTAAATATAATATTATTTTAATGGATAAAATTTTAGGTCGGGAAGGACAGTCATTGGACCTTATCATTTTCCGTGAAGTTCTCGACATAGTGGCTTATGTAGACAGAGTACTGTCTGCCCCTCAGGGATCTCTCTTGTTGGCTGGAAGGGCTGGAGTGGGGAGAAAATCAGCTGTAAGAATTGTTTCCGCTCTTCATGGAGCTAAATTGGTTTCCTTGAAGATGGGAAAGGCATATAACTTGAAGAATTTCAAGAATGATTTGAAATATGTAAGTTATTATTAAGAGTAGCTTAGTGATTTGTATTAGATATTGAAGACTATATTGTGACGTATTTGCGCTATGCAGGACACCCCCTCCTCACCAGCGGTAACAGCTTTGGAGCGCTGCTGCTGCTACACTAACAGACCACTCAAAACTCTGCCCCCTCCCGCGGTGACGTTGTAGCATTTCCCACTGTGACATAACACAGGACACTGCTGTTGACACAGGCAGCAGGGAACGGTATAAATAGCCGGCTGAGCAGTATGTGACAGAGAGTGTGTGATCAGGAGTGACACAGTGTGGATCGTGAAGTCACCGAATGCAGCAGAAGTCTATCAGTCGCCAAGAGCAGTGGATGTAATTGTAATACTGCCAATGGCAGTAATTGTAATTGTGAATTATGTGAGTGTAAGAGCGAATGTGGAATAAATTCGCTATAACCAATACGACATGAAGTTATTTGTCGCGTGTTATACACCCAACATGTGACAATTTGGTGTCAGAAGTGTTTTACTAACTTAAACACACCACAGTTTCGTCAGAGTTCATCGACTGAAGCAATTATTGAACTGAACACTGAAGTGTGTATTTATACCACTGCCCTACAAGAATGGACATACAACAGATGCTAGAACGTCTGTTAGGTGGCCAAGAAGAAATGATGGCCGACTCCAAAGCCTGGTGAGAAGAAATGGCCGAGCAGAAACGAGAGCCATCGAAGCAAGGATGGCCACCATGCGAGAGAAGAGGTTTAAGCCAATATGAGTGCCTGGCAGAAAGAGATGACAGCCTTCCAAGAAACAACGGAGGTGCTTCTAGAAGAAGAGACGATGGACTACCAAGTGATGGAGGCATGTCTAGAAGAAGAAGAGCCAACCACAGTGGACAGGAAACCTGAAGTGGCCCAACAATGGGAAGTCCCCGTTGAAGACACTGTACTGAAACTGGTCAAAGGACAGAAGAAGCGGCATAGGGGCAAGAAGCAAGCTGCAGGGTGACACGGGAAGCCGAAGAAACTGACCCGAGGAATTTGTGGATCCCGGAGGAAGTTGGCTGCCGCCTGCAGGAAGGTGTCTGCCGTGCAACAGTGGCATGGCGCAAAAGGAACATCTTCAGGAAATCTATGACCCAGGGAAAGTGTGGACTGCAGCACGAATTGGCTGCCGACAGAAATATGACTAGCCATGCAGGTGTGACATGGCGCAAGGGAGATTTCATAAAGAATTATTCAACCAGGGTCAATGCTGAACAAGAAACCTGGAAAGGAAGAACGGGAATAAAGAACATAGGCAGCAGATGGCCGCTATATCAGAAGAAAAAGGTAACAACTAAGAACACCATCGGAAGGTGTAAATCAGGACAGGGATCACACCTAGGAGGGAGAAGAACTCGTAAGAAGACCTACGAGATTGTCAGCATGAAGGTCATGAAGAAAATAGTCAGATCTTCTGTCAGCCTACGACAAGACAAGGATTGGACCTTGTGGAGGGGTCAACCTCCTCCAAAACGGAAAAAATTGAATAGTTCATGGTGGAGGAACCAGTAACACAGAAGTACTGGCCTCCCTGCCGTGAATGTGAAACGACAGGATCGACGAACGCTGGACCATGGAATTGCTCAGGACGAACAATCTTAATAAAGGAGCGGATGTAACGGCCAGAGAATAGTTGCTGCAACAGGAATGGCAGGATGAAAAGAAGATGTTGAAAGAACAGCCTTCAAAGAAAAGGAACGGGGATGCACCGTTAGGCTATTCGGGGCGAATAGCCTTAATGAGGGAGCAGTGTGACATATTTGCACTATGCGGGACACCCTCTCCCCCGCCAACAGTGATGTAACAGCTTCGGAGCGCTGCCACTGCTACAGTAACAGGCCAGTCAACACTCCGCCCTCTCCCGCAGTGACATAAAAACCGGCTGAGCAGCATGTGACAGAGTGTGTATGATCAGGAGTGACACAGTGCAGAGCGAGGTTGCTGAGTGCAGCAGAAGTCTAGCAGTCGCCAAGAGCAGTGGATGTAATTGTGATACTGCCAAAGGCAGTAATTGTAATTGTGAATTGTGTGAGTGTAAGAGCGAATGTGGAATATATTCACTATATCCAATATGGCGTGAAGTTATTTGTCGCATGACCTATACCCAACACATGGCAATATTATTTCTTACGTTTTATTAACAGATTGCTTTAAAAGGTTATGAGCTGGAAAGAATATGAACAAAGATAAAATTAATGTGATACAGACTTTTTTTAAGTGTTAGTTATGATTGTAACATGAAGTAATCACTGAACAACTTCAGAACAACAGATTTTGAAGAATAATGAGGTTTTATTTCTGCTCAGGTGATGCAATTAGCAGGCATAGAAGGAGAGCAGGTGTATTTGCTTCTTGAGGATCATCAGATCACAGATATTGCTTTCTTGGACATGGTGAATAGTCTGCTGTCATCTGGAGAAGTAAGTTAAAAGTTGGCCACATTTTTTCTAATATTACATTGTTCCGTGGCTGGATAATGCCCTCAGTCAGAGGCAGTTTGTTTTACATTATACAACATGGATCAAAAGTTAGTCCAACTTGACCATAGGATGTGGAATAAGTTATACAAACAAACTCCATGGCTTTAGTCTACAAGCAAACTATATCAACCCATCAGTCACTGCTTGTCTGTGAACATAGTGCCAAATTTAGCAGATAGAGGATGTCGCGTTGTCAGCACAATGAATCCCCATGACCGTTAATTTCTGTTTTCTAGACCAGAGGAATAAGTCATAAAAATACAAAACATGTATACTGTACAGCAGAAGCTTTCACATAAAAATTGCAGAGGGCATGATTTGTATGCTTCAAATAATTCCATGCATATACATCAATACTGTCCACTTATGCTATTTGGTATTATAATTACCTGCGGTAATGTAATAACTGTTCTTCTTTAAAGGTGCCTGGACTGTATAATACAGAGGAACTGGAACCTATAATATCACCCCTGAAAGATATTGCTGCCCAAGAAGGATTTGTAGGAAGCCCAGCATCCTACTTTTCTAAATGTAAGATGATTAATGGAAGTTTTGTAATCATAGGACAATGTTTCTCAGATATTTCTATCAACAGAACCCATTTGACCTCAAAAAATTCTGATGGAACCCCAGAATAAAAAATGAATGGTGTACTGTTTGTGTAAAAAGAAGGCATAAAATGCAACAGGATAGCTTTTGTTTTGTATACAAAAATGGGAGACGAAGGAAACAAAATGTAACGTTTTGCAGAGTTCTGAATTGAGATTAGCTTGATCTAAGGGACCCAACTGTATAGGATACATAAGAACCCTCCTTACCTTTTAATTTTTTTCCCATTTTTTCCCCCCTTTTTTACCTCCATTTTACTTACCTGAGGACGGTAGCAGAACCAGCTTCCGAAACGTCGTGATTCAACTGACTGGGATGATGGATACAGTCCAGAATTTTAGTTTTAATTTCTGAATTCCTGTTTTAGGTAGATTTAATCCTCTCCTGATTATGTGTGTGACAGTGTTTTACTATCATATAATTCCATATGCATGCTTCATGGCTGAGTGAAGAATTTTACAAATTTGCAGATTTCACTTCTGGGTACTCTTGAATTAGATGTTCCCAGAAATTAACTGAAAGATCGCTCAAGCTTTACTTTGGTGTAGAATCATAAATAATAAGTAATGCCAGTGAGACCTTCATAATTTGGCACTAATATGTCATTATGTGGTCTCACAACCAACAGATAACATCTTGAAAGGAAAGTATAGCAACATTGTAGGTTACAGTACAAAAATACTTATTAAATCGTTGTTTATATATATTTCTCACAGCCACTTTATGCCAAAAAGGATTTATATATCAGGAAGTATACAAAATTCTTGTTGTCAGTCCTCTTATACCAGAATATTAGTGTGTATGTGTAGTAGTTGTGTATTCCTGTTTTCATCAGTGAAGGTTGTGTCTTCCCCCCATTCCAACACAAAATATTTAATCCATTGTTCTCTGTGAGTATCCTAGGATGCCAGTTTTTGCAGTTTCTTAATTTTTTTAAGGCATTAAAACCAACATTGCTAGTATGTGAACTCATCAGCTTGCAATGAACAAGAGAAATCATCCTAGAATATGACAGCGAATGGTTGGACAGTCGTAAGGTTTTGATTGACTGCTCATTTATATACCCCCTTTCAATTCTGTTGAACACAGCTTAATTATAGTTTCATCATTCTTGTTAGTTGTCTTTAAAATACCTAACTTCGATGAAGGCCATATAGTATTCATATACACCATGGATACAGGTGATACCTCATTTCTTGGCCCTCTTTCAGGCATCCACACATGGCATTTAAAAATTGTGAGCTACTTACAGTTTCATGATTTTTCATTGTAGGTGTGCAGAAGAACTTGCATATCATCCTGATAATGGATTTCACAAATGCACAATTCACAGTTACATGTGACAGTAACCCAGCTTTGTACAAACAGTGCAGTATTATATGGTTGCCAGGTTGGAGTACAGCTAGCATGAGAACAGTTCCACAGCTTCTGCTGTCCAGGTGAAGGACTGTGTCAAAATTAAACTGCATTACTTTAATTTTTCTTATATATTTCCAATATCTGTTTAGAATATACTTCAAAGTACATAGCAATTGCATGCCCGAAAAATACTGCTTGACATAAAATCACACAATTCAAAAACTTTTCTCCACAGAATTTACTGCACATTAAAAATAGGATTTACATTCCATGATGGGTATTTTTCAATGACACACTTGGTGATTGTGAACTTCTTAGGTTATGTAAAAGTAAAATAACTTATATTACTAGAAGAAAAGCTCTTAAATATATAATTGTGGTATTGAATAATGAGTCTTTAATTTAAAAAAACACATTATTTACATGTATGTGTTTATTTTGGAGAAAGATAAAAAAGAAATGGAAGGAAAATTATTTCAATGGTCTCATGTTATAAAAGAATATGGACAGATGATGATGAAAATTTGAAGGAACCTAGACATAAACATCAGAATGAAGTTTAATAATAAGATTATTCAAGTTGTGAACAAATATATTTATTTGGGAATTGAAGTAAATTCAAAAGAGAAAATTGCTGGCTATACAGCCTACATCTACACAGTACCAGCATTGAGATGCTGCCAGTTGCACAGCTACTTAAGCATTTCCCAGCATTTTATGGAACCTAAAGGTTCATTACCATGTTCACAAGAGCCCTCCACTGGTCAATGAGTTTTATGTTAGTGATTAAATTGATTTACTGTACTCTGTCATCATCTTTCTTGGTTGAAGATCATGTTTGCTTCCAGTCTTGCAGCAAAATCACCTAATATTTTATTGTATAATATCTAGGAATTAAATAAATTTTCAGGTTCCTCATGAATTGTGTTCTTTATGGCCTCATTCTTTGTTTGGTTCACATATGTACACCAATTACTGTGATCATTAATTCTTTATAACTATAAAAATTATTATAATGGTGACAGTGACACTAAGAGAATGAGTAACAGTAAAAGTAACAAAGATGATGATGATGACAATAACAGTGACTATGACAATGACAACAATGAAGATGTCAACAGCTGTAGCAGGAGCAAACCACCATAACCATAATGTTCTTGCAATATTTCAAACATTATGTCATTGATAACCATTACCTGAATCATGGGAACATACAAGGCAAGGTATTACCATTACTTTCTTTTGAATAAGCAAAGTATGAGGGTAAGTCAATAAATAAGTTACAAATGGATATAAGAGTACTGATTTGAGAAATGCTTCTATTTCTCAGCATAATCTCCCTGTACATTGAAGCACTTGTCCCATCATTTCACAAGCCCCTGAAAACCAGCAGCATAAGCTTCTTTGAGCGGCTGTCGAAACCAGGCATGTTGCTCTTGCATGACAACACACGTCCAAATACTGCCAACTAGACAAATGAGACGCTGTGAAATTTCAAATGGGAAGTCCTCAAGCACCCTCTGTATAGCCCCGACCTTGCTCCAAGCGACTTCCATTTGTTCAGCCCTCTTAAACATTATCTTACAGCTGAACATTTTCCCAACGATGACACTGTAGAAAGGGAAGTCACCACCTGGTTCCAATAGCAGCCCAAAGAATTTTATGCTGCTGGTTTTCAGGGGCTTGTGAAATGATGGGACAAGTGCCTCAATGTGCAGGGAGTTTCTGTTAAGAAATAAAAGCATTTTTCAAATCAGTGCTCTTATTTGTTTAAGAGCTATATCCATTTGTAACTTACTTATTGACTTACCTACGTATTACAAAAATCATTATGTGCTATTATATATTGTTTATGTGGTCTTCGTATATTTTGCATTTTTTATTAACTTTGAGGATTGTGGAGATTAAGAATGGAGACAGTACCTACATACCTTGACTCTGTTATGGACAAAAATTGTTGCTTTGTAGGGCTGTTCAAGATGAAGAAGGTATACTAGGCCATGAAAAGAATGGAGAGGGAACGTTATCTGTAAATGACACTCTTCTTGAGTGTTTCTTAAGGATTCACAAGGATGTATCTGATAAACTGGCCACTCCTCGGCGATATATCTCATTCATCTGCACCTACATGCATATCTACACAAAAAAGAGAACTGATATCCAACAGAAACAACAACGACTGCAGGTACAATTTGTTCCTAGAATTAATTCCCATTTTGAAAATTGCACTGGTGATAGTACTTTCATTTCCTATTCCAGTGCATACACCAAGTCACATTATTATATTATTATGCCACATTAACATCTAAAGTAAGACATTGCAGTTTCATAAGAATTCTTCAATTCTCACATGCATTGTTGTTTTCTTTTATCTTGTGGAAAAACATGCCCAAGGCCAGACAAGGAGTTGCCTCTGTGACAGTTCTATAAATAGAACCATGTGTTGACTGATAAATCCAGTTTCGCTTTAGTCAATCTGTATCACTGGCCTGTAGTACCTTTTATGTGAGGTGGGGATTTCAAACCCCAGTGCAGGTTCTCTTCATGATTGATCTTGCTGTCATGGAAATTATAAAACATTTTAATTCTGACAAATTTGAAATTAGTGAAGATGGCTGAAATATTGAAGAGCCTGTGTTCTCTCCAAGTGTCAGCAATGCGAAGATAAATTCCTTTCTGCAGCTGGAGTGTGAGAGAGGATAAGAAAGAAACATAAAACAGCGTAGAATTGAAATGGAAACAGATCAGTAGTTCAGTAAACATATCTGCTATACCAGGCCTCCCAGGACTTCATTCAAACCTGGCAGCTCCTGAAGATAGTTCTCCTTTAGATTTGTTCTCTCTGTTTCTTCTACCCTTATATTGAGAGCCACAATTGTATATTATGGTATTTATAACTAGCGATTATTTTTCTTTTGGTTTAATGTCCTGCTCATTTTAATCTAAATGAAACTGGAACGTGGATAAGAGAGGAAGGGACATGCACACTATGAACTGATAGGTGAGACTGCAATAATACATGCTTACATAGAGTGGTGGTGACATTTTAGCATTTGCTGAAGTGATCCTTCTGGGCAAATATACATGTACTGGCTTTTACAAATTTGAAGTTTCTGCATACAATATGTCAACTATTAATGTAATTTCATATAAGGTGGTAAACTGTAATATTAATTACTTGCTTACTGCTTGACTCTACACTGCTCTCAGAACCTTAGTTAGTTAGTTATTGGCGAGGGTGGGTTTCCCCATGCACTTAGACCAGTACTGGTCCATTGTGCTTCCCTCTATGATATTCTAACAGTCTCTATACCCTACCGATACTGGTGCTTACCATCAGTCCCGACCAAGCCAGCGAGTTCAGCCTCTACTGGCTTAGTGGTAACTATAATGCTTCCCCCATCTATCAGAGGTGTTAGAGACTACTGTTGGCGGGAAATGTCCTTGAATTTGGCTCAGTGACCTCCTTAGGAGATATGAGGTTCTTTTACATTCCGTAAAGCTACGACATGGGACCCACGGCTTAAAGTCCCTCCCGGAGGACTTGTTCCCTGAATTTTTCCACCCTTAAAAATTCCACGACCTCCGCTGGGTTTGAACCCGCGTACTACGAGTCATGAGGTGGGAACGTTACCTCTAGACTACGGAGGCCGCTTCTCAGAACCTTGGCTTCCTTTAAGGAAGACACCAATTCTTTACTGTTTACCTTTTGTCTTCAACTATGCACATTCAGCTCTCATAAATCATTCTCTGCATCTTCCAGCCATCTTAGTTTGATCTTCCAATTTTTTCTTCAACCTTCTACCCCCCTTTCCTCATATTCCCAGCATTGTTTTATTTCTATATATAAGTCTCCAATCATTCTGTAATATTCTGCTTAGCAAAAATAATTGTATGGCATTAATTTAGGCAGGTGTATCCAAACTTACTGAGGCCAGTCATGTTGTTGATGCACTGAAGTCTCAGGCAGCAGGACAAGAACACAAGTTGGCAGAGAAACAAGCAAAAGCAAACTCAGCACTGCAGATGATAACAGAAACAATGCGCAATGCCAACACCCACAAAGTGGAAATGGAGTCTCTGAAGGAGCAGACAGAGAGAGAGAATCTTCAGCTCATGGAAAGGTGTGTTATTTCTAGTTTTATTTAATTCATTTTTTCTATTTTAGTCGTCCTTTCACTTCTGTTCCAGTCTGAAAACTTGGATTTTATGAATAATTTAATTTTTAACTCTATGCATGTACTATACATACTTCTGAGACAGTCAAATTGCCATCAGATTCTTTTTTTATAACCTGTTAACAGTTTTCTTCAAACTAATCTCTCTTTTATGAATTTGGTTACAATGCATTTGAACTGCCAGTAGATAACACTGCAGAACTTGAACTTCATAAATGAAAAATGTATTGATCTAAAAGAATTCAACAATAACAATTCTAACTTTATCAAAGTATGACACACTGAAATAGATATAGAAGAAATATTATTGTTATATTTGTTGCAGTTTTGACTTGTCCTATGTCATTTGACTTGTCCTATGTCATGTATAATGATCCATGGAAAAGATAAAACAACTCTGATAAATAAATAAGTTATTGGTACAGAGTAGGTGAAAAGTGTGACATATTTTTAATGCTTGTAAAATTCTCTAAGATTATTTTTGTATTTATTTTATATTTATATTACACAAAGGATACTTTTAAGATTTACTATGATGAGGAAGTTCACAAATACTGAAGGAGCAAATATCCCTGTATTGTACTTGAAGTTCAGCTCAATCATCCAGACTCAAAGAGACTTGAAAAGAATATACAGAGTTAATACATGTCTCTTTCAGGAACACAGTAAGCTTAAATGCCAAAAAGTGCATAAAATTGCTAATGCATAGCCCGTATACCCTCTGTGATGACACATAAGTATTCACGTCCCTGCCAGTAGCACATTTATGCATGACACCATTTAGCATAATCCTCACCATTTTACAAGAAAGCCATTTCAGACATGAAACATAAAGAGAAGAATCCTTTGGACTGCTGAAGGATAATTTGCATGTGTTCTAATATAAAATTAAAGTGGTTCAAGAACTTAGTGAAGATGAACAAATTTTGTTACACACTTCTTTAATAGGAAGATAGTATTTTAATTGAGAGACTAACCCCATAAAAAATCTTGACTTCTTCCAGCTCTTGATGGGACTGGTCTTTGTCAGTCTGGCTAACCACAAGTGAGAAACTGATGTCCATGTGTTAATCTTTATAAACCTTGTCGTATGAAGTTTGTTAAAAATAAGCAACTGTAAGCTGAAATGGAAATATGAAACTGTAGTTTAGATTAAAAAGTGTTTTATAAATTCATACAGTTGCATGTTTTATTATTCAGGAAAAAGGCAATAGATGTGGAGCTAACAGAGATTGAACCTCTGATCCAAGAAGCTAGTGCTGCAGTTGGAAACATAAAGCCTGAATCACTGTCTGAGATTCGGTCATTACGTGCTCCTCCAGACATTATTAGGGACATTTTAGAGGGTGTGCTGAGGCTCATGGGCATCCTAGATACATCATGGAACAGCATGAAAACCTTTCTGGCCAAGAGAGGAATCAAGGAAGAAATCAGGTATTAATGTGAAAGTGTTACCAGAGTTTGATTTGTTTCATTCTGGTCCGTCACACTAACAATATTATAAAAGATAAAACAACTCTGTCCAGTGTGACTGTTGAAGTTTTTACTACTTCAGTTCTTAACAACCTTACATGACCGAAACATATAATGGTGTTAAGAATTGAAGTAGTAAAAATTTCAACAGTCACACTGGATGGAGTTGTTTTATCTTTTACCAGAGTGTTTTGTAATGTTATATTTTAGCGTCCTGTTGCACTGATTTATGTCCGTGATTTATTCTGACCATCTTACAGTGCATACATTTATTCACCTTACTCTTCTCTCTTGCACTACATGTTTCGGCACTAAAGTGCCATCTTCAGGTGCTTTTCGATGTACGTCGAACTACTGCATTGCATGCCCTGTTGTCTTTATACTAAAATAACTCAAATATATATTCGTTGTATATATTGCTAAATTTTAAATACTAAAAATGTTAAAACTGTTCAGGATTTGTCATCCTTATGTCGTGTTTCAGTACGCGAGTCACACCTATCTTCTTCTGTCGGAGTATTCTTCCTACTTTCATGTGTATCTGTAACGTGAAATTGTTATTCATTAATACCACGTTCTGAATTTTATTTGTTATGTGTGGTATTATAATGTTTAATACTCACTGTGCTTTGTGTGGTGTCTTACTCCCGTGACTGCGTGTGTTATACTGCTGGGCCTGCTGGGTATGTGTGTGTGTGTGTGTGTGTGATGTCTTCGTTTTGATTGAGTTATGATGTTGTGGGGGTAGGTGGTGGGGTGTTATGTTGTTCTGTGTAGATAGTGTGTAATTCGTGGTATATTGGGTTATATATTTCTTTATTTATATTGTTCATATGTGTGTTTTTCTTTGTCATTCTGTATATATGATAGTTCTCCAATGTGTTCAAATATTGCCCCTTCCTACCTGTTGCTATGATATCCATAGTGTTTTCTATAGTACCATATGCATGTCTTGTGTTTAATATGTGTTCTGAGTATCCTGTACTGCTGTTATTATGTCTTATGTCATGTATGTGTTCTTTATATCTGGTATTAAATTTCCTCCCGGTTTGTCCTATATATTCCTTGGGGCAATCTAGGCATTTCATACTATATATGCCGCTATTGTTATATTTATTTATTCGTGGTATTGATTTTAATATATGTTGTAAATTGTTCTTAGTTCTAAATGCTATTTGTGTCTCGAAATAATTTTGTGATATTTCTTGTTTCTTTTCCTATATATGTGAATGTTGCCCATTTCGTTTTTGTTTTTTGTTCTTCCGAATTCTCTGTAATGTTCTCCTTTTTTGCAATGTTTTGTTTTCTGTTATTTGTAGTTAGTTTTGTAATTATATCTGTGTTCTACTTGTTATTTATGAGTATGTTGTTTATAGTTTTGATCTCATTATCTTTTGCTATTCTGGTGATGGGGTAGTTATTTACTCGAGATATGAGGTATTTAATACCAGATATCTTGTGTTCATGTGGGTGACATGAGTCACTTGGTATTATTATGTCCGTTGTAGTGTGTTTTCGGTGGATTGAGAATTGTAACTTTTCCATTTCTCTATATATTCCTATATCTAAGAAATTTATAGATCTATGGTTCTCTTTCTCTATTGTGAAATTTATCGTTGGCTGCAGTTTATTAAATTCCACAATCATGTTGTCAATATTTGTTTTGTTTATATCATACAATATTAGTATGTCGTCAACATATCTGAAATATCCAGTTATTTTCTGATTTTTTAATATGTTGTATATTTGTGTGTGCTCCATGTTCTGGATGTATATTTCTGCTAATATTGCAGATGTTGGAGCTCCCATAGCTAAACCATCTGTTTGTTTGTAATATTTTTGTTCATACTGTTTTGTAATATATGTTGTTTTTTTATATTTGGGTGAAATTTAGGCCTGAGCCAGTAGCCACTTATATATTAATCATAGAGATAGTTTTTATTTGGCATTGTTTCACATTGCAGTTATACAGTGTTATGATTCTGGTGTTTTTAAGGTCATTTGATGCACGCAGAATAAATCCAGAAAGTCGTCAAGCAGTTGAGAAATTGTTGATTGAAAGGAAAGAATCATTTGATCCCAAGAATGCTCGGCGAGCCTCAGTAGCAGCTGCCCCACTTGCATCTTGGGTTACTGCAAATGTGAAATACTCTTATGTATTAGAAAAGATTCGACCCCTTGAGAGAGAACAATCTAAACTGTATCAAAACATGAAGCTTACTGAACAGCAAATTGGGAAGCTGAGCCTGGGTCTCACAGATGTTGACAAAACTGTTTCTGATCTGAAAAATCAACTGAATACTTATACAAAAGAAGCTGCTGAGATTGAGATTCATTTAAATAAGGCCCAGGAAACTATCAGTGCTGCAGAGGGACTGGTTGGCAAACTGAATGATGAGTTTGAAAGGTGGAAAAAACAGGTAATTTATTTGAAATGACATCATTTACTGTATCCAGAAATCTTGTGAACTACCTCATAAGCACTTTCTCTATCAAGTGAGGTGAGGAAAAATATGGAATTTGGATTGTGAGATTTTAGCCTCAGATATTTATTCCCAGAAGTTCTGTCCCTCTTCAAGTTTTTAATTTTTAACATACAAACATTCCAAACAAAATTCTATAGAAATCATATTCCTTATTCAGGTCTACAGTAGACATTAGTTACCATCAAACAAAACTGATCTCATAGTTCTTACATTTACATACAATTATTTTCAGTGTAGATACACCAGCAATTGAAGTATATCCACTATATCTCCTTCAAACATGAACCATTAATTGAAGTCCAAAATATATAGATTTGTACGTGTGCTAAACATGCTTTATAACAAATTCATAATTCTATTTTTCATTTTGAATAAAGAATTATTAAAGGATTTGTCATAATTTCAGTATTATATACCTTGATCGTGTTGTACTTATTACTTGTCAGTATCCCATTATTAAGTAAATTCATAATGATACAAACACATCACAGATGATTGATTGTGATTGTAAAGATTAAATAAAGGTGCTATGTATCGAAGCTGCAGATTGAATTCTTGTAATTTTACGTTCAAATTTGAAATCTAACGATAAGTTCATTTTAACTAAAAATTATTTGCAGCTGACTGAGTTGTCAAAGGATCTGAAAGAGTTGCCAGTAAACTCATTGCTGGCTGCAGCATTCATCACATACTTGTCTATGGCACCGGAAGATCTTCGCCAGTCCTTAGTGGCAGAGTGGCAGGATCAATTGGGCATGAAGAACTTCTCTTTCACTACATTCCTAGGCTCTGAGAAAGAGCAACTGCAGTGGCTGTCCGAAGGACTTCCCTCTGACCAACTCTCTGTTCAGAATGCAGTTATCATACTTCAGGTAATAGTCTTCATAAATATGCTTCAGTTGAGTATGTTTTTTAAATTGTTATAATATGAAGAACACTGAGAAAGGAATGCCTAAGAAAATTACTTTATATAATTTCCCCAGGAAAGAAGCTAAATTGTTGGTGCTTTTAAGATTTAATGTTCCTGCGTCTGGATACAAGGCTGCAAAATACGGTGGTAGATATCTGCCTAGGAATTAGTCATCAAAATGACAGGCAACATTCATGTGTGTTGCACCAAACAAAGAGTTATAATAGATTTTCTGTTGATAAGACACCAAGCCAGAAAACATCTTGTATTCTTGTTAATAATATTAATGGGAGTCATCTTTTCACCCTGTTCCCGCTTTTCTCTGGTACTGTGACAGAACATTATATCAAGCAAGAATTATTCTTTAAAAGTCAATTTATGCGGGCATGATGTGAAAACGCTGAACACTTTGGTTCAAACTTGTATCAGCAATACAGCAGAAATGTATAATTTTAGTGTGCTTTGAAACCTTTTTTGAACTACAGCATAACTGCAGTATGAACAGGTATAATGATGAAAACTAATATACCAGCCACAAGAAAATTTATATAATGTGGAACTGGCTGTTTCAGTATGGGTTCTAATAGAGTAAAGCTGAATTCCTTATTAGCTTCATATCATTTAGAGAGTATAGTGGATTTCCCTACCAGAATTGCCTGTACTTCAGCAACTTCAATTGATAATTCTTTTATCAATAAAAGTAGAAACAAAGACTCTTTAATAACCTCAATCTCTAATGGGCTGTCTGATCACGATGCCCAAATTCTCATTTTGAAGAATCTAACATTTCCGAACCTACCTAATTATTCTGTTACTAGAAGAGTAATAAATTCAATTCAATTCATTTATTTCATCCATAGCTGTAGAAATTACAATTGGACATGTCAGATAACAACAACATTACATCAAGCATAACATTCAAAGTACATGAATATAGAATAATAAATAATAAATACCTAAGACTAGAGAAAATATTTAAAACATATATACAGATTGTTTACAACATACAAACAAACTATTTAAAACATATTCCTGTACATATAAATAATTTATCTAAAACAGATTTATTTGTCAGCAAGCAGTCCATATCAACAGTTGTTAAAAAATTCCTGAAGAGAATAAAAGACGTTACACAACAAATAATTTTTCAGCTTCTTTTTAAAAACATTAAAATTATTTACACTTTTTAGTTCAGTCGGTAGGCCATTAAATATTTTGGTTCCCATACCAATCACCCCTCTTTTGCAGCGCTCAGTATTGCAAAATTGAACATACAGATTGTGTTTATGAATAGTATTATAGCCATGTACGTCAGAATACTGGGTAGTATATATCCTATTTTTTATTATAAAACATAAAATCTCAAATATATATAAGGAAGTAACTGTTAGAATCTTAAATTCTCGAAACAAATTTCTACAGGAGACTCTATTTCTTACACCTTTAACCACCCTTAAACATTTTTTCTGTAGTTTAAATAGAGTTTCAGAGTCCTTTTTCACCCCACCCCAAAAAATAATACCGTATTTCAACACGGACTCAAACTTTGCAAGATACACATTTCTTAATACAGATTGGCTCACAGAGTCCCGTAAAGATTTAATCAAATAAAGAGTCTTGCTAAGTTTTTTACAAACATATTGGGTGTGGGTTGCCCAACTTAAATCCTCAGTAATACAAATACCCAGAAATTTTACATCTGATGAACAAACTACCTCCTTATTATTTAAAGAAAAAATGGATCTAATAATTGGAGTAGATCTACTTCCCCGAAAAAAAATTACCTTAGACTTTTCAGTGTTTATTATTAAATGATTTTCATAAAACCATTTTTCTAATTGATTCTTTACATTTTGAATTTTTTCATTTAATGATAACATGTCATTTCCAGTAATTAATATATTAGTATCATCCGCAAATAATACTACCTCTGCATTTTGTATGATTCGGGGCAGATCATTTATGAATAATAAAAATAAAAGGGGTCCTAAAACAGAACCCTGAGGTACACCATGTTTAATAGCCTTAAGAGATGAGGTAAGTGTCTTTATCTTAAAGGTCTTTTGATCCATATGGTGAATTTCAACAAACTGGGTTCTGTCGGTGAGATACGATCTCATCCACGCGTGAGCTATTCCTCTCAGTCCATACAACTCCAGCTTTGCAAGCAGCAAGTTATGATTAATAACGTCAAAAGCTTTCGACAGATCCAAAAATATACCAAAAGCAAATTGTTTATTATCTAGGGTTTTTTGAATTTGTCCAATAAAAGTTTGAATTGCAGTAAATGTGGATTTATTCTTTCTGAAACCATTTTGAGCATTCGATATCAATTTGAATTTATTTAAAAAGTTTACAACTCTATTATACATTAGTGTTTCAAGGATTTTGGAAAATACAGACAAAATTGAAATTGGTCTATAATTGGTAATATTTTGTTTCTGACCTTTTTTAAAAATGGGTCGAACTTTTGCAATCTTCATTTGATCAGGAAAGATACCAGAGCTAAGTGACAGATTAAATATAAAAGTCAAAGGCTTTTTTATGAATTGGATACATTGTTTAACTATCATATCCGGGATCTCATCAAAACCCGCTGAGATTTTTGTTTTTAGTTTACTGGTGACCTTTAGAACCTCTTCTTCAGTAACAGGGACAAGAAATAACACATTTGGGTTCAGTATTATATCATTTACAGTGGCATGATCATTTTTACAGTTTCTATTTAAATGTATCAACCTGTCCACGCTATTTACAAAAAATTCATTAAATTGATGGGATATATCCTGGGGATTTGTAACTAGCATAGAATCAATTTCTAATGAAATATTTTCAATTTCTGTAAAGCCATTTCCTGACTCCTTCTTTATTATTTGCCATAGAGTTTTAGAATTATTGATTGATCTTTGAATGATTTGGTCATTTTCTCTTTGACGGGCAACAGAAATTACTTTTTTATAAATTCTCTGATATTTTTTTATATAGTTCAAGGTGTGAACAGACAGAGCCATCTTTCTTTTTAACAGATATAATAGTTGCAGCCTCTGTCTAGAAACCTTTATCCCTTGAGTGATCCAGCCTGATTTTTTCCCTTTCTTGCTAAAGACCTTTTTTAAGGGGAAGATATGCAGAAAATACTTAAGAAACTTACTTAAGAAAACACAATAGGCACTATTTACATCAAATTGAGAATAGACCTCGTCCCATAGTTCAATTTTTAGTTGATCATTAAATTTTGCAATATTTCTTCTTGAAAAAATCCTTTTCACAACATATTTTGAACAGGTGGAAGGGCTATGTACAAGTACGCTCATGACCAACGCAAAATGGTCAGAAAATCCCATTTCTACAACCTTTGTGGTTGAGTGGTAAAATATTTTATTTCTAATCATAACATCTAACAAGGAACGTGTATTTAAAGTAACTCGAGTTGGGCATAAAACCGTGTTTTGTAGATTATTTGATATCAATAAACTTTGTAAAGCCTTCTGGTGGGTATTTTCCTCTAATAAATTGATATTCCAATCCCCACATAACACTAAAAGACGCCCCTTTGTTAATAGCTTGTTTAAAGTTTCGTCTAACAATTCAAGGAAAATTTCCTTGCTACTATTTGGGGATCTATATATACAAACAACTGTAATTTTAAAATCCACTAGCTCAATGGCTGAAATTTCAAATACCTTTTCCCTTGCTAGATTATTTAAAAAAGGAAGCTCTCTAATTTTTAGATCGTTTAAGGCAAATATACAAGTGCCCCCATATCTGTTTGAATTTCTACAATAATTTGCCACCAATTTATACTGATTAATATTTATATGTAAAAGATGGTCTTTATGAAGCCAATGTTCTGAGAAGCATAGGATGGCAGGCTTTAGTGACCACGAACTCAACAATACATTTAAAGCCAACACTTTGTTTCCCAGACTCTGAATATTATGATGCAAAATACCCAAATTTTGTAATTTTTGTGGTCCATCATTACTAGAATTACAGGTAATAGGACACCATGAATCTACCATAAAAAATCCTTATCTCGTTTTTGAGGTGGACGTCGAGTTCTCTTTGAGGGCAATGCAATCCTTTTATGCTTATCCTGGTCATCATCACTTTCTCTTAAATTTATTTGTTCACAAGTTGAATCAATCTGTTTATTGCCCATATTTGTACTAATACTCTCTTCATCCTCCCTAGCTGAACAGATGCTCTCTTTAGATACCTGGGTTGTCCATGCTTGATTTACTTCACTATGAATGCACAATTATGGAATTTGGTATGAGTCTTAGTCATGAATCTTGGGATGATATTTTTAAAATAAGTGATGATGTGAACTTTATGTTCAATAATTTTCTTAATACTTATATAAGAATATTTAATCATAGTTTCCCCTATAAAATGTATTTCTTAAATAAGAAACATCAACCCTGGATAACTACTGGAATTAAGGTATGCTTAGTAGGAAAACTCAAAATCCTGAGCAAATAAAACACTATAAGAAATACTGTAAGGTGTTAACTGAGGTTATAAAGGAAGCAAAAAAGTCATTCTACTCATATAATAAGCTGATTTCCAACTCTAAAAACAAAATTAAGACTTCTTGGGGCATCATTAAAGATGTCACCAATACCAGACTTGTTAATAATTCAGTCCCAAGTATAAATATTGAGGGTAAACTATGTAACAAATACAGTGGAACCTCGCTTAATCATCATCATCATCATCATCATCTTTATTAACATCCGTAACTGTTACAAAGTAACACATGGACAAGTCATAACATGTAGTACAATCATTCGGGAATCCTTTGCCCACGGCCTAAAGGGTTCCTATGTCAACAGAGACATACTCTAATTAAAACTACAATACAGAATACAAGTACACAAATTTTGGATTTATTTTAAATATAAATAAGTTAATTTCAAGTTTATTTGCCTTTATGCTTAATCGACCAACTTTAAAAATACTACTTTAAAATCAAGTTACTAAAGTAACCATCACAACCATACTCATCAAGGATAAAAACACATCATCAAATCATCATTTAGGATTTTGAGCAGAGTTTCTCTATTCATCCTGCAGTCCCTCAAAGAGAAACTCCTTCATTGTATAAAATGGATTATCTAGTAAAAATAATTTTAATTTATATTTAAAATCTTTGAATCCATTTAATTTTCTTATTTTCAAAGGCAATCTATTGTAAGCTTTAATACCCATATTTATGACACTTTTTTTAGAGGTAGATGTGCTACAGCTTAGTACATGGAAGTCCTCTTTTCTTCTAGTATTATATTCATATAAATCTGAATTTCTAGTAGTATACAGATTAAATTTCTGAAAGTAGCACAATACCTCAAAGATGTACAGAGAGGTAACAGTTAGGATCTTTAGATCTTTAAAGATTGGTCTGCATGTAGTTCTACTATTTACGCCTTTTATTAATCGGAGTATCCTTTTTTGTATTTTCAGTATTTTACTGCTTTCACACTCTCCCCCCCAAAAAATCAAACCATAACTTATTAAGGACTGAAATTTAGCAAAATAAACATTCCTGAGCGTAGAGAAACTCACTACATCTTTCAAGGATTTTATAATATAACACACCTTATTTAATTTTAGACATAAAGATTGAATATGNGAGCATGGCTGATCTAGCACGCACATACAATCGGTCTACATCAACGATTTGCACGATTTGGAGTTGAATTGTGTTTCACAGCAAGAAATTGTGGAGGAGAGTTTGTCAGGGGAGGAGGAGGAGGAGGAGGAGGTGACAGCAAAGCAACAATCTTCTGGTGCAATAAGAGAAATGCTGAAAGCATGGAAAACTGTTGCATCATACATTGAGAAGCATCACCCTAACAAGGCAGTGGCTATGCGCGCTACAAATTTATTTAATGATAATGCTGTGTTGCATTTTCACCTAATTTTGAAGCGTCAGCAAAAACAAATGTTTCTAGACAGCTTTCTAGTAAAAAAGAATTAGATGTGTATCATAAATAATAAACTAATTATTTCAATTTTTGTTTTGTTTTCTGCAAATTGAATTCACATTCCAGGTTGGTTCATTAAGAAAAGATGAAGATGGTTCATGCTCCTTAACAATGTATATATAATTTTCTTTGAATAAACATTATACATAAATTTTTTTTAGTATTTCTTTCGGCATGGAATGCATTATTGTATTTTACATTAATTTATATGGGAAAAATTGTTTCGCTTAAGGAGTGTTTCACATTACGAGTAAGATTCTGGAACAAATTATGCTCATTAAGTGAGGTTCCACTATAATAGCTGATACTATTAATAATTATTTTTCTGCCCCATTACCCCACACTCAACCTAGCTCATCTTCTAAGGTCATGAATTCCTTAAACAATCTCTTCAAGATATTTCAACATCCATTCCCTAATATAAATATGACCCCGGTAACCACCCGTGAAATTAAATACATAATTAAGTCTTTAAAATCGAAGAGTTCACATTGATATGACAAGATTCCACAAAATATTTTAAAAAGAAGCCTACCGTTCATTCTGTCTCCATTAACTTATATATGTAACAAACTACTGAGCCTTGGTATTCTTCCAGACTGCTTGAAGTATTCTCAAATTAATCCCATCTACAAAAAGGGTGACAGGTCTGATATTGTTAATTATAGACCCATATCTTTGATGACATCCTTTTCCAAGATTTTCATGAAAGTCATTTTTAAGAGACTGCAAAATCATATTTATGTAAATGAGATATTGGTGCAAGAACCATATGGTTTTCAACCCAAATCAGCTACTGATATGGCTACCGTTACCTTAATAAATAATATCCTATTGGCACTTAATAACAAACTAGCTGTCAGAGGATTATTTTGTGATTTAACCAAGGCATTTGACTACGTCAATCATGACATATTGCTTGCTAAATTGGAGTTTTATGGTATTAATAGTATAACAGGGAAGCTGATTAAATCTTACTTGACTGATAGATATTAAAGAACTTTAATGAATAATAATTATAGAAAGGGTGTTTCTGAATGGCAGAAGGTTAAACAGGGTGTTCTACAAGGTTCGATACTTGGGCCTTTGTTTTTTCTGTTATATATCAATGATCTGCTTTATGTAGTAAATAAATCATCCATACCAATTTTGTATGCGGATGATACGTACTAGTATACTGTCTTCAAATTCTAATTCCACAGAACTCGGAACTACCTTGAAAGTGATTCTGCTAAAAATAAATGAGTGGTTTTCACACAATTTGCTAGTGCTAAATTTAAGTAAAACAAATTGTGTCTACTTTTCAACAAAATTGAATCTGTTAAAAAACTTAAATATAATATATAGTGATACTCTAATCCACAACACTTGTAACATCAAATTTCTTGGGCTAATCATTGATAGTACTTTGTCCTGGAAAGATCATATTAATCGGTTAGTAATTAAGCTGAGTTCGGCTGTCTATGCCATCAGAACTTTATCTTCCGTTGTGTCCCAGGAGTGTCTACTGATGACCTATTATGCCTGTGTACATTCCATTGTGTCCTATGGAATTATATTTTGGGGCAGTTCTGCCAACAGTAATTGAATTTTTAAATTAAAAAAAGAACAGTTAGAATCATTATGAAAGCTAGAAAAACGGACTCTTGTCATCCATTGTTTAGATACCTAAATATTCTTCCATTTTACTCACAGTATATAGTTTCAATATCCATGTTTGTTGTTAAAAATATGAATACTTTCACACTGAATTCTGATATACATAGTACCCCGTACCAGACAAAGTTCACATTTACATCATTCGACTTATAAATTAACTGAAGTCCAAAAAGGTGTCCACTGTTCCAGGATTATGATATTTAATAATTTACCACAGAAACTTAATAACATTACAAATGATGTTGATAAGTTTAAACATGCCTTAAAAATTTTCTCCATATTGTCTCCTTTTACTCATTGTGGGAATATCTAGATTGGAGAATAATGGAAAACCTTGCTTCTTACAAATAATTTATAATCTGATTGCTGATTTGATACAGTTTTTTGCGTGGTTGATATAATCTTTTGTCTTGATTTTTATGCAGCATTTCGTTTTGATAAGCATGATTTACATGTATTGTTTACCTGCAGAATTGCCTGTGTATGTTTTTTGCTGATAGTATTGTGATATGACGAGTCCTGTATCAATGTATTTTGATTTATGGGAAAATGAAATAAAGAAAGAGACACTTCCATGACATCAGAGGCAGTTTCAATGTTATCATTCTTTTAATAATGAATTCTGACACTGTTCCATTATAAAAATAAATGTGTCACTATCATACTGTCATTCTAGAATTGAAATGGGTGTGACACTAATAACCCATAGAGTTAGGATGGTATTTATATGAATGAAATTTTCAAGCTGTGAAACATTTTTAGATGTTCTTTAGAAAGCAAAAGAAAATGCATTATATGTAGGCTAGTCCTGTATCTCTGCCTGTTTGTCTGTCTGTGCCCCAATATCATTGCCTAAACAAGTGGAAAAATTTGTTAAAGTTTGCTATAGAATACTTCAACTAAAAATTGCAAAGAAATTCTGATTTTCAACTGCACTGACCCACAGTAAGTCCACTATACTTAAGGCCTTAACTGGACAGACAGGTCACAAGTACCTAAGCTTTATAAACTGTGAAGAACTCTGTTATAAATTTTGTGTACTACATTATGCAGTATACTGTGTTGTGACTTTTGTGTACTACATTATGGAGTGCGTTATGTTGTGACATTTGTGTGCTACATTATGGAGTACACTGTTTCCAAACATTTGTTGCTCTCAGAACCTGTGTGTAAAGTTATGAGTCATATAATCTTGCTTGCATTTGTTTTAATATTGCACATTAATTATTTGTTATTCCCCTAATTGGCAGCTGGCATGTTTGGAGGCTGGGGTAAGGCATCTATTTCAATATAAACTGCTTATGTATCTTTGTGTTATTGTAGTGAATCTTCTATAGAATATATAATATAGAGTTCAGACTGAACCACTACGATGTAACAGCAACATCACAGGAAACTGCCTTTACACATAACATTAAAAAAAAACCTAGAATATATCACTTCAAATATGAACAACCTGTTGAGTGATACACAGTATAACGAGCATAAGCTTCACATGACAAGAGGAAGGTCAAAACCAACATGACCTAGTTTATGAAGGAAGATCTCAGCACACAGGCACTCCACGCCATGATTATTTGTATCACCTGGAACAGTATATCAATACATAGAGGTCACAAAGTTTAGAGAGATTTATAATATAACTCAATTTCTGTACAATTTTAATTTTAATCTTAACTTTTACCATCTAAATATCAAGTTTCAACTGTATACAAATTATGTATATAAAACTCATAGGAACACAATATGGATCCATATTGAATTAAGACGCAATTCGAGAACTAATACTAGTATCCTCCACATGCCTAATGGTGACCCAACATAGGGGTCAAAACATGTAGCGTTAACAGCCAATAAACAAATGTTGATACAGTAGCATGAACTTTGTTTTTTGAAAATACTGTTATGTAGACTGCCCCCATTATATACGTAGGTAAGTCAAAAATTATGCGCACTCTTGTTTTTCTAATTTATACACACAAAAGTAGGGGTTGAACAAATACATAATTTTTCTACATATTTTCCATCTTTTTCGATGCACTTGGTCCAGCGGTCCACAAGCTTGCATATTCCTTCCAGGAAGAAGTTTTTTAGTTGGTCTCGCGCAACAGCTTCTCACACTTCTTTGTCCATAGAAAATCGACGACCTTATAAAGCATCTTTGAGCGATCCAAAGAGATAATAGTCGGAAGGGGCGAGATCTGGGCTGTAGGCAGGGTGTTCCAGCACCTCGAAACCCAAATGGTTAATGGATTCAGCGGTCTGGCCGGCCGTGTCTGTGCTTGCATTGTCATGTGACAACAACACTTTTTTCGACAATAGGCCTCAGCATTTGGTGCAAATTGCTGGCTTCAGATTATTGGCCATTGAATCACTGTATCTTGCACTGCTGATCCTACACCCCTTTGCCAGGTAGTCTTCCAGTATAGGCCCTTTTGAGTCCCAAAAAATTGTTAGCATCACCTTTCCCGCAGAAGATTGAGTCTTGAATTTCTTCTTCATTGGCGATCCCAGGTGTTTTCACACCATACTCTGGCTTTTGGATTATGGCTCATAGTGATGGACCCTCGTTTCATCTCCTATGACTATTATGCTGAAAAATTCTTTGCCTACATTGTTGTAGTGGTCAAGTAAGCATTGGCAGATCTCAACACATTTGCGCTTGTACTCTGCAATAAGCTCTCTTGGCACCCATCTCCCACATACTTTATGGGAGCCGAGCTCATCGTGGATGATTTGATAGGCAGAACCATGACTAATATGCAGAGAACACACTACCCCATCGATGGTAACTCGCCGGTTTGCCAGTACCATCTCTTCTCATCAGTGGTGGAGGTTGACGGCGTCCTGCTCCCTCTTTGTGTGTCACGCTTGTCTGGCAACTTTTAAACTTCTTGATCCACTCATACACACCTCTACGCGGTAGAGCACTGTCCACGTATTGTGTTGAAAGCCTCTGATGTATTTCAGCCCCTGATACACCTTCCAACCAGAGAAATCAGATCACTGCTCTTTGTTCCTCCTTGGTGCACACTGCTAGCAGAGCGTCAAGGTCAAACTTCGATCACATGACCACAATAGTACCATCTCTAAGCATGCATGCGCAGATGGCAGTGTGACAAACCTAAAGATATGTTATGGCGAAAATGCAGATAATCGTTTACTTTCCTTGCATCATCATTATTATACAGGGTGTTCAGTCATCAAGGAAACCGAGGAAGTAACATGAGTCGGGTACAGTATTTCTCACAGATTTCTGCTGTAACTGCTGAGAGTGGAATGAGTCATCAGCACTGATAAAGGCGCACACTCTTGCTAGCGTAAAGTGGATTGATCGTTTATCTGCCATTATTCCCTCACATCAGTTTCCATACATGGACACATTTCTAAGAATACCCTAAAAAGATAACACAGACTTACCTTGCTTTATAATTGGTGCTGAAAGTGACACCCTTCTGCTTGCAAACATGCCGTGCATCGCATAAATTAATTATGTGACACTTTCTGAAGTTGGTCCACGGTAATTGAACCAATTATGCATGTTATTTCATTCTGTTTTCTGTGCTAAGCGTCTTAACGATTTTTGATTAGTCGTGTCACAATATCCCGAACTTTTTCTTCAGTTAGCACAATCCTCTTCAATTGCTTCTTTATGTCACACACTGAACCTGTGGCCTGCCACTTTTTCACAAGCTTGGATACACACGACTTTGTGGGAACTGGCGCATTAGGATATTTACAATGAAACTTGCTGATGCATTTTCTGTAAGTTTTTTCCTTGGGAAATTTTTGACAGTAAACACACTCTGTTCAGTAGTGAACTTCATTTTAGTATAAATGTTTACCGCCTATCGAAATCTCTAACACAGACTGACTATTACTGCAACTTAACTGCAGTGACAAGATCACGCCACCTGACCATGCTCGTGTATCAGTGCTAATAACTCATTCTGCTATCAGGAGTTACAGCAGCAATCTATGAGGAATTTTGGGTGTGATCAGTGGCGTAGCGAAGTTTCCTCATTCCTTGAATGCAGTGTATATCCTATACATGACACAACAGGATGCATACTATAAAGATTGTGTGAATCTTCTAGCCTTATCACATATTAACTAGTTTTATTGCAATGTAGTAACAGTGTGAACTATTTGGAAAATGTAGTATGTTATAAGTGCACAGTGTTTTTAATTTATTGTTGCTATTCTGTGAGTGTTTATAATATTCAGTTATCTGTAGGGTATTTAGTATTTATCATGGAATGTGAATCAGCTTATACAGTATAAATATTGTAAATTTCATTCAGAACAATCACCTAAGAAGAACAGTTCAGTAAAAACATTTTCAGATATTACAATTTGAAACCAAATAGTTGCCATTATATTTTCCAAAGCCATCATATCAGTACTTCCTAGACTGAACTGACTGGTATAGTAGTAACTTCCAAGACCTATATTCAGGAAATGCTTGGCTTGAATCTTAACCAGAACACAAGCTCTCATGACAGAGGATTTTTCATGGTTTCTCTTAGTTCCTCATTATTCATCAGTCATCTTACCTTTTGGCACTTTTTAGTCTAGATAAGTGGGCGGGCGGAAAACGTGAGCAGCAGGGAGGAACTGACATGTTTCACTATTCATTGCCTGGTTTTCTGCTTTCTATTGGAATTTAAACTCATGGACACTTAAATGAGTGCAACAGAACAGTTTCCTGAGTCTCAGTCACATAAGTTCAAAGTCCTATAATGCATCTCAGTAGCATAATTGGACAGCCACTTGTTTTAAAATTCCAAACATTTTTTGTTATCCCTCTGTGTATTTAACACTGTCATCATGACAGAAACAAAATTAATGAATTATGTCTCAGTGAAAATTATGACATATTTAAGTAAATTCTGTCAATATATGCTTCCTATTAATATAAGCTGCATTTTGAAATATTATGCATTTAAATGTTATGTATCTGCAGTGATGTTTGTTACATTGATACTTTTAGAAAGTAAACCAGAATACAGGTACTCCTCAATTTATGCAACATTTCTGTTCCCAAGAAAAGTCACAGAGGGTAAAATGACATAAATATCATTTTCCCTTCTCTCCTCACATTCCTCTTCCACCACCCACAAAGTATTATACTCATCCTTCTCCCTATGTTTCTCAATCAACCAGCAAAGAATTCATATGAAAGTGAGTTTTGTTAATTAAAATTGTTCTAAATTAGCTGAGCTCATTGAAAAGATATAGCCTTTTTTTTTTTTTTTTCAAACTTTCCCATAACGAGGCATTCCTGTATATGTGATATAGCTTGACACTCCACCTGGAGGTACCTTCATTTGTCACAGTCTATGAAGTCTGGAATTTTTTTTAATTTCTCTGTTAGAACTGTTTAAACTCCTTCACTGATATGATCAGAATCATTGTTTCTTGGGAATAAAAGTTAATCTGAAATAGCAGTAATGTTATTGCATAAATACATCAGTTAAACCACCAAGAAAACCTTGAACTTTTACCTTTACTGTATAATATTGTGACCGTATAATATTTTGAGATATATTCTTAGTTTTAGTGTAAGAAGTTAATATCTGGAATTAGACATAAGAAATATGACATGTATATAACTTTTTTCTGTTTCTCGTTGCTTTTAATGGGCTATAGTTCTGTTTAAGATTTGTTATTTTGTAGACATCGTTTCGTCCTTTCCTCATCGATCCATCTTCACTGGCATCAGAATGGCTGAAGAAGCATATGCAAAGATGCACTGTTGAAGTTGTGTCTCAGCACAGTGAGCGCTTTATGACCACTCTGGAACTTGCAATCAGGTACATTGTACATTGAATCCCTTCACTGTTAATCAGAAATTTCCACTTTGTATGACTGTATGTTGAGCATCGATAGGATAAGGATGTACAATATAAAGCCTTTCCTACCCCAATGCTGGTATCACCTTCACACTGTACGTTCTCTTTCCAAAAATAAGGCTCTGGGAACCAGATCATAAAGTATAATTATTCCTCAGTAAGGGTAAAATTGTCTTCTCTCTGCTGGAAGATGTTCAGATATGCATGAATGCTTGTGCACACCCACATGTTCTTAATAGAACCCACAAACAAAACTGTTCATGATAATGATTTTAAGTTTTCATTTGTGTTTATTATGAAAAGGATGAAAAACCTCTGTATTCATTATTCTAAGTGGATAAATTCCTCCAAAGAAAAGGACCTAAATTTTTCTGTATTCTCCCAAAATATGTGCTTGCTAATTATGCAAATAATTTTTCATTACAGAATTTGGTGCTCTTGAAGTTAGTGTAAGATGAATTGGCGTTTGTTTCCTACTTCTAAAATCATGGTATTTATTCAAATTATGCTATAAACTTCAAAATGCAAAATTTGATATTAAGATAATTAAAACTTATTATCTTAAATGCTTTTTGAAATTGCACTTTTCAACAAAAACTTCATCAAAGAGAATGTCACTTCATATTTGTTATAATTTGAATGAAATATAATAAACAGAGATGCATTCCTATGAAATTTGTTTTCAATCAGAAATGATAATAGATAATAAATTTAATTAATCTACTTGCACTTGAAACTTGAAGACCTCTTTCCAGACATCTTAAAAGTAAAGGTATTATACTGTACAATCCAAAATAAGATGGAAGTAACAACTGTCCCCCTACAACAGAGACACCAGGGCTTAGGCTAACCAGTAGTCAGCTACATAGCCAGCTACATCACAAATGCATGCATAATACCTGATCTGCATTCAAAATACATAATGATTTCTTGCAAAAATGTAGTTCAGCTGATTTGTTGTGAAGAGGAGGTCTGACTTCTTGGATATAATGCTCTGCAGTCCACTAGAAGGCAATTGACATTTTGAGGAACAAATTGCCCCCATCTTCATGGTATTCACATTATGCTGTAATTAACTGTGAGAAGGGTTTGCCCTCTGTTTGAATAAATACATGTGTAAGTTACATTAATGCTGCAACTTTTAGAGTGTGGTCTTCTGGGTAGTGACAGAATATAGCATACTGTCTCTGCACCAGGCTCCTCTGAAGCACAGGCAAGCAATCACCTACCAGACTGCATGATGTCTTAAACCTGAAAACAACAATATAAATCTGCATTGCCATGAACTCCTCAGATTTAGTGCTGCTACTGTTGAAATATGCAGTTCATTTTCATAGCATTTCCAAATACAGAAATAATTCACAGTGGAGATTGTGATATTCATTGTACCATCTTATATATTGTTTGATATAATTGTGTGTCTTTAGGTTTGGAAAAGTTCTAATCGTCCAAGAAGTAGATAGTATTGATCCTGTACTTTTCCCCATTCTCCGAGGAGATTTCATAAGTCAAGGTAAGAAATTGAGGACTAATTTGTGATTCACCTACATCGTTATGAAATATAATTTATCACATAAATTTCTGCATTTAAAATTCTGTCAGTAATAAAATTGCTTTTGGCATACCTGCACTTATTCACAGTCAGATGACCAACATCAGACTTTTGTGTACCTCATATTTATTATGAAGATTACAGAGAATGGAAATACACAGTAATGAACTGCACTGTGTACAGGTCCAGGGAAGGTGATTCAAGTGGGAGACAAGTTAATTGATTATCATGACAGCTTCCAGTTATTCTTAACTACACGTAATTCTGAGCCAGATATTTCCCCTGATGTTGCTGCTACTGTTACTTGCGTGAACTTCTCCACAACATGGGCAGGTCTCACAGGACAGGTAACATTCACAACTGTAAAGATATATCACGCTAATGTAGACTGAGAGTATGATCACAAAGTGTTCAGATGAACACATCTGGAACTTTATGTAATAATAACAGTCATGTATAATTCAAAGAACCACATAGATAATCTTAACTTGGAGTTTGGTACGATACGTTCAAAGTATTAATCAGACACTTCATTATACAGATTGTGATGTAGAAAATTCCATTTACTAGTAATTAAGGTTACACACTGCCACTGTAAACTAGCATACCACAGTGTACACACACACACACACACACACACGTATGCACGCATAAACACAAACATGCGCACACGCAACTTTTATATGCACATTTAGAAAGCTTGACGCAATGAAAATAAACATCTGCAATGATGGGACTGGACAGTTTGACAGCAGACCTTTCCAAACTGCATCAAATTTTTTGTATTGAACAAATGCTGGCAACAGGTATTGATAATCAGATCAAATGTACATTGTATCTGTTAATTTTGTTCAACTAGAAATATTGTGCTTAAGCATCATATTGTGTAACTTATCACCACTTTCAGTCACCATAGTAACTAACTTCATGGAACTGAGCCCTTCTTTAGAAGCTGCCAATTGTTCAGCTATTCAAGAACTTCCCAGAGCTTGTGGAACTGAAGATTCATTGTCATGTTCACAAGAGCCCTACATTGGTCCCTATCATGAGCCAGATTAATCCAGTACATACCACCCCATCCTATATCTCTAAGATCCATTTTATATTACTCACTCACCTATGTCTTGTTCTGCCTAGTGGTCTCTTTCCTTCTGGCTTTCCCACCAGTATCCCATATGCATTCCTGTTTGCCCCATTCATGCTATATGCTCTGCCAATTTTATGCTTCTTGACATGATCATTCTAACTATACTTGGCAAAGAGTACAAGCCAAGAAGAAGCTCCTCATTATGCAGTTTTTTCCCAACCTTCTATTACTTCATCTCTCTCTGGTCCAAATATTCTCCTCAGCAGCCTGTTCTCAAACACCCTCAATCTATGTTCCTCCCTTAATGTCGGAGAGCAAGTTTCACACACATGCAGAACCACAGGCAAAGTTATAGTTTTGTATATTCTAACTTTTATGTTTATAGACAGCAGATGAGAAGACAACAGCTTCTGGGCTGAATGGTAGCAAACATTACCCGAATTCAATCTCCTCTTAATTTCCTCCTGAATGATATTGAAATCTCCTAACAAAATTTTCATGTCATCAGTTTTATCCTCTGTTAGGATATGAACACTCAGAACAATGATGTCACACCAGCGACCTCTTGGTATTATGTGTGACATCCTATTACAGACAAACTCTATGCTCTTAACTGCTGTTATGTTTCTCTTATGTCTGAAAAATCTTGTACCTAATTCATGATTCTCATTCCCTTTTCCATAGACAAATGTACATTTGCCTGCTGGTTCGATGCCACCTCTGTCCCATCTGACTTCCTGTACTCCCACTAAATCTGTTTTTTTTTTATATATATTTCTTTCTCAGCTGTCATGAGCTAACCTACTCTATACAGACTTCATACATTCCACATACAAAATCTTATGTCCAGTTACCTAAGCTCAGGTTGTTTATCCAAAGAATCCGCCCAAGCCCAAGGCCCTTTGTGACATTTTGTGACAAGCTAATTTTTTACAAGAGGTATTAGCAGTGCCATGCTGGAGGACCACTCCTTGTCGGCTGTCCACTACTACTTATTTGATATATTCGCAGCTACCCTCCATATCTGGAGGTCATCTCCTCCATCTGCTCCCTGAGGACGTGCCATGCTGTGGTGACAAGGGAAGTCACCACAGTAGTATTGTAATATACAATTGTGGCATATAGACCTGTTGCGAAGCCATGAACATAGCAATTCTATAACTGATTTTCATATATATGCATGAGAATATATTAACTCCCAAAAGGGGGAATACGTCACGAAATGATATTGTTCTGCGGACTATCTCAGTCTGTGTCCCCCACCCTCAACTCATGAGTCAGTTCACTGATGGTCACTGAACTTGGCATGTGTGTTATGCCACTGAAGGGTACCCCAATGCCATGTTGTTTCCTATAGACAGTAATAAGAACACTGAGGATGAGCAAAGTTATGAGGTGGGAGTGACATTCCTACCATTTCTAGGAACCTGAAGTCATGTATGGCCATATATCCCAGGAAAACTTCAACATATGTTGAGGTAATATAGTTGAATTTTGATTAAATTTAAAAAAATTAAAATAATTTTTCAATTCCTTTGGCTTGGAATGATTACTTTAGTATACATTCCATCACGATTGGTTTAGGTTGGCTTAGGTCAGTTTTGCTATCAGGCCTCTGCACATCCACCTGTATGTGTAATCAGACATTGGGCAGATTGGGCAATGTTACGTTGTTAGATTAGGTTAGGTTTACACATAAAACCACTGCACATCCTCGTGCTCATTCAGACAGAAAATGGTCAGATTCTATTACATTAAGTTTGGCCAGATTACTTGGCATATAAGAACACTAGGCATCCACCTGCAATTTTATGTTTTATAAAATCATCAAATACTTAAAAGTTTCATATGTTGTCACATTTTTTAAAGTACTTAACTTTCAAATTTCTCATATTTTCACAAATGCACATATTATTTACATTGGAAAAGCTGGGCAAGTTTGTGTATTTCTGCCAGTTTTCCATTTTGTGAACACCTTAAATATTTTTGAATTTGTAACATTTTCTTAATTTCTAAAATATGTTAAATTTGTTAAAATGAATCCACTGGCCCATGTCACTGTACATGCAGCCTGCCAACATGAGCTTTCACATACATTTGTCTAGGCAGATACAGATTACATCAGGTCATGTAAGATCGTTACATTGCCTATTTTCAGAACCATAAGCATTTCAACATGCTTGGCTACCTTTTCGCACATTACACTGATGGCTTGAGAGACTGTCAAGAGGTGTATATAGTATTTCTTGTAATATTTAGTACTGTTTTCTTGATTCAGTTTTGATTCTTATTAGGTTGTGCTATGACATTCACAAACATATTAAAGTGAAAGTATGTATTTCTTACTTGTGCTTGCCTATAATGTTATGTTGGCCAATTCTGTTGAAGATCACAGTTATTGCACTCCCGTCTTTCAGCCATCATCATACATGTTGTACACAGTACAGTAATTGCATACCTGTATGTTTAAAAAATGTGAACTTCTAAGTGTGCATAAGCATAAACTGAGAAAATGGGCCACTGTACAACAGCAATTTGACACTGTTGACTTACACACACACACACACACACATGCACCCGTGTGTTTGTGTGTGTATGTGTATGACTTTATAACAGGTACAAATGATATGATATGATAAATAACTTAGAATGTTAGAAGTGCCTGCTGACAATTCTTAAGATATGGCTTATCTTCTTTGAGAAATGGTTGATTTTAATGTAATAATGTATTAAAAGAGTCATTCTTCTTACTCTTGTGTAAATGGGGCTCTGGAGTCAGCACTGTTCTAAGCTGCATGAATTACAGATAAGTAACTGTTGTGGTAGGTTATGAAAAGAAGGCTAAATTTTCAAAGTACGTGTCTTTATTTAAAACTATTGTTCTGAACTTGTCCCTCATCCATGTTTATTAAAACCACAATATTTCTGACATTGGTTCTATTTCTGTCTTTGAATAAACAGAGCCTTTTGGGCCTTTTCGTAGAGCTACTCCCAAAGCATGGACATATTTTTGTCTACTTGGCCTTGTTGTGTTATGTCCATTACGTTACTTAATCACCTGAAAGAGTTGTGATGTTTAATGCCTTTTGATGACAAAACATGATATTGTTGTAGTTGCTTGCATGTGCTCTGCGTCAGGAACGGCCAGAGCTAGAGCAACGTCGAAGTGAGCTATTGCGGCAAGAAGAAGAGCTGAAGCTGAAACTTGACCAACTGCAAGAGATTCTCTTACAGAAATTGGCAAATGCTCAAGGAGACATACTCCAGAACAAAGTAAGCAGACCAAACCTGAAATAAATAGTACTTCTCTCCTTGTTTAGTACATAGCAAGAATACATTAATTATGTAATCTATTCTCATAGCAAAGACTGGATAGTAAAGTAAGACATACTGAAGGTAAGAACCAAATACAGCATTTTATTCACTCAATGAAAAAATGTAACAAACTCATAATTTGATGTTCAAACTTGGCTCACTGCATATTTGAATTATGTATTGGGCATTTGCTTGTGAATACTTATTCATGTTATGATGATTATTTCTGTTAGTTTTAAGGTGTGAACATATTCTCCCTAAGATTCAGCAGTATCAGTAACTAGACAGGAGTATAAGGGACAGGTAGCTCAGTGTAAAGCCTGTCCTTCATGTAGCTGGGCTCTAACAACTGAGCTATGTTGGAATACATTTACATTTGATGCAGGGGAAATCCATTACTAAATATTAGATTGTGTTAGATTCAATTGTAATTTTTAAGTATTAGATCACTGTGGTCGCAGTGCAAGGGCCAAGAAGGCCCAACCCTTATACATTCATTCATTCAAGTATTAAATTCTACTTGTTATTTGATATTTTAATACCCACACATAACTGGTACAGTTGGGGTGACTCAAGTGGACTCTTTCTTTGTTGTATGTACTCTTATTATGTTACATCTGTTACAAAAGTATACATTCTTGCAAAGTAAATATTTGGAATGCATCTCTGTGAAGTGTGTCTGAGCTATTTCTGTAGAGAGCTATAATTTGTTTCTCACTCAGTCTCCTTACCAAATTGCTATTTATATGTCCCTTTGTCTTTCTTTCTGAGCAACTTATAAAATGGAAGTTCATTACATAGATGTCTTTGTATGTTTTCACTTAATGTCTATGTTTCTGTTTCATATTTTGACACTAGTTTCAAATATAAATTATGTGTTATAATTTTCTGGAAATGTTTCTATTGGCCATAATGGTCCCACCATTTGATATAAATTTGAACTCATATACAGCATGTGACTGAAAGATGCGGACAAACTTTGGGCACTAGTTCCACATACCGAAACAAGAAAAAATGTCCATAACAACATGTATCCAAAAACATTTAATTTGTGTGTTATAGCTGAAAGATTGCATTTATAATATTCATAAGTGCTCAAAATGTCTTCCATGGGATACAGTGCATCTCCTCGTGGACCACCTCATCTGGTCAGAGATACCGGGGTAGTTGAGGATACTCTGACAGGCATCCACAGTGATATGGTGAAGTTCCTCTTTGTTGTCAACAGGAACTGCATACACAAGGATTTGTAGATGCCCCATACAGGTAAAAATGCAGAGGATTGAAATCTGGCATGGAGTGTGGAGGCCATGCAGTGGGTCCTCCTCTACCTGTCCATCAGTCATGATAGGTGCTGTTTAGAACATCTTGTACATCACAGCTGAAATGTGCCAGGGCACTGTCATGCATGTACCAGATTCATGCTCTGACTGCCAGCGGTACATCTTCCAGTAGCTTTGGCAGGTCATATAAGAGGAAATGTCAGGAGTGGTTGCCTATAAAGCTATGTGTCCAAACTTGCGGGCCTACCAAACAATCAGCAACAGTCCCTGCCCGCACATTAATGCTGAACTGCTGGCTGGTGTCTACACAGCATTCTTTCAGCTATAGCTCACAAATTAAATGTTTCTATGGACGTTTTTATTTTTCTTTTTTCTTTCAGTTTGGTATGTGGAACACATGCCCAAAGTTTGTCTGCACCTTTCGGTTACACCTGTATACCCTTGAACCCCATCTTGTGTTCTTCAGTTATGGTCTTCCCTCATTTAATATTCAGATTCCAAGTCAGTTTCAGTGTTAAATTTTTTCCATTTAAGATTTTCCTCAGTTTCATATTGAAATCTACTGTTCTGGAAAGAAACCTTGAATGTAATCTTCACTGTAATTTCTGACTTCATTTTGAACTCTGAAATTAGTATTTATTTCAGTAATTAAGTAATAGAGAATTCTTTACCTTTGTAATTATTTTATCTTTAGACATATATTTGAAGCTGTGTTTGTTTTGTGGTTCATACTGAATTAACTAGTAAAAAAGTTGAGCCAAGAATTTGATGTGATGTTGAAAAGTTAACTCATATGCAGTGAAGACCATATCAATTTTTGCTTAAATTCTACAGGATCTTCTGGCTTCTCTGAATGAAACAAAAGCAAGTAGTGCTGCAATTTATGAATCCCTGTCTGAGTCATCTCATCTCCAGGCAGATCTGAACAAGGAGTGTGATGTTTACCGACCCCTTGCTGAATTTGGCAGTACTCTGTATTTTGTTATCATAGACCTTCGAAAAGTGAACAACATATACCAGTTCTCAGTAAATGCTTTTATGAGACTGTTTCAGAAAGCATTAAATGGTCCCCAGGTAATTTATTTCTCATTTTAAATGTGAAAAAAACGGTGTTTTTATGACTTTAAGGATTACAAAATAAATTATGATTAAAATGATGATTTGAATTCTCATGCCAAAGCTTTTTTTTTAATCATATTAATATTCTATAATTTCTTAACTCAAACTCTATTCATGCTTTATAAAGTTTCAGCTACTGTTTTGTGATATTTACAAGAAAAACAAACATGTAATATAACTTTTCTGTTTCATGTTTCCTGAAATTGACCTAACAGAGAATACCTAAAGAAGTTACGAAATTTACTCTGTACTCATGTCGTTATGCATGGTAGCCATGGTTGTTAAAATGATGTGCAAGTATTAATGGTAGAACTTCTTGGATGTGGTCTGAATCCTCATATATTTTGTTTTTAATGGCATGAGTAAACTTTGGAGACACTGTCTGCTGGCAGAATACCTTCATATTCACTTCTGTGAGAACCTCAAATCACATATAAGTAAATTCTGATTTCACAATTTAAGTATTGTTCCTTCTTTAACTTTCTAGCTACTGTGAAATTGGCAAGAAAATACTTAATGTTCTGGTTGAAGAATGAGTACTCCTACTGTAGAGAATAAGTATTGTTATTTATGTGATTTATGCCTCAATGTGTAAGTCTTCAGCTGTCGAAATTTCTCTGTAGCAAGAATGAAGGCAGGAATCCACATTTTAGACAGAATCATTTTTAAAGCAGCCTTTCTAATTTATCTATTGTGATAGGTTCACAGGTGAAGATGATGGCTGGCAGAAGGGATTTTGAACTTAACATGGGATTTGAACCAAGTTAGGAGTGTGGTGGAAATTGTTAAGAATAGAGTGCATTTTTTTGTGGCAAAGAGTGCAAAAGATGAAGTCTGTTTGCAAATCAGGGGTGATAAACCCCAAATTGTTGTGGAACTACCCAAGAACACCTTTCTACACTAACACATGAGACAATAATTGCTGGTATTTATGAATATTCATTTTAGTTTTGCATTAGGACACTTATCATTACCGCCATCTAATGCCAAGGTCAAGAATGGTGGAGCTGATATCTTCATGACATGGTGCTTAATTAAGCACAGGGACAACTTACTTCTTCTTCTTCTTCTTCTCCTCCTCCTCCTTCTTCTTCTTCTTCTATCACATTTCCTTAATGTTGTGCACATTTTTTCATTTCATCTAAAGATTTTTTAAATTTGTCTTCAGTTTCCTTATGTATTCAATTATGTCCATGTATTTCACAGAATTTTTCTTGTGATGCAAGAAATGTCACAAATTGATTGAAATGTTTGCCAGTCCAGATCTGCATTATGGCTGTATTGATCACTACTACTTTTCTTGTCATTTTTTTCTATGCTGTGTGACCTTGTCATGTGGATAAACTTGAGATAAAGAAGAAGGAATGCAGCTGGCTCAAAATTATTCAAATTATGTTTTAAGATGCACAGTTTGTCATACATCCATATAATTCTTTAGGATTTTTCCTGTATGGTTTGAGTTGGTGTAGCTTATGATCCTTGTTGTGTAGTACAAAATAGTATACCTTGGATTCATTACCAGTCATTACACATTTTAAGGAGACCCATCCAAGAAGCACAAAGCACACCTCAGCACACCACTGCTTCAGTTCTCATTTAACCATTAAGGAATCTACCGAGTACACTCTCTTAAAAATTACAGCCCTCTGTAAACAGTACTATATTCAGAATTGATGCTAATATTCATCACTTCGGCCAACAATTCACTGCAAGTGCCACATGCTCTTCATCTACCCTAATATTACATGATTTGTTTGACCAGGTTACCAAGATGTTGATTATGTTTGACATCATTCATTGGTTTATTCATCCACTGATAAACTTAGTATTCAACCATGCAAGCTCATTAAAGTCCTTCTGTTATAACTTCTGGCTCTTTCATATTCAAAAACCATTTACAGGTCATATCTCAGTCATTATGCATGGCTGCAGCTGAGCTGCCATCCACACACCATCTGCTTAAGAATGTCTGAAGTGGACAGAATAGCTCATGCACTTGGTACTGTTAACTGGATAGATTTAGTGGAAATAAAGTACCACATGAGCCTAAATATTGTTTGCATTTTCTATAATTTATGATGAATTCCTTTCCACACCCACATTATTGCAATTGATTTGTAGGAAGAACTTGGTGATATGAGAACAAAGGGGCAGCAGAAGAGACTTCAGCATGTGATTTATCAGTACGTCAGTCGATCACTGTTCAAGGCTGACAGGCTCATGTTTGCTCTACATCTTGTCAATAAGCTGTATTTGCAGCAAATTCATGAAAGTGTGAGTACAGCATATGTTACTTATTTATAGTTTATTTATCAGCCATATAGGTATCGCTGGTGAACAAGGGACATAAATGGTAACAAGAGAAATCATTTACACTTTTAGATGTGACTTTGCCTTATATAAGGGTACTATTTCCGTAATGGAGTCTCTGATCAGAAAACAGAGAGAAACAATAATAAATATTACTGCGTTTTTGGACTTTTTCCATCGTCTGGAATTCTAGGTAATAGAGGACATGACGTTTTGGAAACTGGATCTGTTTCCGTCTTCAGGTGACTGGAACTAGTGATTGAGATTAGCTCTTTCTAAGGGGCCCAACTGAGTAGGTGTCTTCCTTTCTCACCTGAAGACGGAAACAGATCCAATTTCCGAAACATTGTATCCTCTATTACCTAGAATTCCGGACGATGGAAAAGGTCCAAAACCCAGTAATTCTGTGTGTCATCCACCACTGTTAGAACCCTTTAGAATCTAGTTATAAATATGTTACTAAATAAGAAATATAACATCCCAAATAAAGGGATAAAACTAGCCCATTGCATAGCTTCTTTAGAAATTTGCTGTACCTTTCTGTCTTTCTTGGAGCCATTATATGGCATTGTTTGTTATGCCTTGCTTTTAAAAAATTATAGTAGTTTGTGTAACATGTAGAAAAAACAATATTTTCTCATTAACATATTTGAGCAGCGTTATGCCTTGTATGTGGTGGTTGTGAAATTGATGTTAGGAAGTCTGGTAAGTTAATTCTGTCACTTAGAGAGAAGAGATGCAAGTAGACGTGCTAGAAGATCTTATTATTACACACCTGAAGGGCAGAAAAGGAAGTTTATAAAAGATAGAAAGACATATTGTGAATGGACCTAAAGACATAATATTACTACTTATTACAAATGATAAAACAATTCCGTCCAGTGTGACTGTTGAAGCTTTTACTACTTCACTTTTTAGCACCATAACATGTTTCGGTCCCTATAGACCAGCCGTGTCAAACATGTGGCCCCCATAACCACAAAGTGCAGCCCCTCAACTTTTAGAGCTAATTGATATTAAAGTCAATATTAAAATTTTAGTAGAAATATTTTCTGTAAAGATAATGTTCCAACAGACCAGAAGACAAGAAGTCTCACGCAGACATAAATTAGCAGGCTGCAGGAAATTCAATGTTTTGCTGTTTATAACATAATTTCTTGTGTAATCTCTCTTTTTACATATTGAAAAGTTGTTTGATACTTGTCAAAAATTGCATTCTCTTGCTTTTTAAAACTGTAACATATGTGACTTTAGGTAGTTGTATTGAAATTATTCATAAATAATAAATAGAATTAAATTTCATTGTATCAAAATCTAATGTATATTTCTATTTTAAGTGTGACCCTGGACTGTTATTTATAGGGCTGAGGTGGCCCTCTGTACAAGTTGAGTTTGACATGCCTGCTATAGACCATCATCAGAGGGAACATCAATACTTTTTGGAACTGCTATTACATTGGGTGTTTTGATTTTTAAAATACATAAATATACAATATTTGTAATATACACTTTATACAAAATCAAAATTTCTTACAACTACAGCAACTGTCATTGATGCATTAAAGTTTTTTAAAAACTTTTTTTATTTAAGTTACAATTCTTTAACCGAATAGGTTCATGTCCCTTGTCCTTTCGTTTTTCTTGACGGGGCCGAACTTGTGCCGCCTGTCTTTCTTGGGAAGGTGGTTCTTGTTGTCGTCCTATGTTTGTGCGTAGCATGCTGTGTTGTAAAAACAATACAGTACGTTATGGCCCCATCAAGAGAAACGAAAGGACAAGGGACATGAACCTATTCGGTTAAAGAATTGTAACTTAAATAAAAAAAGTTTTTAAAAAACTTTAATGCATCAATGACAGTTGCTGTAGTTGTAAGAAATTTTGATTTTGTATAAAGTGTATATTACAAATATTGTATATTTATGTATTTTAAAAATCAAAACACCTAATGTAATAGTAGTTCCAAAAAGTATTGATGTTCCCTCTGATGATGGTCTGTAGGGACCGAAACATGTTAGGGTGCTAAAAAGTGAAGTAGTAAAAGCTTCAACAGTCACACTGGATGGAATTGTTTTATCATTTGTAATATTGTTAGTGTGGCAGAGCAGAATGAAACAAATCAAAATTACTATTATCCTCATTCAAATCCAGAATGTAAATTTCATAAACTTATCCTATTATAACTGAACCATGTAAGATGAATTGAATACAGAGTTTATGTTAAATATTTTGTTTTCTTTGCCTTTCATTCATTCCATTGTTAACTGTATAACATTTCTTTAGGAGTGGGAAGTCTTCATAGGTCAGGCCATATCTAACATCAAGAGTGACGCATCAAAAGCAAGTGACAGTCTACCAAATTGGATTGAAGAAGAAAGAGCATTTGACGTTTTTGTTCTCAAGGTCAGTTTTATAAAAGTAGTTCATAAGAAATCGGATTTTTAGTTTAATTGTTGACTAGATGTAAATACCCCATACTGCTCTCAGTGACCATGTATGTAGTAAGATTATAGATATACAGAGTGTCGTATAATTATTCTTCCAAAATTAAACATTGCAGAAAAAGCACTGCATATTTACAAATGAAGAAATGTAGATTACTGACATAACCAAAGAGTATTGTTTAGTCCTGTACATGTATGATAGATGGTGAAGGATGGCCTGATTTTTCATAGAGTATTATTTTTTTAAAGAAAAGTAGACTTTTGGTATCATCGCATTCATGCATCTAACATATCTGTCTATCTGCAATATGGATGACTGTGACTAGTTTTTAAATGTTTTGTAATTGTAATTGCAATTGATTTCAAGTTCCAGATGATTCAATAAAACTGGTTACAAACCATAGGATATAGAACATGTCAAATATTAACACTTTGTGGACCGCGCACGCATTAATACGTTTTTTGCTCTTAAACGTGGTGGACCGGTCGCGTATTAATACATTTTTAGAACACGGTAAGTTGCAGCACACTATACATCGCTTTGGCACCACCTACATTGCACGCAACCGCCTGCATATGCGTGATAAGACTCTGGAATGTTTAGTTAGCAGTCAGTAACTTGACCTCGCTGTTTACTTAACCGACTATAAAGGAAAATGCTTTGCCTTCTTCAAGCTGTGTGTATCAGCCAGTGGCTAGTGGGAAGACTGGATCAAGAACAAATTCTCCTCCGATGACCTAGCTGACCTGCCCTGTGAAACACGTAGTAATGGATTAATTGTCATTCAGACAGCGACAGTGATGGGGCGACAAGAAAGAATTGTGGCCACGGACAGTAAAAGTGACAGTAGCTCAAACGATAATGCAGGTAATAACATTGCGCGTAGTAACATTGCGGGGACAGCAAAAATTCTAAAAAAAAAAATCTAAACCCTGATTCAAAATTGAAATACAAAGCATTTCTGATGAATGTGGCAAAGGCCTGGGCTACAGTCCAGGTGGTGGCGACAGAACCAGGGTCACACAAAGACTTAGTACGACCGGGCCCTTCAACTCCCACCCCACAAAGGCCTCATGTGGACCCCCCAGGGCTGATATGCTGAAAAATACCCCCGTGAAAATTGTGAAGAGTGAACACCCTCGTGAAAATTGTGAAGAGTGAACATTCCAAGGGGAAGAATCCTTCTAGGCAATGCTGTGTTCGCACAGTTCACAAAAAAAAAGGAGTATGTCTACATTTGCAAGTTCTGTGTAATGCCACTTCACAAAGGGGAATGTTTCCAGAAATATCACACCCTCAAGCACTTCTAGGAGCATTGGTAAGTGTTCTCCAAAAATTTTAATTCAAAAAATTAATTAGGAGATTTTATATTAATTTTTAAAGTGAGCAGTGCACAAGTTAAGGCAGTATGTTTAAAAATGCCGGTCCCCAGGGTGATTTAAATAGTTAAATCGCCGGTCCGCAAAGTGTTAATTAAAATATGTCAAGATAAGCAGAAGAATATAAAAGTACAATACAATCATAAATACAGTTCAGGTATAAGTTGAGCTCAAGTAAATAATTAGAACATGTCAAAATTATAAAGCAATAAAATAAGTGATATAAAAGACAATAAGTATTATCATAAATACAATAAAACTATTATACAGATAGACTCATATAATTCAATATAGAGTAACTAACATACTATTCATATAAAACCATTAGTTTACATCATCACTCATTAACACTGTAATACTCCTCCAAGTCATAAAAACAATGGGTAATCAAGTATCTTCTTAAAGAAATCTTAAATTGCTTGTGTATCCCAACAATCTCCTTTATTTCAAGAGGCAGGTTATTAAATAACTTTATACCTCTAAAGTAAACACCTTTTTGGTACAGTGTTAAGCTGGAAGTTGGGAGATATAAATTACTACTCTGCCTTGTCTGGAGATTATGTGTATCATGATTAGTAGTGAAAAGTTGTCTATTCTTTGATACAAAGAGCAAAACTGAATAAATATATTGTGACTTCAACAGTAAAATTCCAAACTGCCTGAAAAGATTTCTACATGAATGCCTATTACAATATCCCTCATTAAACGAACTGCTATTTTTTTTGTATCATAAAGAGTTTCTTGGTATTGGTTGCCTGCCCCCAAAATACAATTCCATATGATAGTATAGAATGAAACAGAGAATGATATATCTTTACCAACAATGAGCCTGACATATAAGGTCTGACAGATCTTATCATAAAGCAAACTGTAGTTAGTTTGTTAATAACTGAATCAATATGCGTATTCCAAGAGAGGACGTTATCAACTTCCAAACCAAGAAATTCGAGATTAGAGACTTCCACTATATCACTAATATTACAAGAAGTGGAGGCCTTGGTAGGAACAGAGTTTTTGGTTATAAATTGCATAGTGAAAGTCTTCAAAAGATTGATTGATAACAAATTTGATTTAAACCATTTATCTATGATTATAAGACTTGCATTAAGTTTAGTTTCCATAATGTTGGGGCTGTTATCAACGACTATGAGGCTGGTATCATCAGTGAACAAGACAGATAAAGCAGAATCAGCAGTAGCTTGAGGGAGATCATTAATATATAATAAGAACAGCAGAGGACCCAATACTGAGCCCTGTGGTACCCCTTGCTGTATTTTAGGCCAATTAGATGTGATATTATATTATCCTTCAAGCTAATGCACTGGTATCTATCCTTAAGATACTGTGAATATAATTTCTTGGATAATCCAGTAATTCCATTATTTCCAGTTTGTGGAGAAGGATGTTGTGATTTACACAATCAAAAGCTTTCTCAACATCGCAAAATAGTCCCTTGGCTTTTAGTTTGTTATTTAGTGCAGTTAAAGTTGCATTTATTAAAGTATATATAGCATTGTCCGTCGATAGATTTTCTTGGAAGCCGTATTGATTTGGACTAATAATAGTATGTTTCATGAGATGATTTACGAGTCTGTTATACATTACTCTCTCTACAATTTTTTAGAAGGATGTTAGTAGCAAAATGGGTGTGTAGTTAGCTAATGTTGATTTATCTCCCTTTTTAAGTATTGGCTTAACTACAGAGTATTTTAATCAATCAGGGAATACCCCACATTTTAAAATTTTATTACAAATATAACTTACTGGAGAGCTTATATACAGTGCACTGAGTTTAGTGATCCTCAGAGATATTTAATCGTATCCACAAGAATCTTTGGTTTTAAAAGCTTTAATTATTTTTTCAATTACTTTAGGTGTGGATGGTTCATTATGAATTTTTGGGTATTTATTTAAAATTACCTGATGCATATATGGTAAAAATTCTGTAGCCAAAATATTGCTATGCTTACCATTATCTGTTTTAATTAATTTGTTACCAATAGAAATGAAGTAGTCATTAATTCGTTCAGCAGCATTTTGATTCTTGCATTTCTTAATTAGATCCTGAAAGTCGTTTCATTTAGAGATTCTGCCCGTTTCTGAATTAATTATTTTCCAAGTAGAATTAAGTTTATTATGGGATTTCTTAATATAGTTGTCATAATATAGTTTGTGATATGTATTGCATGTTCTTACAAATAACAATTTTGATAGAGAAAACTGTGTTTCTTTCTAATTTCATAGTGACTGCATATTATTAAAAGTAACAATTTTTGTAGAGAAAATTGAGTTTCTTCCCAATTTCGTAGTGATAGCGGGGCATATGAAGTTTTCAAAGAGGTATGTCAAAAAAGTGGATGTAATGTTGAAAAATTGTCCATTTTGGGGAGTATGTTAGATTATACAAAATTTCAGAATCAAGATCCATTTCTGTCATATGTAAGGGGGCCATCCTACTCAGTTGGCCCCAGTAGTCTCTATTGCTGGACATCCATAGAATGCTAACTGAATCATTAGATGTAAGAGGGGAAAGGGATTCTATCTATTTGAACCCATTAAAGGAGCCAGTCTGTTATGATATAGAATGAAGAGACCATTGTCACAAACAGTTTAAGATTGCAGGAAACTAATATTTCTGATGACATAAATTATTATTCAGTGTATTATAGAAGATAAAGGAATGTTAACTGTTATTATGACTTGTATTACAGAGCGCACTTCCAGAACTATATTCGCAACTACAGTTAGATGACAGGGGGTCCTGGTCAGGTTTCTCACGCAGTGGAGAATGTGAAGACAGCTTTCCAGTGCAATTAGCTCGCAAATTGTCACCATTCCAGAAGGTCCTTGTAGTGCAAGCCTTGAGGCCTGATCGACTGCATTCTGCACTTCTTCACTTTGCTCTTCAGACCCTAGGTACAGTTGAATGTTGTCCACTATAAATTGAAGATGATTGTGGTGCAAGGGTGGCTGAACACCCACTCCTTTAATCTAATCTGAACTTAAAAATTGAACATTAATAGTTGTACAATAGAAGGAGAGATTCCTTCATCTTTCAGATCCAAAATCAAATACTGCCTTTTAAACCTATCCCATTAACAAGGATGATTCACAATCAGATGGTTCCCTCCATGAAAATATTGCAGTATCTTTACAATTACTGTAAATAATACAGCAGCAATTAGAATATTTAACTTCTTTATTAAGACCATCACAACACAACTATATCATATGATACTATAACACAACAGGATGCATGAAATGAAAATTAGAATATTTGCCACAGTTTTGTCCAGTCTTGCAAAATATTGTAAACAACTTTTGTAGAAATTGTAGCAAGGTTAGATCACAGTAGGTGAAAATTTCCAACAGTTTTTCCATGTCTATACTTTTGTGGGAGATTATTCTGCCTTTCTTTTTTGGTTTTTTGTAAATTATTGATGGGCTGGAAAATAAAAAATAAACTACATAAATGGATAACGTATACAGCATATTTTGAATATATCTTCCATGTAATAAAATTCATGGGGCCCAAATTTTTGGACTCCATTGTATAGGATTCTTTTATATGTCAGGTTATTGTTATCTCATCAAAGAAGTTTATAAGATATAATTTTCACTTCAGGTATTTCAACATGCATATAATCTAGATTTCCACTTGTCTTAATCCATATTATCAAAGTATCCATCAATAATGCAACAATACAGAAGACATTAGGAATATGTTTCATGCTAAAAATGTATGTCAGTACTTTCTGATGTTTTTAAAATCTGTACATGTCAATAGGACATTAAAAACATATTCTATACATTAAATGTGATTATCCAGTTTCTAAAATGTCTCTAGTCATATATTTCTTCTAGTTTATGACATATTTCTGCCACATATGGGCCATCATCGGGTAATTTCTTTTATTTTGGGAGAAACCGCTGCACTTTATACTTGTTCACTGTGCTTCCATGCAAGTCAGTATTTAGTTCTATCTCATGGTCAGAATGCCGTTGTTGCACCCTATTGCAGCTGTCAAAGTTTTTGTGTGTCGTATGTATCACTACGAGTAGTGTGGTCTACCTGTGTAATTGAATTGAATTGAATTTATTTACATTCTATAAATCCTAAGCAGGTTAGTACCTTTGGATACAGAACAAGTCAAAAGGTTACATACATAAGTACAGGCAATTTTAGCTTAAAAATTAATATTATTTACATTGAAGTATTCATCTAAAGAGTAGAAGGAATGAGCATGTAGATAATTCTTTAACTCTGATTTAAACTTTTTAGTATCATTGCCCAAGTTTTTAATACTTTGTGGCAGATTGTTGAACACTTTTATGCCAGTAAAGTAGACTCCTTTTTGATATACTGATAAAGTTGATGAGGGTAGGTGGAAGTTATATTTTTGTCTAGTATTCATGTTATAGACATCAGAATTTAATTTGAATTTATCTTTGTTGTAAACAACAAATAAGAGAAGCGAGAATCTGTGGTCTCCCCAAAAAGAAAATAAATTACATAATGATGGCATATATGTGGACGAAACATGTCATAAACTAGAAGAAATATATGACTAGAGACATTTTAGAAACTGGATAATCACTTTTAATGTATAGAATATGCCATTAGTGTCCTATTGACATGTAATGATTTTAACAACATCAAAAAGTACTCAAATACATTTTTAGTGTGAAACATATTCCTAATATCTTTTATAATGTTGCATTATTGATGGATACCTTGATAACAAGGATGATGTCTCAATGCAAGGAGATGCTAAAATGTAATAAATTGCATGTATCTTATTTTCTGTATATTTTCTTATCTTGTATCAATGTTGTTAGGTCCTAGAATTTCTCACAACCTTTTTTATGTCTGATACTGCCTGATTTTATTACCTTCATTAGCCTACCAGAAAAGTGTGGAGTGTTAGGTTATAAGAACAACATAGTTCTTATAAATGCAGGATTTTTTGAACACTGTAATATAGCTTTGGGTTCCATAAAATGTGAAGAAATTCTTTACCACCTAAGTAACTGTTGTCTTCTCGAGAAGTACTCTGCCACATGGAGTTAAATAGTTATTATAAACATAAAGAAGGAACTAAACTAAAAATGAACTTGTATAAGAGGTGGGCCTTCTCGGCCCTTGCACCACGACCTACAGTGATCTATTGTGCCTAAAAATGAACTTATAAAAAACAGAAATTCAGTTAGGTGTCTCCGAATAGCCATTTTTTTTTCTAGTTTTGCTTAGCACTGAATTGTTGACTTATTCATCAGTCAAATGAGAATAACAGTAATCAGAATAAACACACATATCATTGTCACTCCAATGCTGAATTTATATTATTAATTACTTTTCTGCTGATTTTCTTTTTCATCTGTCACCAATTAATATTTTTCAGCCATGTATATGGTAGATTTTGGGGTCCAAATGTTCATAGTCAGCACAGTAAAGAAGAGATTTTGGTATATGCATTTTTGTTGTAGGTCTGCGAGACCTTTCCCCATCAGCACTGAGTCTGAAACAGCTCTTACCTGAGACGCTTGCAACTGAGCCAGTTCTTCTTGTCATCTCTCCAGGAGCTGACCCATCAGAGGAACTCCGTGCTCTTGCTCATGTCACAGTTGGGGATCAACACTATTATGAGGTGCATTCATATTCTGAATGATGAGATTATTTGATTTTCATCACATGACCAACTTTTAAAAAATCTGTGTTTCTGTAATAGGTATTTTGAATAATATTACTGAAGTCTGATTTTCATTTCAGATTCTGTGAAACTTGTGTTTTATTTGCTGTAGAGAATGCATCTCAGATTGGGACATCATTTATTTACTGTACACCCTTCAAAAGCATCTGCGAAATTCTAGGGTGGCTGCACATCTTGAAGTGCTCGAGTAGACATTAGTTTATCTGCCATAATATTTCTTGATTTGTTTATATCCCAAAAAAATCTAAAGGTACCATTTATTCAAGCCTGATTTTTTTTAATATAATCACTTCACCACGTTGACATTTGCTATTATACAGATGGCTATGAGTCAGGACCAGGTGACTGCAGCTTTGGATTACCTGCATGCTGCAGCTCGACAAGGAGATTGGCTGTGTCTAAAGAACCTGCACCTGATGACGTACTGGCTACCAGCACTCGAGAAGGAATTCAAGTCCCTACAGCCACATGAAAACTTTCGCTTATGGCTTACTGCTGAAGTGCATCCAAAATTTTCAGCTATCCTTGCTCAGTCTTGTCTCAAAGTGACTTATGAGGTATTATGTGCATTAATGTTATATCATGAAAAATTTTCAAATGAGATACGTAACAGTAATTATCAGTTTCAGAGCACCAGTCATTTAGACAATAATTTACAGAAACGAGTGGAAAGGTGTACTTTGAATACACATTTTTTCCAAATATATTCTTTGCTATTTTCCATACGTGTTGGCCTTGATATTCCTTTATTTCAGATACAAATTTATTTTTGTGAAGCTAATTTCACTGCATTCCTAGCAGGAACAAGAGATTTTTTTTCTATGCAGAATCCAGACCAACTCTGTGGCTCATGCAGCCTCCTATGCTAAAGTGGCTGGGTTAGAAGCTGACTGCTCACCTCCATCTAGTCTTGAAGTTAAAAATGCATGAAATCGCACTTCCACTCTCCCATATGTCTTAATGGGATGGTACTTTATTGAGTACAGAGACAACTTTCTGTTTTAATTGCATTACAAATGTCATATTATACTGCATCATTTTTTTGTGTGTGTCTTGTTAAACGTTCTCAACATTAAGAGATATTTGAAATAAAAATTGTAGCTCTTAACAGGATATGTAATTTATGTTATGTACCAATTCTTGACTCGACATTACGATCATACCCCATAATATAAATCTGGCATTTGCTTCTTCCAGAATCCAAAACTGAGTGTTGTTTAGAGGAATGCTTGAATAATGTCTAAAATTATACTGCAGCTATTTTCTTTTGCATTATAACTAGGACACCTTATATGGCCACTCTGCCCAGTGCTGTATGGCCTCTGCAGTGCAGAAAGTTCATTAACTAATTTAAGAAAGCAAAGAAATTCAGTGTTTTTGCAAAATGCAAAATGCAGCATCAAGTGATGGGGTGGCTGAGAGTAATTGATGGAGAGGATGTGGAGGGAAGCATCTGTAGCCTATTTTATCATACCATCCAAACAGTCATTTGGATAGACTGAGAAAATCCACAGAAATCCTCAGTGAGAAAAGCTGCTGTCCAGGCCAAGATTTGAATTCAGATCATTTGAAATATAAGGCAGAAATGCTAGCCACTTAACTGCCATGTTCAATAGCATGCAATATTTTATCAGTTGCAATATATACTTAATTTATGGTTGTCTGCAAATTTTTTTCTGTATTTCTCTTTGTATGCGGTAAAATACATGTAATATAACACTATTTTACAACTATCAGTATTCTTCATTTTTACTTGAATGACTATATAGTCTATGTTGAACTCTCCTACATATTCTCTACAAAGGCTCAGTAGGTAAGTCAGTTAAATTATCTTCTTTCAGTTATATAGTTAACAGATAATTTCTATTTAAATTCCTTCACACGCCCTCATACTTAATTTTTAATTGTGAAGATTTGATATTGGTTGTCATTACAAGATTTTTAATACCTCATAAAAGAATTTATTATTATATTATAAATAAAAGTGTTTAGATGTGTTACATTTAAATCCATCTTAATGTTCCTTGATTTAAGGTTTTCCTTCATTTAATGTCCTATTTCTATGATCCCAAGTCAATAAAGTCAGTGTTAGATTATCTCCATTGAAAATTGTCCTTAGTTTAGTGTTCAAGTCCACTGGCTTCCAAAGAAATCCTAAAATAGAGGTGTGACTTCAGTAATGAATAGATTTGTAACTATTATTCTTACTGCATAGAGATATAAGATACTGTCCCTCAGTAAACTCATTTCCCTTTTACCATTTCATGAATCAGAATTGGTTAAGAACCCGAGGGACCATATCTGCTTGCTCCAAATTGTAATTGTTTTCAGTATTCATCAGGTTTTTTTTAACAAAAAATGGGTGGGATTAAATCATGTTGCTTAAGTACCAGTTCTTGATATCTTTGGTTTCAGTCTCCACAAGGTGTGAAGAAAAACCTACAGCGCACATATGCATCATGGGGTCCAGAATTCATCAGCAGCAATGGTCAGGGTGACAGGGCCAAGGCATTATTTGCTCTTGCCTGGTTTCATGCAGTGGTTCAAGAGAGACGAACATTTATCCCACAGGGCTGGGCTAAGTTTTATGAGTTCAGTGACGCTGATTTAAGAGCAGGAGCTGAAGTTCTTCAGAAGCTCTTCAAGAAAGGTTAGTTTCTGAATATTATTGGCTTACATTTTGTTATTATTAATGATTTATGCAGGTTACATAATGTTCTTAGGATACTGAAATCTAGGAGGCTAGAATAGGTTTGTCGTGTATCCAGGATGTGAAGGTTAGGAATGAATACACAATTAAGATACAGATGCCTCTTAAGAAGTGATAACATGATAAACCATGAAGGAATCAAGAGGCCTTTGGAATGCTTGTGTCTATTTCATATTGGTAGTGTTGAAACTTGAGGTTCTGTTACCAGAGTGTTGTTGTTAATGGTGGTAGTAGTTATGGTAGCAGCATGTATTATGCATATTGTCATATTATTTTAGTGTTATTGTTCTAGCTTTTGTTGTTGTTTTACTTAACTATATATACATTCATTGTATTTATTAGTATTATGCATTTTGTTTTTTAAGTAGAAGAGAACATAAAACGTGAGAAACAGTTTGAATGAGAATTAAATGCTAAGCTGATCTTATATTTTTGGCTGTATCCAATAAATAATTATCTTAAATCATTTTTTAGGTTAATTTGAAATGGTAATAAGATTTTGTTAGTATTTTGCCATACTGTTTAAATGTGTAGATAGATAACACACAACACATCTTTGTAAATTAATCTATTCCAATATTCTGTTACTTAATATTGTCATAATGGATAAATAAGCATAGCCTTCAATCTGATTGACATAAAACCTGAATAACACCTTTAGGATAAAAAATTTAAAATGAAAGTCTTTCACAATCAGTTGTTGGTTAAAAAATTTAATAAAAGTACCGTCTGTAAAAAGGTAATAAACAGAGAAAAAATGGACTCTGAAGGGTTCTGATGATGGTGTATAACACTTAGAATTACTGGGTTTTTGGACTTTGACCATCGTCCGTTATTCTAGAAACTATAAAACAACGTTTTGGGACCCAACTAAATAGGTGGTTTCCCTGCTCACCTGAGGGTGGAATCAGATCCAGTTTCCAAAACGTTATGTTTTCTAGTTTCTAGAATACCAGACAATTGACAAAGTCCAAAAACCCAGTAATTCTGAGAGAAAAATTGGTTATTAACTGGGTCAGAAAATAATTACATAAACTGTTCCTATTACCGGTATGTAAGCAAGCTTTATTAATAGGATAAGAGAGAGTTTAGCACAGGTAGTGTTGAATTACACAAAGAAGACAGTACTAGGTTATTGCCAACTGTTATCATTTGAAGTTGGTGTAGTGCATATATAGTGGAAGGTGGAAATGAGGGAGAAATGGCCAGAGAAGTAGAAATATATGTATGTAAACATATTTTTGGTCTGTGAAAAACCATTATTATATAATGAATTCTTTACTGTAGAAATTCATAAGTAATTTGGGTAAAGCATAAGATCACATTTCTTTTCACTCTCCATCATAACTGACTGATTCTTTGGAGTGGAGGCCTTGAAAATTTTGTAGTTGCTCAGCTAGTCAAGAAATTCTCTGCCTCTTATGGAACTTGAAGATTCATTACTGTGTACGTCTGTTTACATAAGAGCCCACCATTAGCCTCTACACCAAGTTAGATAATTTTACACCATGTCCTCCCAACTTGTTTCTTTAAGAGCTATCTCGTCCTCCCCCTTTTCCTCCTCCTCATCACCATCACCACCATCATAATAATCCTTTCATCTTTGTCTAGGTCTTCCAACTTGGCTGTTCCCTTCAGATTTTCTGACCAGAACAGTGTATACTTTTTTCACTCGCATGTTACAGTGTTTCAGGTGAAGTGTACATACTATGTAGAGTCCTCGGTATGCAGTTTTCTACAGGCTCATACTGCTTCTTTCTGTATGTATTTGGGTGCATAGTTGGTGTGTGTTTATTCTGCATTATTTGCATCCATGCTGGAGGTGTGTGTGTTAGGACACGTGCAGAATGAATAAAAAAAACTCCGTTATTTTAGTCCACAAGCAAACTATACCCCTTCTGTAGTCTAGTGGTCAGCATTCCTGACTACAGATCCTGAGGCCCGGTTTCGATTCCCAGAGCTACCAGATTTTTTCTGAGAAGTAAAGGGTCTGAAACTGGGTGCACTCAGCCTCGTGACGAAAATTGAGAAGCTGTTTCAAAGAAATACCGGCTCTGGTCTAGAAAACCGAAATTAATGGCCATGGGGATTCATTGCGCTGACCACGCAACACCCTCTATCTGCAAAACTTGGCACTAAACTTTGCCGACTACCTGACGGTCGCTCAGTCAGTCGGCAAAATGGATAAGCATCAAGAATTATTGTGAATGCAGTAACAATTAGTTTGTTACTTTGCAAACTTCCTTGACATTTGTTTATTGTATTCCAATGCAAACATCAGCTGTTTGTACAAATTATATATGATTGTTGAGATGTACTAATATAAATTAATCATCTCAGTGCAGTATATGGATACCCATCTTCATAGGCAATAAAAATATATTCTCAGTTTTTATGTAAATTAGAAAATAACCACTTTCATTAAAGTGCATGGCAGCACTTGGTGGACTGCAGTCAGATGAGTCTATTAAAAGCTAACCAACAGTTCATTAGCTCCATTCTCCTACCCGAGAAACAGGACACAAGTTTTGTATATGCTTGTCATGTATGTGTTTGAAGTTAGTTTCCTGAGAGGGCTACTCAAACTTTCTTTACATTTGTCTCTCATTATCAAAGATATTCTGTAGTCTGGGTCTAACAGTGAAGGTCAGAAACCAAAATGAATTCTTTCAGACTTGGTGCTTTCTAAAATATTTTTGATCTTGTAATCAGATCCAGGAAACATCAAATGGGAATTTGTACATGGCTTATATGAGAACGCAATCTATGGTGGCCGAGTTGACAACATTTATGATATCAGAGTCCTTACCTCTTACCTCAGGGAGTTTTTCAATACAGCTGTACTCGTGGATGGAAGAAAGACATTAGGATCTGCAGTTAATGTCCCCACTGTGGCCAGTTATGAGGTATGTTGAATAAGAAATAGGAAAAGAAATGTTCTCATGAATGTTAAAAATGATTGATTTATTGCATGCTGAAATTATAATTTGATTACAGTTCTGTATTTAAAGCGGACCTTACACAATCGGTAATAATGTCATTATCTTATCGGAATGACATTAATAATGAGCATGTAAGGTTGATGGAACTGGAACGATGGTCAGAAATGATGTGAATCCGGATTTTCTGATTTTGAGGCATCATTACTGGTGAATGGTGGGGATACTGTCATTAGCAGGGCCCGGATTTTGATGACCTGAAATATTTAAAAAAAATCCAGAAAAATGACCTAAAATATGACCCAAAAATGTAATATGCAGGGCCACAGATTTTGATGACCTGAAAATATTCAAGAAATGACCAAAAACATCCAGAAGAATGCCCTAAAGGAGAAAAGAAAGAACACTTCGCTTCCATGTTATTCACATTTCGGAAAACATATAAAGAAAAATTCCCTAAAATGGCCAAAAATTACAAGAAACACCCTTAAAAGTCCAAAAATTTACCAAAAAATAACCCCCAAAATGAAAAAATGACCTTAAACCTAGAAATGACAAAAAATACCTATAAAATTTACATTTCTGTAACCAGCAGCTCATATCCGAGATTTATATATTTAAGAGCATCGCATAGGATACAAGGAAAAAAAGGTGACATGTTATCAAAATCCGGGCCCTGGTCATTAGTAATGACTGTGTAGAGTGCGTGCATCATTATTCCTTCATTACTCAGTTCGCTTTTTGGAGTCAGAGCGGCAATTACTAGACATGGACAGCAAAAGTGAGTTCTCCGTGACTGAATCCCCTGCAAGTGAGGTGACTGCAGAAGAGGGCGAAGTTCTTCGAAACTTCATAGAGACATATGAAGCCCTACTGGAACTGTGGAACCCTACTAACCCAGAGTATTTAAATAAGACAAAAAGGAATATAGCCTTGGACAATCTGCTGAATATACAAGTATACGTCACACCATTTCTTTTAGCAGAACAACACCGAAATACTTTTCACGTTTTTGTAACCAGTATTTCATCCAGCGTCGACGCTTAATATTTCGTTTTGTGCCTAATGCTAAAATTATAGCAATACACGCTTTTCTGTGAGGATCCATTATAATCCTCGAGAAAACTGACACAAAATAAATGTGCTTCTTTCTTGATGAGTCGAGCAGTACTGAAGCAAATTATATCATTTAAAATGATCATGTAAGGTTGAAAAGCAATGACGGAGTAATGAAGGAAGGTAATGACATTACAAGTAATGACATTATTACTGATCATGTAAGGTCCGCTTAAGGTGAATGCTAGTAACTACTTTATAGTCTCTTTTTAGTTTTTTTTTTTTAATTTGCTTACTGGGGGGTGGATTCCAACTGGGCCCACTCAGCACAGCGACCACTGATTGGCCTATTGTAGCCTGCCCCTGGTGATTATGATGATGGAGAATTTGGTGGAACGAAGATTGGCAGGGGAAACTGAAGTACTTGGAGAAAACCCGCCACAGCACCACTTTGTCCATCACAAATCCCACTTAACCAGACCCGGGATCGAACCCGGGCCGCCGCAGTGAGAAGACAGCGAATAACCGCTTGAGCTATGGCGCAGTTATAGTCTCTTTGGATAAAGATTGTAAATCCCCACCCCTTGTTTGTATCTCTCAAGATTTCATAAGAGTTTACTTTACATCAGTGACTCTATTTATTGCAGCACCAACAAGAATGGAGATCTTCTAGTGATAGCAGTAATATATGAATCACAATTCAGAATCTTTTTATATAACATGCTGAATAATCTCATGTCTGCCACTACACCTAACTCTGTCACCATTCACCTAAGTTTTCCAGTCTGTAGCAGGCTTAAATATAAACAGTTTTATAGTTTTCATTTCGTGCATCCTGTTGTGTTATAATATACAATTTCTTTTTATTAAAATGTGTCACAACAGAACAGTATCAAGGTCAAGGCCAAGATTGGCTCATGCTACATGTTTCGGCTATTAAAGCCATCATCAGGCAAAATCTAGAACATACCATTACGCCCACGGGAATATAAAAAAAATGCAACAACCAACAACAGTCTTGATGAAATAAAACATCACATGAAGAGTCTTAACTTTGTTTTATCCTATGACTTTCGTTTTTATATAGTCTAGTTCTTTGTACGTTTATGCCAAGCATTTTATAATGTAATAATTATTATCATTATCCACTTTTACCAGTCCTGCAGTTCAGTGGTGTGAATATGTTAATCATGTATTTGCCTGATTATGACTTTAATAGCCGAAACATGTAGCATGAGCCAATCTTGGCCTTGACCTTGATATTGTTGTGTTCTGATGGATTTTAGTAAAGAAATTGTAGTTTTATAGTTGGTGGCACCCAAAGGGCAGAGTCAGTGAATTGTAATGTATAAAGATGATTCTTGGAGGATGAATCCATGGTTTAACATTTCATTACAAATTTATATCTATTATATAGCTCATAAGTAAGGTCACACTTCGGGCTGCGCCATAGCTCAAGCAGTTAGTCGCTGGCTTCCCAACCCGGCGGCCCGGGTTCAATCCCGTGTCTGGTTAAGTGGGATTTATGGTGGACAAATTGGCACTGGGGCAGGTTTTCTCCGAGTACTTAGGTTTCCCCTGCCAATCTTCATTCGACCAATTGCTCCACAATCACCCTCACCTATCATCTGGGGCTGGTACAATAGGTCAGAAGTGGCCGCAGTAAAAGGGACTTAGTCCCACCCCACTAGCAATAAAAAAAAAGGTCACACTTGTTTATTCTATGCCTTTGTCATTCCAAAAGAATATTTTATGAAACCATTCCTGTCTGTTGGAGTGGAAAAATCTGAGTACTAGTGATATTAAAGTCTGTGGCAATGGATGAAATTTTGAAATTAGAAGTGATAATAATTATATTTTAATGTTTCATATACATATTCGCCATTTATGTTTTCTTGGTCCTCCTCCCTTGCCATACATAGTCTTTCTTCAAAATGTACCAGTAATTAAGAAGTTTCATTCTTGTCTCACAAATGCATTTTTGGTGATAATCCTTTCCTTCATTTTGTTCTACACTTGCATAAGTCTTGATCCCAGTTTTATGAGTCACTGTTAAGAAAAGGTGGCAACACTGAAGTTGATGGTTATAGATTCAGTGATGTGCCTTCTGATGCTATTCTCCATGACATGTTATGCAACCAGACAGAACCCAAAATTAACTGAAACATGACGTTTATGAGGCTAATACCAAAATGTGGTCTCTAGCTAGACACACATAACTTGCAAGCTAAAAAAAGAGAACTGAAATTTTCATTGCAGGCTCATATGAATGTTATTCAGCAATTATCAGATAATGACAAGCCAGCATACTTCGGGTTACCAGTTAATGTGGAGCGCTCATGGCAGAGGATCACCAGCCATGAAGTTATTAATCAGCTTAAAAGTAAGTTCACAAGATCATTTCATCATGAAAGTACAGTGCGTACAATCAAGTGCGCGCCGCGGCTGCAATTTGCCGTGAGTCATACCACCGCAGAACGGATGCAACTCCTCCCCGCGACTGCAGTGCCGTTCCCCGATAGCGTGAGTGTAGTGGTGTCGCTGAGTTTCCATCCATCAGTTGCTCTACATGCACACATTTATAAGAATACAGTAAAAAGATAACTTACCGTGGTTTATAACAGGTGCTGAAAGTGACCTCCTTCTGCTTGCAAACATGCCGCGCATCTCACAAATAAATTACGCGACACTCTCTGCAGTTCGTCAACGGTAATTGAATGAATTACGTGTGTAATTTCATTTTGAAGACTATCAATGCTGTGGGGATTATTTTTGTAGACTTTTTGCTTCAGGTTGCCCCAAAGATAATAATCAGAAATACTGAGATCTGGGGATCTGGGAGGCCACAGTCCTCTACTGACAATTCTGTCTTCAAACACTTCCTGTATTGCGACCATGGATGCATTAGCCGTATGTGCTGTAGCGTTGTCCTGCTGAAAATACCCGTATTGTCTTTCTTCGGCATTCAACTGATCGAAGAAGGGATTCAGTATGTCATTAATGTACCGATCAGAGTTCACGGTATCGTGGAAAAATATGGGGCCAATGATTCGCCGCGGGCTTACAGCACACCACACACCCACCTTTTCACTATGTAATGGCACTTGCTGTATAGCGTGAGGATTTTCATTGCTCCATATTCTTACGTTTTGTGCATTGACGTGGCCACCAACGTGGAACCACGCTTCATCAGTCATGAATAGAAGCTGAGGATCCACTATTCCATCGTGTACATTTTGCAGCAGCCAGTTGCAAAAACGAATTCTTGCTGCATGATCTGGTTCTTTCAGCTCATGCACAACTGTTACTTTATACGGGCGAAATTTGATTAACTTTGTGGCTGTGCGAGCAGATCCTAGCGAAACACCAGTTTCCTGTGCTAAGCGTCTTAACGATTTTCGAGGACTGATCTGTAATCTTGCCTGAATATCCTTAACCTTTTCTTCAGTCAGCACAGTTCTCTTCGATTGCTTCTTCTTGTCACTAACTGAACCTGTGGCCCGCCACTTTTTCAGAAGCCTGTTTACACACGACTTTGTGGGAACTGGCGAGTCAGGATATTTCTGACGAAACCTACGTGCGAATTTTCTGTAAATGTTTTTCCTTGCAATAGTTTCGACAATAAACACACGCTGTTTAATAGTGAACTTCATTTCCACCGTCTGTCGACAGCTGTAAACATTCCACTCCACTTCCACAGCAAGACAAAGACTGACTGTTTAATGCAACCTCGGGTTCCGATTATGCAACCATCGGCGTAGGAGCACTGCAGTCGCGGGGAGGAGTTGCATCCGTTCTGCGGTGGTATGACTCACGTCAAATTGCAGCCGCGGCCGCACTTGATTGTACGCACTGTACAATATGCACAGTGAAGTGGATTTTGTTCATATCCATTCCTTGCTCTAAATACAGGCACCTTGGAAGTGACAGCTGGTGAAAATGACAAAGAAAAGAATATATAGGATATTAATTTATTTGTATCAGTATGCCCTTATCTATGTTATGATATTAGATTCATGAAAATTTGTACTGAAACTCTTTATCTCTGTATTGCAGCATTAAGGAGGTCTGTTGAGGGAGTCAGCAAATTTAATAGAGAAGAATGGCAGGTTCAGCTTACACCTATTTTGAACCTATGGAAGAAGCTGAACCAGGTGTGTAGTGTTAGTATTCATCTCACTGCAGCAGTATGTTTTATCATCCTGTAATGAAACTTCACCAAAGCTAGAAATTATCGAAGTGGACTAATCCAAATACAGTCAGCAGTTACAGTCTGCTTATTCATTTGGTTTCATCGTCAAAGCACTGTTAATAAAATTTATATGTTTTAAGAAAATATAATTTGCTTAGAAGAAATTTACTAGTTTTACATATACTGGATTTGGTTGTAGGGAACTGATCTGTTACTCTTAAATTATTTTACAGGATGAGACACTTGAAAAGTATGATTTCAGACATACAGTATACAATAATGAATTTAATGACATCTGATAAAATATTTATTTGAAGCCTTGCTCCGTAAGTTTACAAGGACATAAGTGTTTTCCTAAAAATATCCAATTTGTGGTTCAAAATGATCTCACTGTTGGCGGGTCATCTAGTTTATACAGTTCTACATTAACACGCTATAACAACTTGACAATCTGGCCCATGCAGTGTGGAGTGATTACTACACAACCCCTAAACTTGTCATCCTTCAGGAATTCTCACAAGAAATTACTCACTTGGATAATACAGGTCAAGTGTGGTTGTTGGCATGGGAATCCTTGTTCAGTAGATATGAACTTTAAATATTGTAAAATCTCAGGATTTTTTAAAAAATAGACTTTCCCATTTGGCAAGTTGTAAATGCTTGTTCACCATCACCACACAAATTCTTACACAGCCCTCACTGCACATGGAAAATATCATACAACCCAAAAAGATGACAATACATGCAGCATTAACAGTTCACATGGAGGGTCCAACATACTCTTGAAGAGGATGAAACAAACCAAGTATGGCCTAATCCATGAAGGTGCAGGTGAAGGTGGTGGTTGTAGTAATGATGATAATGACAATGACAATGTTGATGACAACAACAACAACACAGCAGCAGCTCCTTAAACGGTATTTCTTGTAGGCCTCTTCTGGTAATAAAGAGAGTTCTCTTTGCTTCGTTAAAAATGTTCTCAAAACATTTCTTTTCATTTAGGTGTACTGCATGGTTTAGGTCTCACATAAACTTTATCTAACATTGATAATATCTGTTGAAACTTTGTTGTTAATATTTTTTATAGTCATATGGCTTGGAATCAAATGCATGCCATATTTCCTGCAAAGTGAAAGTTTTATGACAATAAAAGTGTTTTTATGACAATACCGTGTTTGCCTGCTGCTGGACTGTTAGGTTAGTACCTTCTTGAAAATTGTTTCAGAACACTGAAACAACTGAGAAACAAAATTAATACAATAAACTTGTTATTTGTTACTAAAAGTAATCTCATCAGTTGTTGGTTACTGTACAGTAGTGATATGAAATCATAACAATAAACTTGTTATTTATTACCAAGAAGCATCTCATAGTTTGTTGGTTACCATCCAGTAATGGTATGAAATCATACTTATTAAGTTGCTCACCCTGTTTATACTATTCTGCTTACAGTATTTTAATATATGAATGATAATGTTTATGTCTAGGGGTCAGCTTTGATACAAATGAAAGTGCCACAGGTAGTAGAAGGATCAGGAGGGAGAAACAATGAGATGGCACTACCAGTGGTGTTGTTTGTAACTCTGGAATATCATGATGCTGTTGTTTTAGTGCAGCAAGTGCACAAGTCCTTAGCTACTCTCAGTAAGGTGATTCGTGGTACTATACTACCTAGCAGTGATGTGGTGCAATTGGCTGACTCCATCATAAACCAGCAGGTTTGTTAGTACTATCATTAACTACCATTTAAAGTATTGATTTTTTAGTGCTCTGTAACACATATAGTGCACCATAACTTCCATCTTATCCATATTTCAGTTTCTTTTAAATACAAATTGTTTCAGCAACATAAAGGGGAGGAAACTCTAAGCTTTCAATTCATATAGGTCTCATCATAGTTTTAAATTCCCATGTTATATACAACATTTAAATATCTTTGACCAGAGTTTTCTATACCACAGTTCATTGTATTGCTTCAGAGCCTTGCCAATCCTGTGAGGATTTTGTGAACTAAACAAATTCAAATGGAGATTGATGAAGATTAGTGTTTTCTTGGATGTGGCTACATGGCATTACATCCCAGAAGACAATAAAATTTATATTTGATGTCATATATCTTCAAAGTCATTGCCATGAGAACCTCAAATTCTGAGAAACAGAGATTGACTGAGAAGGTATTGTGCATAGAGCAATGAAGTCCTTAAACCCTGAGTGTGGCTGATTTTCTTGCATCCTGATCCAGAATGTTCTGCTTTCTTGAAGATATTTATAACTATTACAAGTCTTGAGGACTGTTTTTAGAAGTTGATCTTGACTCCATAACCATTATCTGGTACATATAAGACTGAATGATGTTTCTCCTTTGAATGTCTTTACTGTTGTGGATGCAGTCAGGCTAGTTATCCTAACTATAAAATAACAAACAGTTATTGAGTCAAAGCTGTGGCATCAACAAGCAGAAACAGATGGCCATCCTGCAAGATAAGCTAGTTGAAAGAGGTTAGTGAAGAAAGTTCAATAAATTTAGAATGTTGAGAATAATAATGAAATTGATGACTGTACATTTTGTGGCAGACTCCAGATATATGGCAGAAAATATGGGAAGGTCCTGGCGAGCCCATGCTATATCTTCGAGTCTTGATGGCCCGAGCTCTAGCCATCCAACGTTGGAATCTGCGAGTGACTCAGGGTTCTTTACTTTCAGAACCTATTGACCTTTCTGAACTTTTTCACCCAGAAACTTTCCTTAGTTCTCTCAAGCAGCAAACAGCAAGGTGAGGCCTTTCCATGTTGACATAACCCTTAAAGTAAAATTAGTATGAAATTTGCACTTTAGTATTAGAAATACTACCCATAGAATAACAATTTCAAACAGCAATTATGAATAAAGTAGACAATTACAGTCAGTAAATCTTATTTTTGTAGTGTTGTGGCACTTCATACACTTCATAAAAATCTGTTTCATTCAATTAAAGTTTCTTGTACACAAAGTTTCATAATACAAAAATTAGTATATCTTCAGAGTCATCAGTATTAAGTCAAATGAAAATTAATTTAGCCAGAATTGATGTGTGTGTTTTTTCAAGTGGCGTTAACAATATATATATTTCTGTAAACTCAGACTGAAAGGAAATTGTGTTAATTACAATCACTTTCAATTAGGAAACAATTATAGTACAACAGACAGATACAAATACATAAATACAGATTTAGAGTACAGATCTTTTATTAGTATATTCCGCTAACTGTGTTGATATCTAGAATGAATTTTGTGAATAAAATTTAGTTGTTCATATTTCCTAGAAATTGTTTGTGTGTTATTTTTGTATTTTGGGTGTACTTAACAGTGGTGTTTGTATTTCAGAATTTATATAGCATATGAATTAGATGGGAAAATGAGCATGAATGGTGATTAAGTAGAACTTTAGAAGGAAATAATTATGATCCTTTTAACATGTTCCTGATGAGAGTGAAGAAAATTGTGAAAAATCTGTCACAATAGTTGGAAGTCTGGTCAAAGTTTAAACCGAAGAAAGCAGTCTTCTGGGATTTGGCACCGTGTATATGTGGTGTTAACTGACGTCAAGCAGTCTGCTTGACTTGCTTGACCGTGTCTCACGGTGTTGTCGCTTGCAGATTTACTTATACTTCTTCAACCCTGAAGATGGGGGCGATACGTTCCTCCGAAACGTCGGTTAACACCACATATACACGGTGCCAAATCCCAGAAGACTGCTTTCTTCATAGTCACCGCCGTGAAAGCCTCAAATCTTACAAAGTTTAAACCAGCTACCTCTAAAATACAAGTATTACCACTACAACTTTGTTATTTTGGTTGTGGCCAATTGATTTTTTTATCTGTTTGCAGAGATTATAGAGTGGCCTTGGATGAGCTTCAGTTAGCATGCAGCTGGAGTAAGAGTGGACTGCCTGGTGCTCTTCTGCCTGTCACTTTGATAGCCTTACAGCTGGAAGGAGCTGCATTTGATGGTTTACGCTTGTTGCCAAATGGAGTTGACTCACCTAGTATAACACTGGCTCCACCTTGTACAGTTGCCTGGATGCCAAAGGTACCTGGAGTATGATACTATGTATATGGCAGTCAACATTCTTATTGTTTTAGTTGTAATTATAATGCAATGATGTAATGTTAACTAGTTTTCTCATTTTGATATGAGGTAAGCTAGTTCTAATTCTTTAATAATTTTATGGGAGATAACTGATACAGAGTACATTTTTCCATCATCTGTAAATTACCAAATCTCCCTGCTCTGAAAATGTGGCACAATCTACATTTTTACAGAAAAACTCCCTCTTACATTTGCTGCTCAGAATTCAATTTTACCCTTGGTTGCTATGTGAAAGATTAGATAACTTTCCATTTTATGGTAAAGTGTAAGAATAGGCCATATTGTCCATCAGTATGGAAGAATGGTCAATGTAATAATGTTTCTCATGAACCTGACCATATCTAGAATGGAAATAAGTGGGCTGTACTATAAGGAATGGTTGTCTGTAATAAAACCAAGAAACAAGATTATTTTAGGCATGTTTCCAACCCCACAGTGTTCTTCCTAAGTTTGCTCAGTTCATCTGTCAATTTTATATGTGAAACAATCCAAGGATCGCTCAACAGATTCTCATGAAATTTTAGAGAATTTTACAAAACATTGGTGGGCCATTTCAAATTTTCATTTAGATTTGACATGTTTAATGACTGTACATGGAGATCTGTATGTTCTATGCATATCTCACTAAGTATTTATCTGAGAGAAAAGTGTTTCAAACAAAAGTTGTAGAGAAAAATAAAGTGCACATTTAATATCCTATACACTCTGTCCTAAAGTGTTACAGCAAAAACAATGTTCTGCATACATTTTCAAACTGTTACATTTAGCAACCAAGAGTAGCCTCCAGAACACAGTCCCAGTTAAAGAGAAGAAAAAAAACATTTTCATTAAGTTCAAACATTTTAGGTTAGTGAACATATCAATTTTGTTTTAGAATTAATTGTTTCATAAAGTAGGCTGATCATGTTTTTGTATTCTTTATGCATAAAGATTCATATGACTGTAATTTGTTATGCAGGGAAGTGTCCAAACTTACCATCCTGGAGAGGCAATTTGCTTACCATTGTACTATACTTCTGGCAGAGAGCAAGTTGTGGTAAGTTTGGATGTGCCATGTGCAGGAGATGATGATAAATGGATTCAGACAGGAGCAGCATTCTTTTTGAGAAACTGAATAGCTGCACTAACTCCACCACCAGTTCAGTGTTGTAAGGTATGTCTGAAGGTATTGACATTGTTTGAATTCTGAGGTACAATTGTTGTAAGGAATTTGTGTCCATAAAAAATGAACTAGTTAATTTGAAAAAGCGAACATGCACGCTTTTCAGCCATTGGACATACTCCCTTTTCCAACTAACTGGTTCATTTTAATCTATTACTGAATAAAGTTTAGAAAAACTAGATTTACGTTATCGTACCTTTCCTCATTATGATGACAACAAGATGTGTTCCTTTTCTTTGTAGCAGGGGTGTTAGAACTGTTGGCAATTGAAATTTGTGTTGACATTAATGTAGTGTGGAGGGCTCTTGTGAACATGGTAATGAACCTTATGGTTCTACAAAATGTTGGGAAATCCTGGAGTAACTGCACAACTGGCAGCTTCTTGAGAAGGGCTCAGCTCCATGGAGTTAGTTAGTCATGCATGTAGAGGAGTATCATGGTTGTAGTATAACAACAGTTTGAATGTTGTTTCTGTATACTAACAAAATGTATTTTGCAAAGCAGTAGTGAAATGAGCTTTGTATCATATTCAGATTTCTTTCATGTTAACATACTGCATACAAATTGCAGTGCTCACCACAGTTTTCTATCTGACCATGGTTTACGAGTCAGGAACTCCCTTTTTATGGGTTAGGAACATTCCAGGTACTGTGACTGTCCTGGACATGGTGATAAGTGTTCTTTTGAATCAAAGTAATGTACCATGTTTTCATTATGTGTTAAGAATTTTCAAAATAATTGACATTTTTTAGAAAGCTATTTCATTCTGGTAGAATACCACTCTTCACTGATTAATATGTTTAGTTCTGGTTTATTTAGCAATGCTTAGCTGTGTTGGTCATGTAGTGTCATAAGGTGGGAGAAGTGTGAATAATAAATTTAGAAGTTGTGGAAGGAAGCAGTTGTGACTTTTTGAAGGTGACAGTCTACCATTTGCAGCTTGATGGGACTGATGAGAGCTATGAAAATCTTCAGTCAGGATAGCCAGCCTCCAAGCTGAAAATTGAATCTGGAACTGGATTGTAAAGCAAATGATCATAACATTCGGTAATAATATATTGGTGGATAAGAAAAGACAACTTAAAATTATATGTGCAGTGCATTGACGTTTTGTGCAAGGAAATGTTCGTGAAGACCATGCATAATTCAAAACTCACATAATTCAAGACAAGTTTTCTCATAGTGTTTAAACACATATGTGATTCTTGCCAAATTTTGGGGGGATCTGCATTATTTCAAACTTTGTGCATAAAGTGAGACTTTATTAATACAGTATGCGCCAAAAATTACAGTACTGAAACTCGCGCATCTCGAACGCACGTGCATTTGTCGATGGGGCATAGCTCTAGCCGCACGTGTTCCCAGTAGTGAAAAGGAAATTGTGTTGTGCAGTTGTTGTTGGAAATGGGTCTCTCGATGGAGGAAAAAGTATTCATAGTTGAGTAATATTTCCGCCCATATGGAAATGGTCGCCAGACAACTTGCTTCATTGGTTTTGAGCAGCCAGATGTTATCATCTAGAAACTGCTACGTAGTACACGTGTGATGATATGGTGTGCCATCTTAGCACCGTTATATTAGGCCCCTGTTTCATTGATGATGAGGAAGGCAATGCTCTTCCTGTCACCCAAGAACACTACAGGGACATGGTGATTGGAACATTTCTTTAGGATTTGAGAAGGTTGTGCAAGGGGCCTTCACATGAATAGACACTGGTATCAACAGGACGTCTTTTCATTTCAATACAGTATATTTTGGCACACACTGTATTTTTATATCACACTATTTCAAATTGGCATACATGCAACCACACTGTATATGTACTTTAATAGATGATAAGCGTAGTTCATATATGAGTGTGCAAAGTGCCTAAAATAAGCAGTAATTTAGATAACCTTACTGAATCAGTGAAGTTGATAGAGAAATAAAATGAATGTCAGTGTGTAAAGACATACACAATGAAGACAGAGCATTTATTGGCATCAAGGACTCAAATTAAGGATCTATGTCTCACTTTTACACTGAAAATTTCCTGTCCTAGTTATCTTCAACATTTGTTTGTGAAATTACTATGAGAAGAAATGGTATCAGATGTTTTACAACTTTCTTCAGAGATTGCATTCACATTTCCAAACTGTCTGTAGTGTTCATAAAACACATACAAATTTGTTGAAATATGTCATCACCACTTTCCATTAACCACAGAGATTTTCCCATTTGTTTAGCATCCCACTTCACTGTTTATTCAATCATGACTTCACCTCTGACACACCGCTTAATGTGAGTTGTATATGAGCTTCAAAACTCCTCTCAAAATTATTAACCCTGAAGATGGTAATTGCAAGGTTTGCTGAAAATTGGAAACCCCTCAGCATACAATGTGGCTTAGTCCTGAAAGTCAAAACTCCATAAAAATTATGCAATTGATCATACTGCCTAAATGCATATTGCTTTATACCTTTGTGGTGTCAGTATGATTATTTTAGTCTAAATGTAATTCTGGGTGCAATTTTTTTTTTTTTTTTTTTTTTCCCCCTGTTGCATAGAAGTGGAGTCTGCATATCCCCTAAAACTAAAACGTTCTAAATTTTCTTATAAAAAACAGTCCCAGAATTCTTGTGGCCTATATTATAGTAAGCTCTTCATACACCTTGAAACTTTCTTACTGGGGACCGTAACATGTGTGGAACATCTTTCAAAGACAGAAGTTAAACTTAACATTGCTGATGTGTTGTTCTAGTCAGTTATTCTATCATCTTGTCACTCTCACTCCATTCTGTGATATTAATTCTTGTTACTATACCGTCCAAATATTTATACATATTTACCTAATACTGTAAACTCCCAGTTACCTGGTATCCAGGCATCTGGAATTCTCATGGAACTGGCAAATATTTCAAAGAAAATTTATAATTTTTACAAAATTACTCAGAGACAAAATTGCAGTGCACAAATGTTCACTGACTATGCAACAGTTCTCTCAGTGGCGATTAACAGCGCTGCATTCTCCCTCACATAGGTGCTGTTACAGAAGAGGCTAATTGGATTTGTGATCATGTTACAGTATATCCAAAATCTTTCGCCAGTTAATCCATTGCGTTGCCTCTGAAGATTTCCATGGAAGAACTACAGTAAAAATGTGTTTTGGCTTTCTGTATGAGGTTCTTATACAACCAACAAAACCATTTAAAATGGCATACTCTGTTCCCCATACATGTCAGATAACTTGGAGTTTACTATATATATTAGTCATTTTAATTGTTTTGGCACCTGATAGAGAGACCCTCTGAAAATTCCATCCAGTTTATAATTTTAGAAGATGTATGCCAAGAGATAGTCATAATTTTAATTTATGTTCAAAAAATGTTAATACTTATGTGGGGACTGATTTGTAAATACAGTTGTGTAAACAGTGCTTCATACAGTGTCTGCTTGATGTCCACAAATATCTATGTATTACACTGGAAGACACGTCTGATGCTTTCTCTAAGATCATTCAAGGCCCATAGATCTGTACGATACATGTTTTCTCTAACCAAATCCCACAACTCCATGTTGAGTATTAACATTTTTTTTTAATCCTGTATAATTGTCTACATGATAAGTATATATGTTGTTCCTGTGAATTATACTTGAATACTTAAATAATACCTACAATAAAATGGCTTCTTTTTTTAATTCAGCTTTGCCTTCATTTGAACCATATGAACTTCATACCATAAAGGAAATTCCTGTTAAAGGAGGTATCTATCACATGTTAATTTGTGTTCACCATGTTGAGTAACAGGGAATAAAATTCTCATATTTTGTTTCCAAATTTTCGTGCATGAATAAATTTGTATCTACTCCTGTTGAAGATGTGTACAGTGAGTTCTTAACAGATGGAACATTGCAATAAAATATACCTCTGAAACCCTGGTATTCTCCTTTATGACACAGGTACACTTTCACACTTTTCTCCAAGTCTTGATGAAGAATGAAGATTAGGACTAGGATGCATCTCAAAACAAAGAATAGACTAATTCATTCAGTTTTATAAAGAAGATATATATTTCTTAATACAAAAATTGATTTCATTTCTAACATTTTATATTAGCCCTTCCATAAAGAGCCTGTTTTAGAGAGGACAGTACATTAGTGTTTAATGATCACAGCTCTCATCTGTTTGTGCTTTCTCAGTTTGAGTATATTAAAAGAAACCTTAGAGGACCAAGAGAACAGAAGCATCAGTGCTCAGATGGTAGTGCACTGTTACATAACATTTAAATGGCACATGCAGAAATACAGAGAATATGAATTACTTAATCAAATAGAGAAATAAATGAATTCTTAATCCTATTAGTTCATGACTGTCTGATGGTTTAGCATTTATGCCACTTGTTACTTTCAGTTGACTGGATGGTACCTCAGTTTCATAAAAAAACAATGAGCCGTGAATGAAGTCATGATAGCTGAGTTGGTAAAGTGACAGGCTACGGCCTGGGCAGCCAGGCTTTGATTTGCGGCAAGGCAGATTTTTCTCTTCTCCACAGCATCCAGACTGGCTCTAGAGCCCACCCATCCTCCTATCTCATGGGTGCTGGGGGCTCTTTCCCTGAGGGTAAAGCAGTCAAGGTGTGAAGCTGACCACTCACCTCGATCTAGTGCCAAGATCAAGAATGCTGGGACTATACTTCCACTCCCCCATATGTCTTATGGCACAGTGCTTAACTAATTAAGCACAAGGACAACTTTACTTTTTACCTTATATGAGCCATTAATATATAATTGTGGGGCTGAATATGAGTCCAAATATGCATATCTGTGATTGTCAGTCTAACTTAAAAGCAAAATGTACACATTAACAAGCTCCTGACTGAATTAACTGTTGTCCAAAAGCACAATTTTCTTACAGATTAACTTCTTCAGCCTGAATGCTGTGAACTGTATAAGGACTACTTAGCTCCTGTGATCCTTCTTTCAGTGTGAACAAATTCTAATATAAAAATTAAAAAATACCAGTTCCAAATTATGAATACTTTAAGACAAAACTTTAGCACCTTACACACTTACGTCCACCTTTAATGCAATTTTGTTTACAATTTCTCCTTAATTTAAAGTAATATTAAAATTACAATTAAATTGCTACATGTTTTGGCCTTACTTGACCATCATCAGCCAAATGTCCATTTGTTGAAATTGCTACATTGTATTAGTTCTTAAGTTAAAATATTCCAATGTTATTGCATTTTCGTTGTTCACATTAAAATACATTTGCTTGAGAACATTGCTCTTTATCTTTTCTTGCAATGTCTGTTTTTTTTGTGTTGTTCTGTTCAGCCATATGAATATTGGTGTGGTGGTGTTATCATTGTTAGTTCTATGTGACCCCATTAACATGCATGTTCCCACGCAGTTGCTGTAGTTGAGTGTATGTCCCAAAGTTGCATTAAAGACAAAGTGTGTAAAGTGATACAGCAGTGCAACAGGATGCTGAAATACTATATTATTAAAAGTTTAACATACATGCTTCTTGAATTTGCTTTCCTACAACATGAAATGAATATGGACAATAAAGGCTCCATCCATTTAACAATTAATATCACATACAAATAAACCATCAGTCAGTCATAAATTAACATGAGTTTGTAACTGCTACTGGAATATTTAACCTTAAAACCTGCAACCACAAAGGTAGCTATAATATGTAGTACATAAAAAAAAGCAATATTTGTCTGCTCCCTTGTGTTTAATACCTAGTATATAATTACATTCACAAGAATATGTAGAGAAATTTTTGTCACATGCTTCACAGCCCATCTTGTTTCATTTCATTGTATCCTTATTCTGATGTGCATCTTCATTTATTTTACCAGACTGTGTAATATCCAATGTAAAACTACAGACAGAAGTCATACGTGGACATAATATTAAGGGCAGACAGTTTTGCTTATTTAAGTGCTTCTATTTTTCAGGTTTCTACAGATTCAATAAATTGAAAAGTGTCAAATTTTCAGTGCTATTGCAGGATCTGCCTTCAGGGAAGAATACTTTGAGACCTCCAGATTTTAGGTAAATATATATTTAAAGTATATTTTTTATAGAAATTATTTATCTCTGGTTAAATAACTGTGTTGCAAAGACTACCTAAAGATTTCTGATAGGTTGGTTATCCATCAGGTGAACCACTGCTCACGCATTCCTAGACTTGAATGTTTTGGGGACATAAATTTTCATTCCACATAGCACTGAGATGTAAGACAAATGCAATTTGCACTGACCAACATTCTCACACAACCTGTCAGATCAACAGAAGGCTGTTAATGAACATGAAACTGAAGACTATACTAACAGTCAGTGGATTCAGTCATAAGCATGTTAGAAATCTTTAAAATGGAAGAGCACAGAGGTTCTAATCAGTGGTTTTATCTGGCTTACAGCTGTACTAATCAGCAAAGCCATGTACAAACATGAGCATACACTTCCTGATATATATGGACTTACATTACATAAAGTAAATGTAAATTACCCATGAGTCTAAATACCATTCCATATAGGTGTAGACAGGGTCTGTGGTGCGAGTCTCCATGAATTTCTATAAATTTGTTACAAGCTGTAAATGTTGGTTCACACTATGCTCACATTGAGAAAGCACCCTTGTATTCATCAGTTTCTAATAATTTAACCCCAGCTGTTCAGCCCATACCCAAGCATCATACTGATTAAGCTGCCAAATATTTTGTGTGTTACGTGGCAGGCCACAGATACAGATTCAGAAACACCTAGTAAAGAAAAGGTTTATATGTAGGTAAAGGAATGGTTCTAGGTTATTAAAGGGTATAAACACCAAACAGTAAGTTCACAGAGTCAGTTTTCTCAGTAACTACAAACTAATAAGACACTGCATTAATTGTTAGGTATTTAAAATGTTCCAAACTGGTTGTTTTGTCTTTCATGTAACATCAGTACATAGTGTTTCCTCCATTTCCATGCAAGTAATGTGAAGTTTTCAAGCTGGTAATAGTTTAGCTGCCTACCTCAGTTCAATATAATCGACCTTCCCATGTGTTCACTAATTAACAGTTACACTGCTACTTGGAAATTTGCTGTCTTTTCTGTTACCAACTAATGCTCTTTCCTATAAATAGCTCCTTCCCCTAAGACTGATCCGTAACAGTAGTACTCACTTATCCAATTACCAACATGTGGTTTAGAAGTATAGAGATTCATTTTAAAATGTCTGCATAGTCAGAACAGTAGTACTCACTTATCCAATTACCAACATGTGGTTTAGAAGTACAGAGATTCATTTTAAAATGTTTACATAAAGTGTTTGAAAGACTCATAACTGGAAGTATTGAAGAAGCTTTATAGCTATAACTATTAAGATACTGGACTCACTAATCAATGAAACAATCTACAATTAGAAACTGTAATTTCACAGTACTAAACATGTGGTTAACAATAACAAAAATCAGTGATCTGCTGTAATCTCTCTTTGAAGTGACAGCTTCATATCCAAGGAGAAAATGAGAATACTTGGGGAAGTGCAGGTACAGTACATTTAATTATGACTGCTTGAATAATATATGAACAGAATATTGTGTGTTCTTCATTTGAGTCTGTTGCCTTGATGGGCCCTTATTCTGGCAAGTGATTTATGCTTTCAAACATACTTAGCATAAACAATGTACCAATTTGTTTTTAACATTCTTTTGAAATTGATCTCAATATTGTGCATACATACATCTTCCTTGACTTGACTGAAAGCCTTCAAAGCTGATTTCCATTAAAAATCCAGTCTTATAAACCTATATTGGACAAACATTCTCACAAATTTATTTCTTAAAACTTTGTGAATGTGGCCACTACTATTACTTTGCATTAGCTATTACCTTTTTAATTCAGACATTCAAGATTTACCATTGATATAAATTACAGCACTGGTCAAAATTACAGTTTTTCTCTCCAGCATGGGCATTTTTGTAGGTATTTTACCTGTGCTGTTTTCTGTTAACTTACATATCCCAGTCTAGTCCATGCTGTTCATTAATTCAACAAAAATAACACAAGAGAGCCATTGACAAAGAATGAAAAGGAATAATATTATTAGCTAAGAACATATCTAAGAATTAAGAGAATAAACTAGAATATGCTAAATGGGAAGGAACAGTGATGGAGGATACATTCACATTCTTCCTTAATGCAATATCTTTTGACAGAACACAGAAATGTTCTTTTCCATAGGCCTTGTATGTTAATATGTGCTATACACTGTATTTCACTCATGACAACAGACAGTGCTAGTGTCTCAGCAATTACAATGACATTTTATCATGTGTATACCAGCCACAAGACAACACAACAGCCACCACCACTGAGCAATTAACAGATAAAACAGCTGCCTTAAAATACCAGAAGCTGAATGCCATAAATGCATGTCTCTAAAACTTCTAAGGTTTTACCCCACTTACTCTTTCAGGGATGTGCAAACAATTATTTGTCACGGCTGATATTTTGCATTTTCACTTATTATTAATGTTGCACTCTACAAAGTATAAAATCCAAAGACATTTGCTCCATTTTGTATGTAAACATGAAATATACTGAAGTCACATGTGAATACAAGAAAGAAGAATGGAGAGTACATCAAATTAAAATATATCACACATCATCATAATGTGGGGGGGGAAAAAATCTACAAATATTTATATCAATCGCAATAGGACAATGTTAACAACACTGGCGCACACCTGTAGATATAGTGCAGTAACTATATGCCTATCTGTGGCCTGAGACATGTGGATAATGCCTTCTTCAGGCATTGAGAAACCATCTGACCAAACAGTATTATGCTTCTTAAGATCTACAAATTTTCCTTTTCAACTTCATTTGTGTAATTATTTTCTGATGTCTTACAAGTTTATGCACTATCAAATAAGATATGATAGGATTATTGTGACTGAAGAATCAGGAATAAAATAGGATGAAGCACTCAGCATATTTTAATGTACCATCCCATACATAAAAAAGTAAAGCTATCCCTGTAAAGGGCCGAGGAGGCCCACATGGTTGTGAGATGTCAAGGCTCCTCCATCTTCTAGACAGCTGGCCCACAGACGGCAGTGAGGTTGTCAGCCTTATGCACTGGCTACCCTTTACCCCCAAGAAGATTCCTGGTACTCATTTCTGTAGGAAGCTGAGTTGAGCCCCAGATCATAGTGTGGCTGGAAGGATTACTTCATTGAAAAATTCACTGATCTCACTGGGAATCAAATCCCTGACCTTCCAGCTTGTAGCATAGTGCCTCAACTACACTACTGTGTGTCTCCCACCATCCCAGATATACAACTGATACAGCAGGGAATAACAGCCAGTCTCTGGCCAGAATTTGAACAAGACACCTTCCAAGTGTATTACCACCATGTTGTCTCAATTGTATTTTCATGCTTACATGATTCAGATACTGCATACTCTTCTAAATGATGTTACCTATGCACTGGAACTATGAATCTACTCCTAATATCAGATGCATACAATACAGTCCAGGGCTGCTGCTTTTTATACTGTTATGCTTGGAATAGAATGATGAGACTTCATATAGTTCGTGCTTCACACACCTGACATCTAATGGAAGAAGTATAAATTTTAACCTTTAAGAGATGGGCCATTTAAATTCCCATAATGGCAGCAGGCCGGAGTTAATTTAAATGTCCGCCACTGTAGAGTATTAAAAATTGTAAGCATGTTACTGAAAATGCTGTGATTTCTACAATTTTTGTAATAAACGAAAGAAATAAACGCTGCTTTTATCTAGAAAGAATATAGAATTAGATATTGTAATTTACAGATTTTAAAATCTGTAAAAATTGTTACACTGATTAAAAAAAATTCCCCTCTTTCAAGCATCTGTCCACATATATGCATACAGTTTCTGCACAAAACATTTCTGCAGTATATGTGCATGCTGCTGACATCCTGTCTTACTGTGTCTTATCTGGCAAAAGGGGAGGAAGTTTATGTTTGTAGCGCACATTCTCCAGTCATGTCAGAACCTTTCTGTATACAGAAGTGTGAGCGAAGTCTTATCGTACTTTGTCCTTCAGAAACTCTGACTGTGTATACCTCGGACTAGCCACACAGAGGTACTGTTCTCGGAATAGCTCCACATATCCCCCTTGCCTCCTTGCCATTTTCAGGGTTGTCTGTACTGCATTCTGAATCGGTGTCATTTATCAGCGGCCTCTCAATTTCGGCTTCTTCCATGCAAAATGAGGCCATGGTGGATAGTTGAAATTGCAATGTTTTATAAGTGTTATGATTAGAGGAGGCCACTCGACATCACTGGCCGACTTCCCCTAATACGAGACTGAAGTGTCGTGTGTGCTCTTCGTGTGGGAAACAGAGTTACATCTGGACAAAGTGCATGAATTGCGATGTTGGACACTGCATTCAGTTAGATGACGCAAGAGGGAAGACTGTCTACTTATAAAGCGGGTGCCGAAAAATAATGTAAGTAGAACAAGAATTTCTGTCTTAAAATTAGATTTTAAAACACTGTGCACATGCGTGGACTGCGTGTACCCATATGGTGTCACACAGCCACTCGGCTACACTTTAAAAGGTCTCCATACGGTGTCGTTAGGCTCTTAAAGGTTAACATTCAGTAGCTCTTACTGTTATTCAAGGCAACAATACAGGAGGCAAATGTGTACCTGAACAATGTTGTATAATTAAGAATCTTGTAGCTAAGCAAGTTTCCAGTGCTTCAATACATTTATAACTGTGAGCAGTGTTTAGGGAGAAAACTGTTCTGATCCCAGGGGTTACAATAGTTTGGATAGTACTGCCAGTGATACAAACATTGATGGTATCAGAGCTGATATGTGTTATTACACATGAAATCACAGACCAAACTGTAGTATGTAATGATTCTGTGGAAACATCCACACTTAATCACCTTAGGCTCAAATAAGTGTCTGCCAAATTAGTGTCAGAACTAGTGTCAGAAGCCTCAAATCTTACATAGTGTCAGAACAGTTTAATGTGGACCAAAATAAATGTCAGAATGTTTGGGGAGTTAAAGCTGTCCCTTATGCACCATGTCACGAAGTTCCAAGAATTGTTACCCTTAGAACTAGACAAAGGTCAATGTCTGCTTTATGTGCCAACTGTTTTTTGCCTTCGGGGTAAACAGCTCCCAGTAATCACTGGAAAGAAACTGGATGGACCCCACAGCTTGTCTGGACGTTGTAGCAAAGGGCAAACACCCTGCCCTTTCCAAGAATCAAACACCAGTCATCCAGCTCATGGATAGTCATTTTAATGATTGTGCTATCCAAGCTAATTGCAACTGCATTCATCAACAAAACATATTACTTGATATCACATGTGACATGGGCAAATTCTGAACTCGGAATGAAATTACAGCACAACTAAAAGCATGGAATAACATACTGAAAACACAACAATCTTAACAAATAGGTCAGATAAGAATGACACCTGCAATTCAAGATGCACAAAGACAGGCAGAAACCAATCACTGTGTGCTCCAAAAATCTAATTACAGTATTTTTTAACATTTTTATATATTTTGGCCCCCTTCTTATGAGTTCTCATTCTTGTCTTACCCATATTTTAACAAAGCTCAATAACAGAAACTTTGATGAAAAGATGGTAATATCATTTGTCTTCTCAAAAAGATTTCACTAGTTAACATAGACCGGACATTTCATTTGTGCAACTCAAAAGTTCCCTTTGACAATGTACTAAATTTCAGTCTTCCTAACAATGTATGAGTTATCACATGTTTGCACAACCCTCTCTTCAAACAGTTAGTTAAGAGATGATGGCATTGCTCTATGAAAAACAGTGTTGGTTCTAATTTTTCAGTCATATCTATTCTTGCTTTAATAACAGATACATATGAATTATCCTGTAAAGTTCAGTCCAGTGACTTCAACAAATGACTTGTCTTGATAACTACAAAACTTGTTACACTTAACTTTTATCTGAGAATATAAAATATGATAAGGCCATTCATTGGAGAAAGAGAAAAAAATAGTAATGTCTCTAAAACTTAATTATTGCAAACATTCTTAACTGTACTGTTGCAATAATAAAAATAGGCATACAGCACTCAATAATCATTGTCATTAAACAATGGGAACTATCAATATCAGTCTCAAATATACAAAGAACAAATTTAATACATCACAATTTGCATTATCTGCAAGCAGACAAGATACATACTATGGTATGAACTGAACAGTTCTTAGCTTCAGCAAATCCAGTTCATCATCCCTTTTGGTAATTGTACTTCAGTAATTTTAACACGTGTGATGCGATAAAATGGTTTCTATAAAGTAAAAAATATTATGTACATTCCGCCTTAATTATAGTACATGTATTGAATTTAACTGCCAAACACACTCTGTGACTTAATAAAGAAGATGGATGTGTAGTCCGCATAAAATATAATATGATAAATTACAAATATGTCATGAATCTGTAAATGAATTAATCAGATATGTTCATTGTCAATTGACATACTTTCAAATATTCATCATACAAAATTTCATTACAATACAACTGAGTATTAAACTAAAACTGAACAATATTGAATTTTACATATCTCCCCGTAATAAAGGAAGACTGCATTTCAGAGTATAAAAAAGTAAGAGCCATTTGGAGGAAAGAATGAAATAGCTTCACAGCATAGGATTGATAGTTTATGTTAAAGACTGGTAAAGCGCTGAACAGTAGAAATAAGATGGAACTAAGGGGTATTATATACATATTAATTATTGCCTCAGATAATCCTATCTCTCCCTTCCCCCTGAAAAGAGAGAGCTATCTGAATCAGTCTGTCCCAAACGATTGGCACCAAATTGTTGGGATTAGAGACTGTACTTAGGTGATACTTTGTAACAATTATGCAAATAAAAGTAAACCTCATTTTTAACACAACCACTGGTGTTCAGCAAAAACACACAAGCTATGTCATATAGATTGGCCACACATAAAGAGTACTACTTCCATCTCGCACACTTTCTAATGGGTCCCGTGTATAATGCAGTACTTCTTCAGACACTGCCTGTGCAGCTGCTGACAACTGGTGATGTGTATGGGACTGTCTTGTTGCCACAGCTGGCACTGCAATATTGAGGTTGATTGGTTGCTGGTCAACTCCTGGATCTCCCAGACTTTCATCTGGTAAGATACTCTCTGGTCCCGCACCTTCTTGCTGAATGGTGATTTCTGTGACAGGGTTGAGATCAGAGATGTTTTGGTGTTCCACAGAAATCGTGTGGTTGGGAGGAAGGCTGCCAGGAGCATCCAGGTGATCAGGATCCAATTCTGGGTCATGCTCTTCCAATTTTGGTTGCCCATGAAGCATGTTGTGATGGATATCACTACCACTACCAGATGATGTGGTAACAGAACTGCCATTACTTCCACGGTGCCTATCACGGTTGTGCGTGTTGAGATGGCGCTTCATGTCGGAGCGGACACGGAAAGGTTTTCCACACACTTCACACGGGTGAGGTTTTTCACCTGCAAGTCAAGAAGAAAACTGGATGTCTTGCAACTGTAACAATCCTTAAGGTAACCAAAAAATTAAATGTAGATGTTAGTTCACAATAGCACATAACTAACTCCATGGAGAAGAGTTCTTGAGAAGATGTCAGTCACTCAGCCAGTCAAGAAATTCATGTCTTTTATAAAACTAAAAAATTTATTATTATGTTCATCTAAGTTTACTGGTTCCTCCCATGAATCAAATGCTTTCAGTCCACACCCTGCCATCCTATTTCTTCAGTCCTCCAATCCATGCTTAATTCTTTCAAGTAATCTCTTCTCTTCATGTTTACTGACCAAAATTATGTATAATTTCTCATTTCTCCCATGCATTAACATACACTGCCCATCTCATCTTTTATTTGATCACTTTAATGATATTTGGTGAAAAGCATGAATTAGTACATACAACAGTTAAATCCACCATAACAGCACTACAGATTACAAAATTTTAATTGAGTTTAAACCTACTTCACTATTCTGCATGTTTATTAGAACCTTCTATCAGCAGAAAATTGTGTCATTTCTTCACTATGCATGTCCAAGGGACCTTACAGTGCTTTGAGTTTTCTTCTTATTTTGTATGTATTTCACTGAATTTCAACAATGATGGAAGTATGACATTTTTAATTTCAGTTCTAGAGATGTTCTCATATTCTTTCCTCCTTTTATATCACACTTCTCTCTATGTTATGCAGAAGTGAAGTATTTCCTGCCCTTAATTAGGTATCACACCATGAAGACATACAGGGAGTAGAGGTATAGTTCCATACATTCTTAGCCTCAATAGTATATAGAAGTGGGTGGCTGTTTCATGCCCCAGCACTCTACCAGCCAGGAAAGAGCCCAAGTACCATTAGACAGGTGGCTGGGTAGACCCCTCTGGAAGCTGTGGAGAAGAGAAAATCTCTTGCTCCTGCCTGGAATTGAACTGAAGGTTCTTTGGTCATCCAGCTTGTAGCCTACTCACTATACCAGCTGCACTATCTTAGTTTATTCATAATGTCAGGTAATGAAAGACTGTAACTAGCCAGAAATATTATCCAATATTATTAATATATTTGTTCAAGTTGTGGCTTGAACTTGACACCAGGTTCTAAAGACATAAATTCAATTCAGTTCATTTATTAAAGTGCCTAACCACAGCTGAAAGCTAATTACAGGCAATCACTGAAGTAAGAAAAATATATTAATATAGATGATAGTGGTGGTGGTGGTGATAATAATAATAATAATAATAATAAAGCTTATATCATAAGTGGTGCCTGAGCAGTCTGTGATCCACAGACGTGGGCATATTATAGTACAGTAGACTCTCGATTATCCGCGCGCTGTTTAACCGCTTTGCGGCTCAACCGCGGCAATGTATTTTTAAAGATTTTTTTTTTTCAGTGAGTATCACATTTGTTTAAATGTTTTGTATGACAGTCAATGTTAGTTTACTATAATTTAGAGAGAACTGTACTCGCATTTACGTCATCCATCGATATTCTCCCGTTATTTTTCTTAAAAGCTCGAAATCAGGTTTCGAAAGCTCGAAACCTACCCTTTTTCCAACAAGTAGAGAATGTTAAAGAACCTTGACCAGCAAGGAGCCATAAATCTGTCTGGTGTGAGACCTCAATTAGCAAAGGGACCAACAAAGACCAAACTCAGGCACCAGTCAATCTGTAGTAGTGGGAGGAAGGAGAGTTCTTTTNTGTGATCCACAGACGTGGGCATATTATAGTAACTAATTATTGTATACCTGAAAAAAAAACCTCTACCTGTGTGTATCCTACGGTGGTTCTGGAGATAGGATGAGGCACGGAAGCTCTTGCCACAAAATTCGCATTTATAGTTCTTCTCCCCAGTATGGATGCGACGATGAACTATGAGTGAGTACTTGCGAGCAAAGTCTTTTCCACAGTACTCACACTGATAGTTTTTCTCCTCTGAATGAATTGAAATACAGTGGTATTTGAGGTCTCCCCACTGACGAAAATGTCGGCCACAGAACTCACATTTATAAGGTTTATCACCAGAATGCAGACGCATATGTACCTGCAATATTAGCACATCCATATTATAATTTTATAGACCATGGCTGCATCTCTCACATAGCTGTATGTACACACTTTGATGAGACTTGGTCAACTAAAACACATACACCAAACACTGTTTAATTGTGACACATGGTTTCTTGGTCAACACTTCTCTTTGTCAGGTCCCAGTTCTTGGTCTGGAGACTAACCATTCTGACCAAAGTTTCTGTGGTTCTCCTCACTTCCTCTGGTCAAATGCTGGTATAGTACTTAAACTAGGTCATAGCCACTTTCTTCCATACCCTTCCAATTCATCATTCACATTAACCTTCTCATTTGACAATGTATGACCTACCTGTATGCACAGAGAAAGTGCCATTAACCAAACTACGAGACAAACAATGAAAAGAAAGGATAAATTTCAGTCCTTCATACATTTTAAAAGGTTAATTTTATGCCACTGTTTAATGGAAACATAAAAGAACAATACCTGTCACTTTGACTTACCATTTCTGAAAGATATATTGAAGATACAAAACTACCAGATTAATTTTAATAATTATGGCTTCTATTTAAAACATACATTCACACTGCATTGTTAAAATTGAAATAAAACTGTTATACTTCTCCTACACCCAAACCATTTTAGCTTACTTTTCTCATTTCATAAGAAACCAAATAATTGTTTCTATTCAGTTCTTAATTCCCTATTATCAGTAACAAACATGGTGGCCATGAAAATTTCCAAGAAGTGGACATGTCTATTAATGCAGAGTCTGCAAATGCTGTGTAATAATGAATCTTAAAAAAATAGGTACCTTTCATTATGATGTTTTGCTTAATTAGAACAACCTGGCAGCAATGAAATATCTATGTTTAGCTTTTAGATTGAAGGCAGTAACCAATGATACATTAGAGCTAGATGCATGTTGTAGCATGTTAAATTGTGCTCTGAAGCAGATCATAAACATACAACCAAATTCTGTATTAAATAGAGTTAACATGTCAACCATTTAAAACATGGTGTTGGAGGGAAAATTTGAGGTTATATTTGATATTAAATGTAGTCAGAATCTGTACTTGTGGTAATTATGCTCATAAGTTGATCATTAATTGTATTAATGCACCTTTCTTCCTTGCCTTACCATGTACATTACAATGTTCAAAGAAAAGTACACATCATAAGTCCCTCTCAGAATTTCTTGTTGAAAAGTCTACTGGAACAGGAAACTGTTAAATTATTTGAGTAGCTTATAGCTATATGGCAATGTTATTTAAGCTGAAGTAAAAAAATTATACACTTCTTCTGGGCATAAGTCCTCTGATCTATTGTGAATAGCAAAATATCATTTTATCATTAATAGATTATGGCTAATAACACAGAGTAGACAAAATAACTATAGCCAAGTCAATGAAAGAACTGACACAAGTCTTTCCTCATCTGTCTGCATAGCAGTTACCTCCTTCAGCATGCCTTCCCTACTCCCACCAATTGCCACACAGTGCAGGTTGCCAACTACAACACCTCCAATCCATGTTGATACTTTTGTTGACTCTACTGTAGTATGGATAAGTTTAATCAACCAGTCTAAATTTTTATTCTGGAACCGTGGAAATTTCACTTCATTTCATTCCATTTCATTTTATTTAGCATTCATAATTGCTACAACAGTTAACACTTGAACAAGTCATATCATTAAATACATCATTTTTTAAATCCTTTTGCCCAAATGCCTATTAGAATTAGAATTTGTCAACAATAAATAATTACTCTTGACATGGTTAAACCTACAATTAAAATATAGTACACCCTGATAAATAATAAAATTAGATACAATACATAAATTGAAAATTAAAGTTGATGAGTTTATCAAGAGAATTTTAAGAGTATTACAGTAAATCAAAAGTCCTACATATGACCATGTCAATCACCGATCATGTTAAGATACTACAAGCAACCATTTGTAATCTATTTCATTGCTGAATAGAGGTTTTGCCATGCTTACTACTGTCCCTCTAAATAAAACTCATACAGTGTATACAATGGATGATCTAGTAAAAATACTTTTAACTTATGTTTAAAGTCTTTACAGCCATTGAATTTTGTTAATTCCAAAGGCACTTTATTATACAATTTAAAACCCATATTGATAACTATGAATGTCCAAGGCATCAGCATGCTCACAATCCAATTATAACATCGCTAATATACAATATTCCACCGCGGCGGCCAGGGTTTGATCAAGTGGGATTTGTAGTGGACAGAGTGGCGCTGGGGCAGGTTTTCTCAGAGTACTTCGGTTTCCCCTGCCAACCTTCATTCCACCAATTGCTCCACAATCACCCTCACCTATCATCTGGGGCTGGTACAATAGGCCAGAAGTGGCCGCAGTACAAGGGACTTATTCCCACCCCACTAGCAATAAAAAAAAAACAAACACACATACAATATTGAAAAATAAATGCAAAAGAGATGTTCCAAGAAACTCTTCTAAATAGTATTTTCATGAAAATGACAACAGCTGATAATAGATCCACCTACTGACAAATGGGTATTACCTACAACCAGTGCATGCAGTGCTCTACTGGAGCACTGTATTACAGTACATTTACACTTCATCATCATCATTTTATTGTATACTGAGATAAGTTAATTGCCATTTAAGAATTGAAATGTGTGAACAAGAAAGAACAGAAGTGAAAAGAGTCTTGGCCTGTTTGAAGTTTTGTCTTAATAAACACTTAAACTGTGGTATGAATCATAGTTCAAGAGAACATACTGCTCTCAACATAAATAAATACTGCCCAGAGTAACCCACATCATAAACACTTACCTTCAATGCACTTGCTGCAAAAAAACTCTTTCCACAAACTTCACATTGGTGGGGACGTTCACCTGAATGACTTCGAAGATGATAAACAAGGGAGTTACGGTGATTAAACATTCGACCACACTGAGGACATGTAAGATGAAGTCCTGCTCTCCGGGTTCTTTTCCCAGGTAATCGTCTCTTTGGGGATAATAACATTTCATCCCTACCTCCTGGATCTGGTGTAAATTCTAAGTGATCTGTTCGAACATGCTGTTCCAACTGTGCTTTGGTCTCATACACATCCCCACATAACTCACATATGTTGTCAGGTTCATCCAGATGCTGGTGATGGAGATGAGGGTGATGGTGATGGTGATGCTGGTGTTGTTGCTGTTGATGCTGTTGCTCTTCTATTTCTTGAAGATCAGCTTCTGCAGCATGTAAATCTTCTTCACGATACCATTCCTTGTCATTGTTATTCTTCAAACCCCTGACAACAGGTGGTGATGGGATGTACTCCATATCTGCCTCATCACCTGTATCCACACCCCCAACATCAACAACTCCTCTGATGCCTTCCATTAGATCCTCAGGTTCGCTAAACTCTTCAATCTCCTCTTGTTTTGGATGAGCTAGATTTACATGAGTTTCAAAGGCCTTTTGACGTCGGAAAGTTTTGCCACATTGGTTACAAGTAAGGGGAGGTGGAATTGCTCCTACAGTTGGAGCTGCTGCAGGTTGTTTGTTTTCCCTCTCTTCCTTCACCTCTGATTCTTCTTTCATGGGTGCACTTTTTTCTTTATTGTTACTGGAGATTGCTATTGGACTAGGTTGTGCAATTCCAGTAGATACTGTGGGCTCATAATGAGATTTCAGATGCTCAAAGAATTTAAGCTGGTTGCCAAAAGATTTTCCACAGAGTTCACAACTGAACATTTTCTTATTGGTGCTGTGAGTGAGACGGTGTGTAGTATATGCAGACTGGCTGCCAAACTGTTCCCCACATTTGATACATTTATAACATTTGGTGTGAATACTTCTGGAAGGTGAGGCCGACTTCTTTAGATTTTTCAGCTTACGTGGAATGCGTTTTTTATGTGGGAGACTTTTTCTAGATGGTCTTAAATCACTTTCAACATCATAGTCAGAATCATTATCATCTTGAAAAGGTTCATCACTGTCATCACCTAAATAATCTTCCAAACCTTCACTTTTCACATCATACTCTTCTTTCAGACCATCATCATCTTCAGCAGCAGTTCCAGACACCTGATCTATTAACACGGGTTGTTGTTGCTCTTGCTGAGACGGCTGCAACCGATTTCCCAGATCTGTTCCTTGTTGAATCACCTCCTGCTGTTGTGACAGATCCTGAAGATGAGGCCGGACATAGCGACTCCTGACAGCCATGGATTGACTTGAAAGCACTTTCTTAAGAGGGGGCAATGGAGGTAACCTCATTTCTTGGTGTTGGTTTTGAGGCTGATACATCTTCATGATTCCGTCTCCCTGATGATGGTCCAAAAGTTGCTGTTGTGCACTATTCGCTGCAGCGGCTGCTTCTTCTTCCACAGCTTGTATGTAACTAGACACCATAGCAGCCATTGCTGGCTTGTCCACTGGCACTCCTGTGACTGGTGACATGGGTGTCATGGTTGTCATATGATGATGATCTCCTATAGACACAGGTACCTGGACTTTGGCTCCAAGGTGGCCAGTGGTGGTTATGAGACCTGGTAACACCCCTGGACTAACAATTACATTTGGCTCTGAAGTAACTACTGAGTGATGATGTTGCTGCTTTTGTTGCTGAACCAGTTGAACAGCAACTAATGCTGCTGCCAACCGTCGATCTTCCTCTGTTAAATCATGAGTCAGGAGATCATCATCTGCATCATAATGTTCAGGTATGTACTGTGGAAGTGTGGTACGATCCAAGGGGCTGTGGTCAGAGAAATCTGGAGGTGGCGGTGGTGGAGGAACCATCATGTCAACAACCATGCTGCCATGCACAACATGGTGTTGCATCAGTTCACCACTCATCAAAGCCTGAGAGGCTGATGATCCTGAGTCCACCAGTCCCTTGCTCAGAGTTTCTGGCACACGATGTATATTGATATATTGAGCATTTATTAGTTCAGGGGGTGGCTCTCCATCCTCATCACCTTTCCCTGTATTAGTTGGGTTTAATTTCACTACATCTGTTCGCATTTGAGTTACTATTTCCACACTCTCAAGGAGTTCTTGTGATCGCCCAGAGTCATCCATTTCATAAGTTACTTTCTGTCTGGGCAAAACTCCATTCATTGAAGTTCATTCATTCTGAAACATTACAACTGCATTCTATAATTTGCTCAACATTGTGTGGAGTAATTAATGAATAAATAAGAATAATAATATCTGAAACATATTCCAGTAAGGGTATTTTCTTGCATGTTTGGCACAATACATAATAAATCCTTGATGATTTGTACTTGTTGAATTTGTAATGTCTTTCAGTATAAAGAGATAATAATTTACTGAAATAATTACAGCAATATATCACCTCAGTCTTTATTTGCTGTATAATCTGTTCGTCAAAGAATATAAAAACAAAATGGTAAAGGCCGCTATGTCATGTATTTCTCGTACTGTCGCTAAGAAGCTGGCTATGTAAGTCTAGCTGTCAGTATCATTACCACGATATGTAATATGATTCGAAGTGGGCATAATTTTCAGGGTACTCCAATTTATAGTCTTTAATATATAATGTAGTGCTTGTACTTCAATTTTGCCTATAAGATAGCAAGTTTCATTTTCCGTAAATCACAGAAGTCAAAAGGAAGCCATTTGTATAAACAAGTGACAAACGGGTGAAGTTGCAAGGTCACACTTCGAACGAATGCCATTACAACTTTTAAACATATTTAAACTCCCATATAAGTATACTAATGCTAGTACCTACCTTAAATACATTATCCTTACCCTCTGGAACAATTTTCTACAACTCTTGGACCGATAACATTGCTAAATAATAACAAATAATTAGAATGCATAGGAGCTTCGTAGAAAATATGACAACAATGCCTCCATTAACCGGAAACGCGGGGAAATAATGCAGTAGATGGCAGCGCGATCAAGGATGGAGGAAAGGTAAAAATTCAGTAGAATTGTGCGTTACAGTGTAGGTAGACACTGAAAACAGAGTGGAAATTTTAATTAAAAAAAGGTGTGCGTCACTTTGAAATCGTGGGTAGTTTTGGCCATAAATTCGATAATCTGAAATCAGTCGTACTGATGACCCTAACCATAACCTCATCTGGAAAGAATAACAAAGGAACGAAGGTAAATATGATTAGGAACATTTATGAATGAGACCCATTGGACACATGAACGTATGAAACTGTTGATGCTTCAGCATTTGTCAGGTCTTTTGTAGTCTGTGCACTCTGATCATAGAAATTCGCTGCATGTGGGGTGGGGTGGGGAGAATCCATACCCTCAAGTTAGACATACATTTGGTCATAATAGGTAACTATTAATGCACCGTTCAGTACGTTAAAATAGAATTTGAACTATGTGTTTAATGGAGATTAATGTAGGAAATGCTTCACTCACTCATGGAGCTGAGCCCTTCTTGAGAAGCTGCCAATTCTGCAGCTACTCAAGAATTACTCAGCATTTTATGAAACCCGAAGGTTCATTACAAGAGCCCGCCACTGGTCCTATCCTGCGCCAGATCAATCCAATCCATCCCATCCTGTCTCTCTAAGCTCAATTTTAATATTGTCCACCCACCTACGTCTTGGTCTTCCCAGTGGTCTCTTTCCTTCTGGCATTCCCACAAATATCCTGTATGCATTCCTCTTCTCTCCCATTCGTGCTACATGCCCTGCCCATCTCATCCTTGACTTGATCATTCTAATTATACTTTGAGAAGGGTACAAGTTATGAAGCTCCTCATTATGCAGTTTTCCCCAACCTCCTGTCACTTCGTCTCTGTTCTGTCCAAATATTCTGTTCAACACCCTCTTCTCAAACACCCTCAGTCTATGTTCCTCCCTTAATGTCAGAGACCAAGTCTCACACCTATACAGAACCACAGGCAAAATTATAGTTTTGTATATTCAAATTTTTATGTTTTAGACAGCACACGAGAAGCCAAAAGGTTCTGGACTGAATGGCACCAAGCATTACCTGAGTTCAGTCTTTCCTTAATTTCCTCCTGAATCAGGTTTTAATTTGTTATAGTCGTTACCAAATATGTGCCACATTTTCAGAACATGTATTACCCATTTTTATGTCATGATTTTGCCCTGCATTTTGGTGACAGGACAGCAACATATACTTAGTTTTCTCTGTGTTTACTTCTAGACCAACCTCTTTACTGGCATCAATTAAAGTTTTTGTGTTTCTCTTTATGGTATCTATATTATCACCCAGTAGATTCACATCATCAGCATAGACCAACAGCTGATGTTCCCCATTCAGTTTCAGTCCAACCTGGTTTTCTTGGACTTTCCTAATGGCATATTATAAAGCAAAGTTGAAAAGCAGTGACGATAAAGCATCCCCTTGTTTTAGACCATTCTGGATAGGAAAATTATCAGACAATATTGTGTAACTATATGGACTTTACCATACGTTTCATTTAAACACATTTTAATCAGCCTGACTAGTTTCATGGGTATTTCAAACTCATAATATTTTACAATACTTCCCTCCTAACTGATCATAGGCTTACTTGAAGTCTATGAATAGCTGATGTGCCATCTCATTGCACTCCATTTTTCCTCGAGTATGCTTATGTATTTTTATTTTATTCACTGTGTGGAATTGTATTTACAGGATAGAGGCAAGTGATTTGCAGCATATGTTATTTTGAATGACCAGTAATAGTTGTTCATAATGACAGATGCAGGTATTGAAGCAGCTGCTGTGACTGTTCTTCGGAATGGTGTTGAGTTGGACAATAAAAAACGATATACAGAAGCTTTAGTGTGTTACCGTGAAGGTCTTCAGCTTCTGTTTGATCTAATGAAAGGTTTGTACCTATTGTCTGTTTTGTAGATACTTTCCATGGCACTCTAAAGAAAAACATAAAAAAATTGCTTGAAAAGGAAAGGAAAGTGGTTACTCAAGAAACTGTTGAATAAAAATCTTAAAATTGATTACATCTTAAATATCTAAATACACAGTAGACAGTAAATCTCCAGAAAATATACCAATATTTAAGTACACTAGAGCCTCTGTATGTGTATCTGCTTGTGTGTGTGCTAGCGAGCAAGCAGCTAATGGTACTATTATAAAATCGTCATTTTATATGTAAAAGGGAAACATGTTTAAAATAATGACATGTCTTTCTGTTCCCTATTGATTTTAGGTTTTAGGGTTTTGTTTACAGAGTGTAACATTCAGCTTCTTATGTGGCTTTTGGGGGAGGGAGCGATATAGTTTGGAAATCTTGTTTTATGACTGATTCTGAGATCAACTCAGTCAGGTTTAATGCATGTAACCATGTAGGAGGACATAGCATTTCAGACACATTCTGTACTTATATGGCAGTAGTCTAACCGGTTGCCTGCACGTTCAGCGTCACCTCGTCTCTAACCATCCAGCCCTTGCATTTGTTGCAGGTTGCTGCTGCGTCCTTCTTACCCAGTTCTTCCCTTTTTTGTTGTTGTTGTTGTGGATATTTGTTGTTTGCGGGATATGGGTTACATGAATGCTGGGCACCACTAAGCTTACTATAAAGTCTTACTATTCGGGAAAAAGGGGGGATTAACCGGAAACTACAGGTGATAGGTACTGCATTCGCACTAGAGCCATGAGATTCTGTCTCAGGGTGTGTACAGGCCTTGCGTTAGCGGGAAAGATAAGAGTGTTTATAGCTAGGCACTACCACACACTGTTTAATGAGCACTTTTTGATATTCAGTTAACAACATGGGTCCTTAATCCCTTAAACAAACTTGAAATCACTCAAACTTTTGTGACTGGATCCATGGATAGCTTTTTAGTACAACACTTAGAAGTGATTACACTTTCACTTAAACTTTTAAGCCAAATTAAGATTCACATTAATTTTTGTGTCTAATTAATTTTGCCAAGTTATTCAGAGATTGTTCCAGTAACACACTTAAAAATAAATTTGTTTTAACTTTGACTTTTAAACCAAACTGCCAGTGATGCTAATTTTTTGGCTGTGCACTTGGAGAGTTGTTCAGAGACTGTTTTTAGCAGACTGACTCTGCTTTGAAGCAAGAAATCTTCACAGCTTCAGTTCCACCTCCAAGTTACTACCCTAATTTCAGCTGATTAGAACAATTCGAATTTAGGGTGTTAACTGCTGTTCTCACTGCTTCAATCACCTAGCTGTAGTTTGGGACTTTAGACCTTAAACGTCGTTTTTGACAGCTGCTTGAAAAATTATACCAGTAGCGTGGGTTGCTGGCCTTCCCACTTTTGACTGCCAAGTGTAACTTTACCAAAGGATCCCACCAGTCAACTTTCAAACTGAATTTCCAGGAAAACTGCGGGGTGCTTCCTGCCTGGTCATTGTAGCAGTGAAGCAGGCCCTATTCTTGAAACCAAGAATCGGGCTAAGTCACCCTTGAATGTTCGTTACTACACCTATGCGTAATTACTATAAAAGGAAATCTTGATTACAAATAAAGCTGGTGGTGTCAGTGGTACGGCTACAGTAGTGACTGGTTATCTACTGTTGCTAGGCACGTGAAGTTCACAATGGTGATATTACATAAACACACCTACAAATTTCAAAGAAATAATATTGACATATGTAACAATATTATAAATGGGAGTTGGGTTAGTGTAGTCAGTATAGGGACTTGCTACAGGCTTGATGAAGGAGGGGTTACAGTTCAAGTCCTGGTAGGATCAAAATTTTCTCCTCTTGACATCGTCCAGACTGGCTCTGAGTCCCACCCATCCTCCTATCAAATGGATACCAGGGCCAGACCTATACATTCACTCTCCCATACACCTTCGTCATGTAGTGCTTAATTAGTTAAACACAGGGACAATTATACCTTTTTTTTTCCTTGGCACTACAGCCCCAGTGGGCCTAGGCCTACCTCCATGAACTTCTCCGTTCACTTCGGTTTTTTCTAGATCTAACACGTGGTAAGACTCCCTGAGCGAGTGATCAGCTTGTCGCAAGGCCTCTGCCTGTAGACAAACACAGAAAAACTCACACAAACGTCCATGCCCTGAGTGGGATTCAAACCCACGATCCAGGCTTCCGAGCAAGCGAAGACAGTACATGCCTTAGACCGCCCGGCTACCGTGACCAGCTCAATTATACCTTTACCTAAAAATATTATAAATAAAAACCAAAGATGACAGTATACAGGGTGTTTCACGACTTTAGGGCATAACTGCAGGAGGTGATTTCCTAGGTCTTTGTGATCAAAAAAGTTCATATAAACATGTGTCAAATTTTGGACAGTTATGGAGTTATGACTATTTTTTCATTCCTTTAAACGCCCTCTTGTGAACTGCATCTATCATCTGATGGGTCGCTATTTTTAGCCAGCTAGAGTCAGAGCATTCTTGTTATCTCGACACTTGAGAGGTGCCTAAGGCGTGGTGGGTTGGTATGTCTGGTGTGGTTCACAACCGAGCGGCAGCCTGTGTTGCCGCCAGAGGTGGCATTTTCGAAAATCAACTTTAAGCACCAGTAAATTCAAATTAAAGGTAATTTCACTAAGTTAACTTTACATTCATGCTTTAAATGTATCATGTATTGTGCTGGTTTATTATTTTGTTCCGTTTATTGTCAGTAATCGTTACCTTCTATTCTGAGTTTAAAACGGTCATAACTCTGTAACCGTCCAAAATCGGACACATGTTTATATGAACTTTTTTGATCACAAAGACCTAGGAAATCACCACCTGCAGTTATGCCATAAAGTCGTGAAACATCCTGTATAACTTAAACCTGAAGGTCCCTAATTTAAGTGAACTAAAAAAGATCTACAAGCCAAATCAAGCAGTTAGACAAATTGTGATCTGGTGTAATGACCCAGCCTAAAATATCTCTAAATTTGCACTCAACTTTAACATAAAGAATTCTGAAAATCTGATTATAGACTTAAAGGAAATTGAAACCTATCCACATATAGAATTATGTTCTTTTGATACTCAAAATACATATATGAACATCCAATTTCAAGAAACCACAGAGATAGGCTGACAGAATATGACCCAATCCCAGTAAAAGAAAAAACTTTTAACTCTTGTAGAAACAGTTCTGATCTAAATTTGTTTCATTACAATCGTCAGCAATATAAGCTACTAGGCAGACTAGGCATAGGAGCCCATACATCAGCTATCGTATCTGAATATTTCTTCAACACCTAGAACATTCCTTTGTTGTAAATATCCTAAATAAACACATAAACTATGATACTTCAAGTATGTAGATGGCATTGTAATTATATACAACTCAAAAAGTACCCAAATAAATTATATGTACATGACTTCAGTAATCTATATTCAGAACTGAACTTTACTATAGAAAATGAAACCAGTAATGAATTACATTTTGTATATCTGACTGCCACAAACCTTTCTGAACAACTAGAATTCCACACATATTGAAAACCCACCTTGCAGTTTTAATGATCCAGGCTTAAGGTACTTGGTGAACGGAGGTAATAACTGCCCTTTTTCCCTGGAAGGAAAGTCAATAGAAATTATAATGATAAAATAAATGTTAAAAAACAATTTTAATTTGTCATATGTAATAAAATCCAACCCAGAATTTAAATCAAAACATAATAACCAAAACCAAAATCAACCATAAAATTGGAACAAAAATGGGCCAATCTTTCAATCGAGGAAGTTGAACAATCTTCTGACTATTCAAAGATAAAAAAACAACTAAAAATGACCTTCAAGACTATTCATTCTATATGAAGCAATTTAGAACACAAATTTAGCCCTAGTTTCTGATCCACTTAGTAATAGCAGCATATATCAACATCTCATGTGAAGAATGTCCAAAAAATATAAAGGGCCAAACTGGTAGGACCTTAGAACCAGGTGTAACAGACATCCATTGCATGAGAACAGATAAAAGTAACCCCAAATTTGGTGAACATTTACCAGAAAGAGAACACTCATATAGTCATTTAAAAGACAGTCTCACTCCAAGTGTGCTAATACACAGGTCACTATCGTTGAGGACATATATTTCACTAGGCCAGCATGTAAGTCAGTTTCATACACTGACATTCTATTATATCAGTAAGTAAAATTCTACCTTTGCCTCCAATATTAATATATTGTGTACAACCCCTAAAACCTAGTACCTTCTTGTATAATCTTTATGTCGGTCTTCAAGGACGCATACACATATTACGCTATGTCAACATGTCAGTCCTTTGAAAAACAGACTCTTTACTACATTAATAAGTAAAATTCCATCCTTTACCCTCATTGTTAATATAACTATACAACTCTCCAATCCTTAACGCCCCAATATGTAGTATTTCAGATCAACCCCAACTGCTCATAAAAATATAAAAACATCAGAAAGGCTACTCCGAATATACAAATGAACTTACAACATAAAATTATGGTTTTGCATAGATTAACCAGGAGAGGCTGTACATAGTAGATGAATGTATAACATAGGAGTATGAAAAGTCCCTCTGGGTTGTTGTGCTGCCAAGTTTGAAAGTTACGGAGAGACTTGTGAATTATCCAGTACAATAAATTCAGCCTAGATAAGACTTCACAAATGTCTAATAATTCAGAAATTATGGTGAATGTATTGGGACAAATTCTCTAATGAAGTTGGATCTGACCCATTTCAGTATTTTCTCCATATCTTTATACATTTCTGTTTGCGCAAATTGTGTACTTGCAGTACAGATACTTTTTCTGATATGTATATGATGGTGACCATTCTCAGTCCAAACATGTGATGTTAGAAGTTAAAAAGAGGAAGGAGAAGGAGAAGATTTGTTTTAATATAAGTTAAAGTGTCAGTTGATCTTACATCCTCATTACATAACCTTATGTCTTATGATGTGTCTTTCTTATGTGGCTGCGTGTGTTGTATTCAAAACACGCAGCCACGTAAGAAAGACACAGTATATACACAATTAAAACATAAGAATTACGACTCCCATAGAGGATGAATGGCATTACACATGAGTCTGATATGCGACATGGCAAGTTTTAATATATAAATTTTAAAATTGTATTATTGAACAACAACGAACACACATTTTATGTAATTTTATAAATGGACACTTGATGGCAGGCAGTGCAATGGTTTAACGCGATTAATACACCTGAAGATGGCAGAATGATGCCGAAACATGTAGTGTGAAGTGACAAGTGAAATTGTATGCACTAAAAGACGGTTAATATATACACTTTATGGATACAAATTTGTGCAACAGGACACTAAAATACAACATTTGAAACTATTAACCGTATTTCTTTTTACAGGTGTTGCAGACTCTGAAAAGAAGAAATATTTACGAACCAAGGTAGAAGCTTACATGGGCCGAGCAGAAAAAGTGAAACAGTTAATTGAAGAACAAAAAGCTACAGGAAAATATCATGAGCAAATTGTCATTGAGAATGATTCCACTGGACATAGTTATAAGAATCTATTTGGCAGGTTTCTTGATGAAGAGGTCACATCTATAGAAGTGGAAGATCCATATATCCGCAGTTTCCATCAGGTATGAAAGTGACTGGGTAGAAGACCTTAGGTATGAAATTTGTTTTGGGTGAGATCAGTTTTACAGTAAATTATTTGCTATCACAGAAATGTTATGTTTTCGTCACTTGTCTAAATACCCTGAGTGGCTCAGTTTTAAGTTTTTACAATATAATGAACACCAAGATTTCTGATAAATTCTGTACTGATTATCGTGAATTGAAATCAGTAGTCATTCTGACAAACAGCTAAACCAACTCACTAAATATAAATGATCTTTGCAACAACATCTGATATTCCAGTGCTGCTGGTACCAAAGCTGTTTGTCGAATATGGTCTAATGCCATTTTCATCCACCTATCATCTTGACTGCCTGTTGAATTCTATTTTAATATCTGATAATTAGTTAAGTTGTGTTGAGATAGATTGTTCTACAATGTGTCTCATACATATATACGTGCATGAGTCACTTGTGGACTACTGGCCAGCAGCAGCATATCTTCTACCAAGTCCTCCTGATACAAGTCTGGAATCACTCAGCAAGAGCAATAAAGGCAACTTACATAAATTGTAAGAGGTTCTGAATATGCAGTATCTGTTCATGCACACACCTCTTGTGTGTAACATTCAGTTTGATGTTCATCATTGTTGAAAAGTGGTAGAATAGTGAATATTTTCGAAGACTTATATACACACTGTAAAATGTTTTCTGACAAGGATGTTGTATTTGAGGGGACAGCTTCAGTAAGGGCTAATATATTTGAAGCTATGATTTTTCTGATTCCAATTTTCTGTTCTAAAACTTGATTCATTTAGTAATTTTAAGTGTTTCTTATATCTTTGTTTTCTTTTGTGTAATTTCAGTGTCAAAATTTTCTACGATTCTGTGAACTTATGGCGAAATCATGTTGCAACCTGAATAAAATAACACTCCTTACAAGCAGAGATGACTCCATAAAGGATCAAGTGCAGTGGCTTGAGACTTTGAAACAGAATTTACAGAGATACAGAATTGACTTAATTATTAAATTTTCATCCACCCTACATGATAGGCAGATAAAGTAAGTAGCTCTCATCATTTCCTGTCTTGGGAAACAACATACAGAAGAAGCCACCAGGCTTGAAAGTAGATTATGACTACGGTTTAGTAGAAGTCAGTCAGTCAGTCAGTCGAAACCCACACTGATGATCCCCAATAATTTCATCTATATATGGACTTAACCTTGAGAGCAGGATAGAATTTTGTATGATGTTGATAGCGGTGATAGGTAACGTAAAGTTGGCCCTGTGCATAACTAATTAACCCTTCAGCGCGGTTTGCCATACATGGTACGCTGGTATTTAAATGGTCCTACCTGCGGTTTGCCGTACACCATACGCCAAGCTGTAAGCTTAATTTTGAAGGCCCATAAATATGGAACAAACCACGCCAGCATGATGACAATTGCACTGGGCTGCTGTGAAAAGAATACGCTCTCTGTTCGTGTAACCATAACATTCAAGTTCCTGCAGCTCTGCCAGTCAGTCTAAATAGAACGCGTGACCTCACAGTTACGATGGCCGAGTGACTATGATATCAACATACCACAAAGATGATATGCATGTGGTTGTGAATAAAGCAAACAAACAAGAAACAAAGCCCGTGGTTCTTTGTGATTACAACAAAAACATCTAGGAGTGGATCTGACGGATCAAATGCTACAACTGTACTTGCTTGAACGAAAGAAGAGTACTAAGTTGTATCAGAAGTTATTCAAGAGGCTACCCGATGTAGCAATACATAACGCAATACTTGTATATCGTTGTCTCCCAAATAACAAAAACATGGACACGCTAAAGTTCAGACTTTCACTAGCACAAGGCCTCGTGGAAAAACACGGTTCTGGTTTTCCTCATCCTGTATACGGCTGTCCGTTAGTTGAGCCGCTGCCTGAAAGACTCACAGAACGACATTTCCTGGAGCGTATTCCAGCAAAAGGAAAAAAACAAAGCCTCAAAGAAGATGTGTGGTGTACACAAAACATGGTAAAAGGAAAGAATCTGTTTACTGGTGTAGTGGATGTGAGGCAGGGTTGTGTTTAGATGGATGTTTCAAGAAATACCATACAAAACTCAACTTCTAATCCGCTTGCTTCCACCGCTCAGATACAGGGTGCTCATATTATAAGGTAGGATTATAAAACCATTTTTAAGATGATTTCAGTGAAAAATTCATAGTTATATCTCATATAGTTCAAAAACTATGATACATAATATAATTTAGAGCAAAATTTAAATGGGCAATTAAAAAATACTACCGCGGGAGGCCCCACAACAACGATATTTAAATGCCCACACTGAAGAGTTAAGCACTATGTCATGAAGGTGTATGGGGGAGTGGATGTGTAGGTCCACATTTTATTGACCCCAGCACTAGTTGGAGGTGAGTGGTCAGCTTCATGCCCCTGCCACTTTACCCCTGGGTAAAGAGCCCCTGGTATCCATTCAGTAGGAGGCTGGGTGGGACCCATAACCAATCTGGACTATATGGAGAAGAGAAAATTCTTGAGCCTACCAGGACTTGGAACTCCAACCTTTTGGTCATCCAGTCCATAGCCAGTCAATATATCGACTATGCTATTCCAGTTCCTGATAACAGTGAAATCCCACTATAATTACTATAGTCAGTTGTATTGTCCTTCCTGTGATTAATACAATAATAGACGCTTTCCACAGATTAAACAATTCTTTCTTATTCCAAATAGGATTAATGAGTTTATAGATCTCAGGCTGTAATGTTTTAATCAGTTCTGCCAGAATTTGATCACTACCTGGCAACTTGTACCTTTTCAACTTTGCAATAGCAATTTCAACCACAAAAGGACAGGATCTGGTAGTAACGGCTCAGCTTTGTGTATTTCTGCCTAACATCACTGACTCTGTGTACAGCCAGTAACAGAGAGAGGTAGTTCTTCCACCTATTCAAAATGTTGTAGGAATCTGCAAGAAGATCACCATTCTCATCCTTTACTAAGTTACTCATAGGTTGGTAGCCCCTCATAAATTAATTTATTCCTCTCTGTAGTCTATAATGTTCTTGTTCTTACTGTTCATTGCAAACTCATAATTTTGTCTTTCAGATATTCCCTCCTTTTATTCCTGAAATTCCTGCTGGCTTCACATCTTATGTTGCTCAGATTATCCCCATTTATTTTGCTTGGATCCTGCAACAACTGCTGTTTGGCTTGTTTCCTTTGATCTAATAATTTTGAGCATGCTTCTTCAGTTTATAATAACCTAGACTCACTTTGGCTGAAATTTTGATATTCTAATAGTTTTCCAAGCTCTTTTAATATCCATAATGTATATATATTAACCCTTCAGCGTGGGCATTTAAATATCGCTGTTGTGGGTCCTCCTGCAGTAGTATTTTTTAATTGCCCATTTAAATTTTGCTCTAAATTATATTATGTATCATAACTTTTGAACTAGTTAGTTAGTTATTGGAGAGGGTGGGTTTCCCCATGCAATTAGACCTGTATTGGTCCATTGTGCTTCCCTCTATGATTTCTACCAGTCTCTATATCCTACTGGTACTGGTGCTTACCATCAGTCCCGCCCAGCCAGCGAGACCGGCTCAACTAGCTGAGAGGTATCTATAATGCTTCCCCCATCTACCAGAGGTATTAGAGACTGCTGTTGGGCAGGAAACGTCCGTAATTTGGCTCAGTGACCTCCTTTGGAGATATGAGGTTCTTTTACGTGCTGTAAAGCTACGACACGGGACCCACGGCTTAAAGTCCCTCCCGGAGGACTTGTTCCCTGAATTTTTCCGCACTTAAAAATTCAACAACCTCCACCGGGTATTTGAACCTGCATACTACGAGTCATGAGGTGGGAACGTTACCTCTAGACTACGGAGGCCGCTAACTTTTGAACTATATGAGGTATAATTATGATTTTTTCACTGAAGTCGTCTTAAAAGATGGTTTTATAATCTTTCCTTATGATATGAGCGCCCTGTATCTGAGCGATGGAAGCAAGTGGATTAAAAGTTGAGTTTCGTATGGTATTTCTTGAAACATCCATCTAAACACAACCCTGCCTCACATCCACTACACCAGAAATAAATTCTTTCCTTTTACCATGTTTTGCGCACACCACACATCCTTTTTGAGGCTTTGTTTTTTCCTTTGGCTGGAATACGCTCCAGGAAATGTCGTTCTGTGAATCTTTTAGGCGGTGGCTCACCTGACGGACGGCCGTATACAGGATGAGGAAAACCAGAACCGTGGTTTTCCGCAAGGCCTTGTGCTAGTGAAATTCTGAACTTTAGCGTGCCCATGTTTTTGTTATTCGGGAGACACCGATATGTGACCATTGCGTTATGTATTGCTACATTGAGTAGCCTCTTGAATAACTTCTGATACCACTTAGTACTCTTCTTTCGTTCAAGTAAATACGGCTGTAGCATTTGATCCGTCAGATCCACTCCTAGCATGTTTTTGTTGTAATCACAAACAACCAAGGGCTTTGTTTCTTGTTTACTTTATTCACAACCACACGCATATCATCTTTGTGGTATGTTGATATCATAGTCACTCGGCCATCGCAACTGTGAGGTCACACGTTCTATTTAGACTGACTGGCAGAGCTGCAGGAAATTGAATGTTATGTTTACACGAACAGAGAGTGCATTCTTTTCACAACAGCCCAGTGCAATCATCATCATGCTGGCATGGTTCGTTCCATATTTATGGGCCTTCAAAATTAAGCCTACAGCTTGGCATATGGTGTATGGCAAACCACAGGTAGAACCATTTAAATACCAGCGTACCGTGTACAACAAACCACGCTGAAGGGTTAACAATCTTCAAGTGCATACAATCCCATCTACCACTTCTACACTAAATGTTTCGGCAGTATGCTGCCATCTTTAGGTGTATCGTTCTGTTAACCATTTCACTGCTTGCCTTTATATGTCCATTTACAAATAATATTAAATTTGTATACGTCCTTGTATAATAATAAAGTTTATGTGTTTAAAACTTGTTAAAACCTATTATCTCATACATCATATTTTTAAAATTCTATTACTATCTACATCAGCATCTAAGTATTCCAAAGGTGTGAAGCTATTTGAGATTTCAACATGACATTGCTCCTTACCCCTTATCTCATTTAATTTTTTTAAGATTAAATGTTTCCAGATGAAATCTGTACATTGTTTGTTTACTCACTGCCAGTCTCTCCATAACTTTTGCCACCACCAGGTAGTGATCAGTATCACAATCTGCTGCTTGGATTGATTGGACATTATGTACACTTGAATTCCATCTTGTATCTATCAAGATATGGTCAATTTCGTTGCAAGTCTTTCCATCAGGATATGTCCAAGTAAATTTGTGAATTTTGCGATGTGGGAACATCGTACTTTTGACAGTCAGATTTTTGGATGTGGCAATGTTTACTACTCTAACTCCATTGTCGTTACTAATTTCATGTAGACTTTCATTTCCAGTTCTTGGTTTGAAAATGTCTTCCATACCTACTTTGGCATTGAAATCTCCTAACAAAACTTTCGTACAGTATTTAGGAAATTTATCAATACATGCTCTAGTTCCTTGTAGAAGCTGTCCTTCATATCATCAGTTTTATCCTCTTTTGGGGCATGAACATACAGAACAATATCACACCAGTGACCTCTTAGTATTATGTATGACATCCTATCACTGACTCTGCCCTCTTGACTGCTGATATGATTCTCATATGTACAAAAACCTGTACCCAATAGATTATTCTCGTTCCCCTTTCCATAGAAAAATGTATATTTGCATGCTGGTTCGTTACCACCTCTGTCCCACCTGACCTGTACTCCCACTAAATCTGACTTATATTTCAGTATTTGTGTTAACTTAAAAACATGTTAATGGGATATTTGAATAAGGGGTAATGACTTGCCAGAACATAAACCCATTAACAGACCCTCTTATCTACTTGCTGAAGGAAGGTTCAGGAAGAAGAAGGCTCTCTCTAAGGACAGATAGTTATTTCCTCCTGAGATGACTCTCTTTACCTTTGTCCCTGAAAAGAAGGCTAGTTTCTCACTTCCCACTTCCTTTCGAGGGCTCTGATAAAGGCCATCTTTTTTCCAGATCTCAGTGCTCCTTGTATCATCCTGTGGGAAATGCATGTGGGTCCTTTAAAATGTCCGTCTTTTCTCACAATTCCACTTTTCTTCCAGTGACAGAAAATAATACAAAGTCCCTGAAAAGGGCCCTCTCTCACAATTCCATTTCCCTCCTATGAAGTAAATCAGCATTCCCCTGAAAAGGGCTGTTTTCTGTCCATTATTACTATTTGCCTGGTTCTGATTCCATTTCATTACTTCCTCCCATGTGTCTTAGTGACCACCTTCCATGCTACTACGTGTATGTATAACTGAGCCAGTTCCTCACTCAGCACACATTAATCCAGAAGATGGAGGCATCCTATTCCCCCAAAATGTTGGTATTCCTGTAGTGTCACAAACATGAACCTGAAGACCACAGTATGAACAATCACTGCTGTGAAGACCTTAAAACTTATACCAGGTAAAGTATGACAGTATTTATTCCCCATTAGCTATAACTGAAACTAACAGTATTTTCCAGAGGAAAGTCCTTTCATATGTAACATACTTCCCAAATTCCAACTAACATGATCTGATGCTGTGATTATTGTTTGTAGGTTGAGCAGTGGATGGACAATAAAAATTGGTCGAGGTCTGGATTATTTCAAAGCGCCAGAGAGTAAATTTTCATTAGGATTTTTTGACATGGATTTGCGACATTGTCATGAAACCACAGTAGATGTGTTTCATACAAAAGATGTTAAAAAGTCTTATGGTTAATTGCATTTTGCAATTATTGGGCAATTTGCTAAGCAGGACAAGGTAAATACATATTTCTGGTATGTGTAGTTTAATTTTACATAAGGCAGATATTGAGTGCATGTAATGGGTGGTCAGAGCCTGAAAGGCATCTTGTGATTAGTTGTCATGATGCATATGCTACATGTTCACAATATGTGCACTCTCATTAGAGTACAGTGAGATGACAGTAAGTTCAGTACACAGGGGGGAAGAGAAACTTGCGCATCTGCACACAGACAATAGAACAGTTTATGTCCAGTAGTTGTTACTGTACTAAAATTAAGATGGACATTTGCTAATGTACTACAATGAAAAATCATTATGAAGTGATAGCGAAATCTTCAAACGAAGGTTAATGGATTTAATCTCAAAGTACTGCAGCCCCTCTCCATTCATAATTTTCCATTGGTACCCAGTTCTGCAGACTGAGGTACTTTTTTTTTCCCCTAGTGGGGTGGGACTAAGTCCCTTATACTGTGGCCACTTCTGGTCTGATGTACGAGCCCTAGATGATAGGTGAGGGTGACTGTGGAACAATTGGTGGAATAAAGATTGGCAGGGGAAACCAAAGTACTTGGAGAAAACGTGCCCCAGCACCGTTTTGTCCACCACAAATTCCACTTGACCGGACCCAGGATTGAACCCAGGTTGCCATGGTGAGACGCCAGCAATTAACCACAGATTGAGGTATTTAGTTGTGTCTATGATTTTTAATTTGTTTGTAAGCAGGAAAATCAATAGCTTGTATACCAAAGAGATCCACTTGGCAGTAGGGTTGTAATGGTCATTTCAATCCAGTTCACATCCTCATGATGTATTTATTACCTGTCATAAATATTTGGACCAAAGATAGATGAAGTGACAGGAGGTTGGAGAAAACTGCATAATGAGGAACTTCATAACTTGTACCCTTCTCCGAATATAATTAGAATAATCACGTCAGGAAATTTGAGGTGGGCAGGGCATGTAGCAAGAACGAGAAGAGAAATGCATATAGGATATTGATGGGAAAACCAGAAGGTAAGAGACCACTAGGAAGAGCAAGACAGCTGGGTAGATAATATTAAAATGGATCTTAGAGAGATAAGATGAGGTGGTGTGGACTGGACCAATCTGATTCAGAATAGGGACCAGTGGAGATCTCTTGTGAATATGGTACTGAACCTTCACATTCTGTAAGAAATTGGGAAGTTCTTAAGTAGCTGCACAATTAGCTGCTTTTCATGAAGTGCTCAGCTGCATGAAGTTAGTTAGTTATGTCATCGTTTATATGCCATATTTTTAGTGCTGAAGCTGAGGCTGTCTTAAATTATTTCTGTTCCCTTATACATTTCTGCAGCTCCAAGCAATCTTCATGATTTTATAAGTATGAAGGTCATTCAAATGAAACCCATCCAGAGACTGTTCTGGGGGAAGAAGTGGAGACCTTAAAAATACTCTCATGGATGTAGAGGCTAATACGTATTCCATTGACACATCAGCAAGTGTGTCCTTCCTGTCACTGCTGCTGTTACCACTGCACTATGTAGCCTTGGTGTCTTTCTCAGGCTGAATCTGTGATCCTTTTAACACTTTTTAGAGGTGGCCATGGCTAGACACATGAACATGTTCATTTGAACAGTCCTCATAAATAACTAAACTAAAGCTGAAAATGAGGATCTCAGAGCTTTAGTTAGGAAATAGAAATATATTTATTCAAATGGTAAATATTGACTTCAGATGTCTTGTCATATATGTCATATATTTGTGTCAATTTAATTGCATTTTAAGAAATTGTTTAAAAGTCTATTTTTTACACATATGAATGTAAAATTATGTACATAAATAAGGGAATTAATATATATATATACACGCATACATGTCCAGTTATTTGGTATGTTTTCACTGTCACACTGCAATACTTCTGGCTGTGATGCACGTATTTCATGAGGAATTCTTGTCCTTGCTCACACATAGCTTTCTTGTCGAGATGAATATATGAGAAACGAATCCAGGAGGCGTGGTTCAACAAGTTCCATAGCATCAAGGTCCTCGATTACTTTGGTGCCACAGTTGGCTGATATCTTCCTCAGAGCAGCCTGGAAGGCCAAATAATGATAAGCTCAAGAAATGTTTGAAATCATAACACTGAACTTCCTGTAAATAATACAGAACCATTGCAACATCTCATCTTCAGATGGTATGTGCCATCAAGTTGTGACATCAAGTATTTACCTATTATTTTCTAGAACTGAATTCTACAACAGTTTCTATTAAGAAACTTATTTTAATTCACAAGTGTCCTCTCACATTGCACACTGTATGTAAGACTTCGTTTTAACAGAAGTGAGAACTCAAAACTACTTTATTCTTGCCTCAAAACTGATTTTACAGAGTAGAAGATCAATAAGATTTTGATGTTCAGAGCACTAAATGTTATATATATAATGTGTCTGTCACTGTTTCTTCACTTCAGTTACATTTATATTAAATCTTATAAGAAAAAGCCTTACATAGTTTTGATATAGTAATAAGTACATTTCCCATACATGTGAAGGCAAGTCCCACATTGAAATTCAAATAAAAGTTATGATTAAGGTACAAAAAGACTAATTTCATGCCCTTTTTAAGCACCTAGAAAGAGAGAGAGCTCTATACAAAACTTTTTTGACTGCTGGGCAATTTATTAAATGCTAATAAAATTGTATATGAGAACATCTAACAAAATTATCCTTCTATATTTCACAGTCTCCATAAATTTTTTTTCAAGACATAACCCTTCAGTGCTGCAGCCTACTTGTATTCTTGTGTTTTTAATTATTTCATAACACTTTGGTTTAATGAATAAGTAATGATGGGATATGCTAATAATGTGTAAAGTTTGTAGGAGATTAATTTTTTTTAACTTATTTTTATATGGAAAAGGCTGTGATTGCATGTTTTTCTGATCATGGCAGCAAAATGTTTCTGACACACACAAGATATTAATTATCATTCTTCCCTCCCCCATTTCAATTGTGATATCAAACATATGTTGTGAATTCAAGTGTTCATCTTTTGAGAAATGCATGTATTTCAAATGAACAATTGTTGGGATGTGCAAGAAGCATACCAGACATGCCACTAGAACTCCATCACTATGGTTCCTCTCCCTCTCCTCCTTGCAGAGCCTTACGAGTCGATTCACTCCCTGGAGCTCTACTACCTGTGTTGCCACTGTCGGGTCACTGCATAACCTACAATATAATAAAATAGATACAGTACATTTTTCTAACTATTGTACTGATAATGAGGAAGATGGTGTATGCTGAAAAAGGCACAAAGGACTGATTAATTTTTGGAGTCTGGGAGAATACTTTACTTGCTTACTCATGGAGCTGAGCCCTTCTTGAGGAGCCGCCAATTCTGCAGCTACTCAAAAATTTCCCAGCATTTTATGGAACCCAAAGGTTCATTACCATGTTCACAAGAGCCCTCCACTGGTCCCTATCCTGAGCCAGATCAATCCAGTCCATACCATCCCATCGTATCTCTCTAAGATCCATTTTAATATTGTCCACCTACCTATGCCTTGGTCTTCCCCCATTCATGCTATATGACCTGCCCATCTCATCATCCTTGACTTGATCATTCTAATTATACTTTGAGAAGGGTACAAGTTATGAAGCTCCTCATTATGCAGTTTTCTCCAACCTCCTGTCACTTCATCTCTCTTCAGTCCAAATATTCTGTTCAACACCCTGTTCTCAAACACCCTCAGTCTATGTTCCTCCCTTAACATCAGAGACCAAGTTTCACACCTATACAGAACCACAGGCAAAATTATAGTTTTGTATATTCTACTTTTTATGTTTTGGGGCAGCAGACGTGAAGACAAAAGGTTCTGTTAGCAAGCATTATCCGAGTTCAGTCTCCTCTTAATTTCCTCCTGAATCAGGTTTTGATTTGTTATCGTCGTTCCCAAGAGAATACTTTACAGGTGAAAATAATCTTACTGTTTAACTTACCACAGTATATGTGGTTTGAGGTTTAAAAGCGTAAAGATTCATATTTTTAAACAGGTTGATTGTGAGAGGATGCAGGTCACATGCACACACTTCTCAGAGTTCCCCCCAGTTCCCCCTCTTCTTGTGTTAGCCCTCAAGGTCCTCACTTGAGTATTTTCTGCGGTCACCAAGATCTGCACCAGTGGCAGCTCTAGATAGACTCAAGCCCAGACAGTTAATGCTTACCACCATGCCCTCCTGCTCATTAGGGCTTCAGCATAATAGTCCTGCCTTCTGGTGGCTGGGTATGAGCACAGAGCTTTAGGGCCATCCACTTTCAGGGCTAGTTCCTTCATGTGAACTGAGCGCAGGGGGTGGGCAGGTCACATGCTAGCATGTGCGTGCCTCTCAAAAATTTTCAGAGTTCTCCCTCCTCTTCAGTCCACACAACAGTATTGTAGTCTTCTGGGTTATGATGCCAAATAGACTGGTAGGTGGTTACCAGTGTTTCAGAGGAACATACTGCCTCCATCTTCAGGCACTAATACTTTTGAACATGGGGGGCAGCATGTTCCTTCAGAATATCTGTAAGCACCTACCAGCCCCAAGAGACCACAAATTAATTAGCAATGATTGTATGCAGAGTGGTGTACTAGAAGTGGCATGACAGAAGTTCCCTGTGAATCCTGTGATATAGCTAGATTGCAGTATACTCCAGATTATCCATGCAGTAATTATGTAGTTTGAGGCTTATCCATGCACCATATTAAGTCACATTTGGCACTCTGCATATTGCCTATTAAGTTTGCTCAGTTAATCCGTCTCTACAAATAAACAACTTGAGAACCACAGGACAGATTTTTGTTAAATTTGAATTCTGAGAATTGTACAAAGAAGTATCAAGGTGATTCAATTTTAATGTAGATTGGACAGTATTAATGATGGCTTTAGAGGAAGATCTGCATGTGTTTGTGCATGTAGCTGAGTTCCCACAAAGTTTTCCCAAAAAGCACTGCATCATGGGTTCAGTATGTAACAAAAAGAATCCAAGATGAATGTTCTAACTGAAGAAATAATATAATATATTCTGGTATGGTTAAAGATCCATACTTATGATATGAGAAGCCAGGATAGCTCAGTCAGTTTACTGACAGGCTACAGGCTGAAAAGCCAGAGTCTGATTCCTGGTAGAGGCAAGAGATTGTTCTCTTCACCATAGTGTCCACACTGGTTCTGGGGCTTGCCCAACCTATTATCCAGTAGGTACCAAGGGTTCTCTCCCTTATGGTAAAGCAGCTGGGGCATGAAGCAGATCACCCATCTCTCTAATGCCAAGGTCAGGAATGGTGAACTTTACCTCTCCTCACCCTTAACGTCTCCATGGCATGATGCTTAATTGATCACAGAGACAACTTTACTTTTACCTTTACTTGCAATATGTCTTCCTATCTGCTGTCTAAAAACATAAAGATCAAAATATACAAGACTGTAATTTTGCCTTTAGTTTTGTGTGGCCATGAAACTTAGTCTCTGACATAAAGAGAAGAACCTGGACCAAAGGTGTTTGAGAACAGAGTGCTGAAGAGAATATTTGGACCAAAGAAGGAAGAAATAATAGGAGGCTGGGGAATATAGCATAATGATGAGTGTCATAACTTGTACACCTTGCCATATATAATTAGGATGAGGTCATGTAGAATGCATGGGAGACAAGGGCAGTGAATGCAGGATTTTTGTGTGGAAACCATAAGGAAAGAGACCACTAAGAATACCCAGATGTGGATGGGAGAATAATATTAAAATGGATCTCAGAGAAATAGGATGGAGGGGAGTATGGACTGGATTCATCTGGCTCAGGATAGGAACCATTGGCAGGATCTTGTGAATGCAGTAATGAACCTTCTGGTTACACAAAATGTTGGGAAATTCTTGAGTAGCGAAGTGATTGCTGGCTTCTCAAGGTCCTCCATGAAGTTAGTTAGCTAGTCGCTTATGATATGTTAATATGCTCTGCATACACAACTTGAGTTTCACTGTGATCTGTGGTCACAGCCACAAGACTAAATTAAATACCATTACAATTATAAATCACTCCGTCCAATGTGACCTGTAAGTTTTTTACTACATAAAAACTTAACACCCTTACATGTTTCGGTCTCTGTGGACCATCTTCAGAGGGCAAACATCACTACAAATAGGAAACCACCATCACATAATTTGTTTACACGTAAAGTACGTACACTTATATGCTACAATACATAGTACACAGAATAGAACATTTCACAAACACAGCAGTTTCCTGGGAATGTAAAGTTTTTTAAAAAATTGTATAAAATTCCTTGATGCTAATTAAAAGTTTTTTAGATTGTCAATAATTAAAATTCGTAAACCATGCAGGCTCGTGTTCGTCCTCCCATCGTCTCTCTTATATGGGGCAGATATTGTGCCACTTGGCTATCTTGATGTGGAGGTTCTTTATATCGTCCAGGGTTTGCTTGTGGCTGCTGTGCTGTTTTCACCATTCATATAAACTACTACATGTGCGTGCATGAGCTTAAGCAACCAGATTGTGCATCAGAAATTTACTTTAACAACTGGCTGTTGCAAAATGTGCAAAATGAAATCATGGATTGACTGCAGCAGTTCATATCCAATGAAGCCTTGCCTCAGTAGTCATGTCAGTATACAGAATGTATGACTGTGGAGCAAAGAACAAAACCCTCATTCCATGCAATGGGTACCATTACACAGTGTAGAAGCAGTACTGCTCTATAAATGTGTGGCAGATTACTTGCTTCAGTACTTTAGACTACACTGCAAAATACATCTGCTGTGAGACATACCTGAAGGCAAAAGAGGGTCAGTTCTAGCCATTCTTATAAAGTGTGGTAAGTTTGTGTTGCCTTTTCATAGTATTCAGTAATGAAATTGTTTATTTGGAATGTATCAGTACCCAGTGAGGGAACATGGTAGCATAGTTGGTTGAGGCACTATGCTACAAGACGGAAGGTCACAGGATTGAATTCAGATGAGGTCATTGGATTTTTTCAATTTACCTAATCCTTCCAGTTGCACTATGGCCCTGGGGTCAACTCAGCCTCTTAACAGAAATGAGTACCAGGAATATTCCTGGGGGTAAAGGATGGCCGGCACATAGGGCTGACAACCTTACTTCCATCTATGAGCTGATTGTTTAGAAAATGTGGGAGCCTCAACATCTCACAACCCTATAGGCCTCCACTGCCTGTTACAGGAATACCTTTTCTTACTTTACAGTACCCACTGCACAGAAAACTTCTGTTTCCTGTACACAGCAAACTCCTGCCGCATTGTCACAAACCGCCTACTACCATCTTAGCTGAATACCCTGTACTTTATACAAATGAAAATTGTTATGTGCACATTCATCATAATGTCATATCACTGTACAGACTTACCTGGAGAGAGCAATGGCAGATTTCTGTTGCACTCTTTCAGCAGCTGCTATCTCTGGAGCTCTCTGGAGAGGGGAGTGTCGTATTTGCAGGAAGCAGAGTAGGGCCACAACTGCTCGCTGCTCAGCAAGGTGTGGTCTGCTTTCAGGTACTGCAGCCATGTTGGCAAGGAGAGTGGCTGCCTGCTCTTGCAGGAATACAGACACTTTGGGTCCCCTTCTCTTCACAGCCTGAAGCAGCTTTCCAGCTGTTCCCTGCTCCAGTAATGGCCATACCGTTCGTGGTTCCATGAATGTTAGGTTTGCAAGTGCAGCTGCTGAAAGGAGCAGTGTCTCACAAGATGCAGTAGTACTGGCTAGACCTGGAAATACATAGTTGTATTAATATGAGTGGTACTCAAAAATTTCAAGGCTTACTTAGTGTACATCAAAAACAATTTACAGGGAGAATGCATGATAAGTGTTGAGGTTGTTTACATAGCTGGAAGACAGTAGGAAGGGTACTGTGAAAGGAGGCTGTGGCCTATTTTCTTACACATTCCTGCATTTACTTAAAAGTGAGGAAATTCATGAAAATTCTGAGTCAAAATAACTTATCTCCAAGCTAAGATATATGCAGGATACTACAGAAACAGTGAAGCACTTGAGGAATGTAATTACACATTTCTCCATTAGGGTATTGTGCAGTTTGTGTAATTCAGTTCACAATGGAATGTTGGACAGTGAGGGGTCATATGAGTGCTGTAGAACTCTTCATTCAAATTTGGTTCAATTACAGAATCACAGTTTTAATGGTAGTTTAATAGGAAGTCTTGTTTCCAAATGCAATTCATCTGTGTGTCAAACACTGGCAAGATGAGGGCTCTGTCACTTGTAAAATGCCACGTAGTTGATCTTCATATTGCTAGAATGTTGGCATCGGTCACTTACAGTCCAAGGAGGTCAGCACCTAAGTAATCTCAAGCCTTACACATGTCTGACTGGAAAGTATGATGTCCTGCACAGTGACCTGAACTCTCACCTTTACAAAACTGAAGTTGTACAACAGCTCAGTGACCATGACAAAGAGGTTCACTTGCAATTTTGTCATCAGTTTCTGTAACTGATGGCTGGTACTCCAGACATGCCAGACAATATTCTGATGAGCCATGAGGCACATTTTTATTTACAATGTCATTAATGAATGGAAACATCATTACTGGTCATTGAAAAGTTGCAGACTTAGATGAACTAAAAGCCAGAGTCTGAGGAGAGATCGCTTGCATTTCATATGAAACACTTCAGGGAATGATGCAGAGCTTTTCCACTCCTGTGTACTAGTTCATTCAATGCGACAGTCGTCATCTTAAGAATGTACTTTATAAAAAGTAAAATATTGTAAATGAATGTGAAAAACTTGAGAAAAAATAGTTCACTATTTATACCCCATCTTGTACTAGGGGTTTCTGAGATATAAGTAGTAGATATGTTCACCAGTACACTGCTGGAATTGTTTGCAAAAGCACAGGAATGTGCAATCTTTCATTTAATGGCCCCGTTTTGAAAAGCCTGTAAATTTTTACATGTTTGTATGCATGTTTAAACATGGTTTTCATTCTCTTCAGATATTCAATAACATTCAGCTAGTTTCGGCTAGTATTCGTACCAATAATTCTCAAAACCCAATTTTATAAGTCCTGAAATTTCAGCTTCTGATGGGTAATTCCTGGATGTCATTAGAGAGACCTCGTGACTTACGTGTGAGTGAGTGGACCAAAGAGGGCAGCTGTTCAGATAAACCATGCACAGTATGATTGTCTTCCACCCAGGGTGCTGTGATCTGGGCAAGCACAGCTGCTGCTTCTGAAGCTTCAGGCTCAGGCCTTGTTTCTTCAGACAGCATTTCAGATAGGATCTCCACTCCACCTGCCTACAATAAAAATTTCAAAAATCTCACATTAACTGTAAGTTTTGAAACTAGTGCAAATGTGTTTTGATTTCAAAGGAAGTAAAATTTTACTGATTCAACTTTTCAGTATGTCTTATGGCCACAATATTGTGACTGATTCACCTGTATTCATTGAATTTAAGGTAGTGTCTATTGTATATAATCACAATTAGAAAAGACAATTTATTCTTGTTGTATACTTCCTGTCGAAGAAATAGGAAACGACATTTCATATTTTTCATCATACAGGAGGAGAGAATAATAGTTCCATCATAATGCTGAATTGCAGTGTACATGATCTGCATTCATGTACATCCATTATTTTCAGTTCATTTATTAATAAATACATATGAGTCATAAAGTCATACCAATCACATCTTTACAAGTTTCACATAGTGGTAGTGGTAATACAGTTGTAACATTCAAGAGGCAGCCAGTTTCAGTCCCATCTAGTTCTCCTGACAGATTTTTGATAATTCTCTTACGTCACTCCACATGAATGCCAAGATAGCATCTTATGAAAGGGCCATGACTTGTCATATTTGTCCCACTCCATAACACCTTTGTTACAGCCTCTTTCTTAATTACAATTAATACAGTGCTATCGCTGATTCACACACTTTCCAGTTCCCCAATGCGCATGCACTAGATTCTCCATCTTCACTAGTTGTCTCCTAGTGACAGATCTGAACACAGAAATTAGCACTTCATATCACTATGAAGTCTTCTTGTTATTTCGTCTTCAGTCACTCCATACTCCTCTGTCCTAATCTGTACTCAACTGCTCCTACTGTTTACTTTGCTCCTTCAGCTTACAACTGACTCATAACTGCCCTGAACTGAACTTGCTTCTGCATTTACTTTTCTTATAATCATTCTGCATAGACCCCATGGAAAACATCGTCTCTTGTTGATGATGTCACCACTTTCATAGCATGGTCCAATACAGGGAAATGTGTTTACCCAGCCATTGCTTAGAAATGGATTGCATAACCCCATTATTCTACTGTTGCTTGGCACAGACTGCACAGAAAACAGAGCCTCATCTATTGTTGCATAACCTAGCAATGGACTGTTTACCATCTGTCTTCATGAGAACTTTACCAACACGTTGCCTAGCAATGGGTGTACATATAACAATATTAATGTCTTTTTCACTGTGTCTTGGCCTTTTGTAGAACTCCATCATCACCTGTTTATCATAGTTACCTCTAACTTGTATTGATCCTTTACCATTTAAACTCTTCTTACAATTAAAAAATCTGCACAATGATTTCACTTCCAAAGTGCAGCTTGTACTAGAGAAAATATTGTTTTGTCAGTCAGTCTAGTTCCAAGCCTTTGAGTTGAAATATCTTAACAATATTGTAGTGTTGTTACCTGTTCCAATTGGCGGATGGCCTCAACTACACAGCACACTGTCGCAAGTGCACGCAGGGCTGCAGTTCGGATTGAAGATGATCGGGATTCAAGACAGATAGACAGCAAGGCACGGACTCCACTGCAGTGAGCAACCAGACGACTCAGATGAGGACCCTCAAGACTAAGTGTAGTCAAGCTGGCAAGTGCTGAGCGCAGTGCCATATCTGAAGCAGGTTCCTCCAACACGCCCACTAATACCTAGGCAATTGAATCTGCCATTATTTTAGCTGTAAGTTTGTATTTTGTAATTGGATTCACTTGATGTATTATTTTCTGTGATCAAGTATCTGAGTTTTTTCCCCCCCTAAATCAGCCAATACTTATTTTAACTTATCTGCCTGAAGGTAAAGTAAGTAAGTAAAGGTATCCCTGTAACAGGCTGTGGAGGCCCATAGGGTTGTGAGATCGGCTCATAGATGGTGGTAAGGTTGTCAGGCCTACGCACCGATTACCCTTTACCCCCAAGAATATTCCTGGTACTCATTTCTGTTAGAGGCTGAGTCAACCCCAGGGCGATAGTGTGGCTGGAAGGATTAGGTAATTGAAAAAAATCCAGTGACCTTATCAGGATTTGATCCTGCGACCTTCCAGCTTGTAGCCTAGTGCCTCAACCAACTATGCTACCATGTTGAAGGTACAGAGGATAATCAGAATAACATCAGTCATAGCAGCCCAGTATGGAATGAATTGGATTTGTGTACCCTTAAAATAAAAGACAGGTGTACAAGGCAGTTTTACTGGTTGACTGACTGTGACAGGAACACTGGATAGGAAAAAGAAACATAGTATAGTAAGTGAAGGTGTTGGAGTTTGGATGGAAGCTATGTGTGTGAATATAAGGAATGGTATGTCTATGAAAGATATAAATGTAACCCTTCATTACAAATAAAGAATGATGCAGAATTTTGTGACAATCCATCAGCATAAAACATAAAGCAAGTATTGTACTTTAATCCATAAGGGATGTTATAATAATAAATGCCTCTCATATCCTGTTTCTCAGTTCTCATGCACGTTGACTATTGTGTGTTGAAGTGCATAAAATAAAAGCATAATGGGAGGTTGTGTCTGTTCCTGCTTGTTCATCTGCAAAACTACTGGATGAAGTTCAGTCAAATTTGGCTGCTGGAGGTCTGCACTAAATGTCAATTTAATTTTGGTTCATTTCAGACAAAAGAAGCTCACATTGAACATCATTTTCTGTCAGAAACAAAAGAACTTCATGTCTCATAAAGCATAGACCTACATGATGAGCCAAGATAGCTTAGTTGGTATAGCAACAAGAGCAACAAGATACAAACTGGATGACCAAGGAGTCATGGTTCAATTCATGGTAGGGGAACAAGATTTTTCTGTTCTGCATAATGTCCAGACTGGCTCTGGATCCCATCCAGCCTCCTACATAATGGTTACTTGGGGCTGTTTTCTTGAGGACAAAGTGGCAGAGGTGTGAAACTGACCCCACTCCTCTGTCTAGTGCTGAGGTTAAGAAGGATGGAGATATACCTCCACTCGCTCATATGTATTTGTGGTATGGTAATTAATCAAGCTCAAGGATAACTCTACCTTTACATGAGATGTATGACTCTTGATAAATGTTTTGAGAATTTTTTTCATACATTAACCTGTATAAAACATACAAAGATTTTGAAGTGAACTGGGAACATTGGTTAGCTTAGAGTGTCTGTAATTGTGTGGCTTGAACCAGAGACTTCACAGTTTCCATATCTTTCATTATAGATGCCAGTGTGCCACCAGCCTGCCTCAGTCATAACTTTCTGACATATTAAGTTACATTTTCTTTGTGAAATTGCACTTAATAATGCTTTCAGTTCTTGATACCGAGCGATGGTACTCACAGATATATGTTGAATGAGTATGTTGTCCACAATTCTTGTGAATTTATTCCCTAGTTCTGTAATCTCAGAGGTAAGCTGCTCTTTGTTGGGAGGCTGCATGGCTGCTGTGAGGCGTAGTTGGTCGCACACCTCTGTCAGCTTCTTATGCTTAGCCTCTGATTCCTTTCCAGTCTTCTCCTGCTTGTTGCAGTGCTCATGTAGAAATTCTGTCACAAGTCCCACCAGACTCTGCACTAAAGGACCAACATGCTCCGTCTTCCCATAATCCAACTGCCTGAAAAAAAGAATTGACATTATCTTATAAGGTACTTTAACATATGATAGAATTATCTGTATTTGTCATTTCTGATACACAAATCTGAGAATACCGAATGAATAAATTGTGGTGTCTGTGAGGCACATTTACAAGCTCAAGTGAGATATCTTAAACTCTTAAGAGCATGAGAAGCTGAAGTTATGAGAGTTCTTGGATTAAAAAATGTAGTAATTGTAAGGTAAGAGTGATAAGACATTGTATGTAATTACAAGGCCGCACCATAGCTCAAGCAGTTAGTTGCTGGCTCCCCACCTTGGCAGCCCAGGTTAGATCTTAAGTCTGGTCAAGTGGGATTTATGGTGGACAAAGTGGCACTGGGGCAGGTTTTCTCCAAGTACTTCGGTTTCCCCTGCCAATCTTCATTCCACCAAATTCTCCATCATAATCACCCGGGGCAGGCTACGATAGGCCAATCAGTGGCCGCTGTGCCGAGTGGACCCAGCTGGACTCCAGCCCCCTCTAAGCAAAATTATATGTAATTAATAATTACTGTATATGATGTGTGTGATGGTACTTTTTATATATAATATAGTTGTACACTTGATCTAGGAGGAAACATTGTCTTAATAATAATTCCTTCTATTAATTACTGAATGGTGCTGTGTTAGCATCACATGAAAGATGTGTGATTTTGAAACTCATGCCATTACGGACAGCAGGTTTTGACAAAAACAATAATAATACATATCATAGCTCATAGGTATACTCTCTTTTTTCTCCACTCCCTGCAAACTGTTTCAATTCCCAGTCAATTTCATATTTTTTTTTTCTTTATGAAACAGTGAAGTTTAGAAAAGTTGTGATAAATGCCAGTCTATTCTAAAACTATACATGAATCAAATTCTTTTCTTTCACTTTCCAGTCCTGAGTTATGACAACTTTAAAATAAAGAGAGAGAATTTAAAAAAAACTATAGGATTTGAGGTTCTGACAGTGGTGGTGATGAAGAGTTCTGTCTTCTGGGGTATAGCACCTTGTAATCTGTTCAGAGTCAACTGACATTTCAGAGAGACATATTGCCTCCATCTTCAGATTGAAGAGTAAGCCAAGCAAGCTAAACCCTTCTGCCCTGTAAATGTAGGCAACTTGTTCCCTGGAAATGTCAGTTGACTTTCAGCAGACTACACTGTGTTGCATCCCAGAAGGTAGAACTCTTTTCATTCACAAACTTTCTCCCTCTGAAGAGCTTTGATTGTGTTACTGTTAGCACTGGCAGTCTGTTGGTTGTGTGTATGTGCATCATCACAGTGCTGGGCTTACAGCTACTCACTGGCAGAGTTTTGCAAACTCAGTAGAGATAAGCCTGGTGCCCTCCTGCAGCATCTTGACAGTATTGGTGGCAGCAGCAGCCATCATGGCAACCTGATGTTTCAAGTCCACGGCCAATGACTTGCTCTGGAGTGTGGTCATACACTCTGGCTCATAAAGGGTTGCTAGTTCTCCTAACCACCGTTGCACAGGATTCCTCTCAGGACCGGTGCTCTCTGGCTGCAAGCCTCTGCAATGATAAGGTTACGGTTTTAATTTTGCCGCTCCATATCTAACTATTAGTTGTTTTGTACAACGGAAGAAGTAATTGAAAATATCACATTATTTTCTTCATAACAGCTGTTTAATAAAACAGTTTCATTAGAATATTTATATTGCAGTGATTTTGGATGGGATACATGTATTCATTTGTGTTGCATGACAAACAGTTATGAGTAACAAAACAACAGTTCAAGATTTTGGTTGGTGGTCACACAGTCTTGTTCAGTATTATTTCTGTAATAGTAAAGCGAGATCTGAGTATTGTCCACTGAACTACGTGGTGTCACATTCCAAGAGACCATAATCTTGATACTCAACACAGCAAGAACCTTAGGTCTCACAATGGATACTGAAGTTTAATTACGACAGTTATTAGTAGATACACATGAAATGTAAAGCTGGCCTACAACAGTAACATGTAAAATAAATATACTAAATAATAATATCATGAAAAGAAAGTGTCTCTGTTTTTAATCTGTCATACCAAGGAGTTTCATATCTCCACCTTGGAGCTGTAAGCAATTATGTTATGTTACATGTTTTTAAAAGGGGCACGCAGTAGCGTAGTTGGTTGAGGCACTATGCTACAAGCCGGAAGGTCACAGGTTCAAGTCCCAATGAGGTCACTGGATTTTTTCAATTGACCTAATCCTTCCAGCTGCACTGTTGCCCTGGGGTCAACTCAGTCAACAGAAATGAGTACCAGGAATTAATTAAATAATCTTCCTGGGGAGTAAAGCGTGGCCGGCACATAGGCTGACAACCTTACCGCCATCTTTGAGCCTACTGTCTAGATAATGTGGGACCCTCAACGTCTCACAACCCTATGGGCCTTCACGGCCTGGTACAGGGATAGCTTTACTTTTTTATTAACATGTATTTAAATGGCACCTGCTGTGGGGGCAAGTGTTCTGAGATCAGGAGCATCATCATCTCCCTTCTGAAGACGCATGGGCAGTGATGTTAGGTAGTATATTAACAACTGCGATAAAGTTTTTGTAAGTTGCATGTAAACCCAGAGTGTCAGCCTAATGAGAATTTTCAGTGTGAGAAGATTACATATGGCAAAGGTAAGGTTGTTCCTCTGTTTAACTAATTAAGCACTATGCCATGAAGATGGGGGGGGGGGGGGGTTAGACCCACAGTTTCTTGACCACAGCACTAGTTGGAGGTGAACTGTCAGCTTCATGCCCCGGCCACTTTACTTCCAGAGAAAGAGTCCCCGGTACCCTTTGAATAAGAGGCTGGGTGGGCCCCAGTGCCAGTCTACATGACAAGGAGAAGGGAAAATTCTTGATCCTACCAGGACTCAAACTCCAATGCCTCGGTCATCCAGTCTGTAGCCTGTTGCTATATGAACTGTGCTATCCTGGCTCTTATGTTACATATGAATGTACTTATTTTCAAGTACTCTGTGGCTAATATTGCACAATGCTCATATGTGGTCCATGAATATATCTGCTTGATAAATAGATGGCATAGATTCTTCAGGTAATATAACCCCTTTACTATAAGATGCCATTCAGAGGGATCCAGAACAAGATGATTAACAAACTTCATGAAGCAGAGGTCTTCCTAGGAGGCTGAAATCACCCATCTCACTGTGAAATTCCTGCCTGTTCATTACCATCATTACAATAATCTCTATATCATCATGGTCCTAATTCCTTAAGATGCCTTTTTAAAATCCTCCCATCTATGCCTAGTTCTCACAAGTGCTCTCATCAGGAGTGAGATCGCTTACATTAGCCTAGCAACCACACAGCAGCTACAGACACCATCAGTGAGTGGTATGCTGATATTAAAATACAGTTCAGTTTGAAGGAAGAGATATGCCCTATACTATTCAAGTCAAATCACAAGTTCTGTGTTAATGTTGTTTTATATGGAAAGAAACTCATAGCCTTTGTCTTCAAACACAATAGTGTTAAGATACGTACAGTGGACCATCAATATAACACACCCCACTATAACGCAGCTATGATTGTGTCCCACACTCTACAAGTACATATGTTTTACATCATACAAATTTCTATGAAGTGTTCTTATTAAATTGTAAGGCGGCTATGAGTAATATGTTTCTGGTTTCTGTAACCAAAATTGTGCAAATTGCTACTGAATAGTAATGAAGTGATGACATGGTTAGGACAGGCTGATAGATGAACACCTTAATTTGCTGTGTGTGATTAATATTATATGTCCTGGAAAATGTAGTCATCAGTTCTGACAAACTAAACTGTACTGTGTGGCAACAGCCAGGTTTGATCCCAGGTCAGGTAATGTGGGATTTGTGGTGGACAAAGTGACGGGCAGATTATCTACAAAGATTTAGATTTCCCCTGCCAATTCTCATTTCACCAGCTGCTCCATATTCATTCCTCATCCTGTCATCGGCGCTATATGGTATTGATACTGACAGTCTCGCTAAATAAATTTATACTATGTGGCCCTTTTCATAAACAAAAAACACTGTAAGCGAACTATACCGACAGAGCAACCGCCGCTTGTCGGCGAAGTTGGTGCCAACTTTAGTGGATATAGAGGCTGAGTGGAACCCTTCCAGACCCACTACTCAGAAAATCTGGTAGCGCCGGGAATCGAACCCGGGACCTCTGGATCTGTAGCCAGGAACTCTGACCACAGAGGCGGTTTTACACCCATACAAGACAACAGATTATGCCATAGTCTTGTAGATTCAAAATTTCCCACTCATCTTCATCAAAAATAAAAACTGTAAATATATAGAGCAATACCTCCACTCCCCATGCTTCTTCGTGGCATGGAGCTTAATTAAGCACAAGGACAATTTTTCTTTGCCTTTCTTGAACTTTTCTTAATGCGATGTGAACATTTAGATTCCATAAAACGTAGAATTTTTTGATCACATGAATTTCTACTCAGATGTTCAGTGGACCTTGGAATGAGTTACATAGGCTCGTATGTGGTACAAATCCCATTAAATATCCTATAATCGTGAATTTCGTCGCGGTTTCTCGCAAAGTTTCACAGAACATAAACATTTAATAAAATGTCTTTACTACTTAAGTATTTCATTTCCTGCTTTTTGTATGCGAGATCGCGGAATGCAAGTACTCGTATGTGTTAAAAGGGGACACAATCTCTGTATCTTTTAGAGAATTACAGTATGAAATGCAAAGTCATCACTTTTTTCTCACTGCAAGATCTCCACTTAAACGTAAACGTTGATCGCAAGATCATCTAGTCCTCCGTGAATCTGTACTTTGTTACGGTTAAAGGCATGGACCTGTCTGATAGTATGGTCAGAAGCAGCCTTGTCCGAGCATAACTGAAAGAAAACAGCTCAAGTAGTCCTATACATTTGAATTTTCGGGATTTGGTATTTCATAACATTTGTGCTTTTAAATGTGCAATAAATGCACACTCTTGCAGACGTTAATTTACGAATGTGTTTGACATTAAATATACTAAATGATAACGTTTTGAATTTTAAAATAATGATCATTACATGGCGGTTATCCTAACTTCAATGAAAAATGCATAAAATAAAAGAGTATCTCCTCAACTATATCTCGGGATTAAATCCGGATATTACCCTGTCCTTCTCAGTTTTGTACTTTTTACTGATTCACTGTTATGTGGACAATGGCCCTGGTGGTTTAGGTTAAGTGTACGTCTCATTTTCATCTCATTCTGTTTAACGCTACATTCTTTCGTTGCGAAGTCGCTGGTGGCAAGTGCGGCAGAAAACATGACAAAGAAGATACAGTTTATTACGTTTAGAAAGAAAGTCTTCATGGTGTATTTCAAAGTACTATCTCAGCATTTGCCAGAGGTGACTGAACTCAGATCAACCAGCAATAGGATGTGATCCTTGGACGTAGCGAGATGATCAGCAACCAAATGCGAGTCCATAAAGTCACTGTGGGATTTTTAAATGACGTCATTTCATAACCGCACTTACTATATACATGACTGAAACAGCAATCAAGGAAGAAATTCTCATAGTTTGGCCCTTATACTGAAAGTATCGTAATACTCCAATTCTTGCCTCATATGAATTATACATCTGGAGGGACTGGATTATCGAATGGATGTGTGCAGGACAAAAAAAAAGTGACTCTCACGTTGAACTACACTAAATGCAGCGTTGAAGGTATGAGAGCGTGCACGTTTGTATCTGTTGCATTCATTTGCGTGGTTACAAAATATAGGCCTATCACATTAAATCGAAATTTGAGATGGCATTGTTGATTGAAAATTTTGAGTTATTTGCTACTTTTACGTCGGTATCGTGTTTCACCAGCTAGAAGTCTAGTTATCAGGGCTCATGGCAACATAAAATCACACTGCAAAGTTTCATAAACTTCAGTTTTCAGCAAAGCTAATAAACAGCACAAATATTACACTTGATAGAGAAACATAATTTCCCTTTATTGCATTTAAGTCAGACCTCGAAATGTTCATAGACGCGGGTACACGCTGCCTGTTTAGTTCCAAATCCCTCTTTCTCTTTTTTTTACGAAGTTATTTTCAGAACCTGTAAGACGTCATAGCTATCGCTTCCAACAGAAATGCGTGCAAGAACAAATACTCAAACTTTCATTGTAATATTTTCATTCATTTTATGTGATGGTCTTTCCCCCTGGCTTTTCTGCTCTTCTGGAGCGTCTGCATGTTTCTGAAATGCTGTTTGTACCACTGATTAATATCCGTATTTTATACCATACAAATCAATATACAAGACACTTGCATAATCATGTTATGCATTGTGCGCAAAGAAGGTACAATTGATAATTTGTTAGAATGCCGTTTGTTTTGGAGGAAATGTCTGCACTATAACTACAGTAGACATTTCTTGTTTCATCTGTCTGAAACTTGTTTTTACCCCGACAACATTTCAGCTGTCATTTAATGCCATGTTTTATACGAATAACTAATCACCGAAAGTAGATGGTTGATACTGATTGATTGATTGATTGATCAGTA